CAAAGTTGCCAATATTGTCAGATGGTGAAAAAACGGCAGATTCGTAGTTTTCCGCTGGGGCAGGGCCTTGAGCGGGAGAGCGTATTGATGATTGAAACGGGTGAATTCCTGCAGGGACTGGACGAGCTTGGTATCCATTCGGCGCTGAAACTTGAGGTCGCATTGGTGTGAGCACAGTATCGCCAATCTCATTATTTCCATCCTGAACCGGCAATATTTGTGATATCCGTTTATCGATCGATGGTGTAGCTTGGGCATGGGGTTGAGTTGATTTACCGGCGCCGTTAAATGTGGCGGTAGACTTGGCTTGCTGGCCACTGGATGCCTGTATCTCAAAAGCAGATTCCATGCCTTTGATTGCCTCGATGCAGGTCTCTGGCCAGCTACTACCGCGTAATGATAGGTTTTTCAAAATAGCAATCCCCATTCTCGCGTATTTGAGAGCAGTGGGTGCGGGAAATTCATCTTCCCACGCAGCATACATTAGAATGAGGCAGGCCATCCAAGTTGACCAGGTAAAGCATGGCCAGGAGAGCGGAGATTTCGGTTCAGAGGACATGTGCTTTCTCAACGCAGCAAGTATAGATCGAGAAGATCCAATACAAGTCTGCAAGGCATTCTTGTAATCCGCACTGGGCTTTTCAGAGGCCAAAAGAGGTCGATTGAGCGAGATGATAGCCTCGTGTCTTAGGATCATTAATAGTAGTCGGTGGTATGGCTGCAAGATCGGCTCTTGATCTAGATCATTTTCTGAGGGCTCATCAATGGGGTTTACATCGTCATAAACTTCATTCCACCATTGTGCTAGTTCTCCAGTAACATGAGCCGCTTCAACCTGGCTGGCGTGACTGTGGAGAATAGACTTATTACGAAGTTCAACAATCAAACCTCGAATCCGTGCAAATCTCGCCAGATGACACAGTAAGCGCAACCTGCGATCGTCGGGGGATTTAATTGTTGAAGAATGTCTCTCGGCATCAGGGTAGCACACGTCGATGTCGTCATCTCGAATAGAGAGCGGGATCCCAAGAGCCTGAGAAAGGTATCTTTCAAGTGAATAGATTGACCAGAATAATCGACAACGAATATCAGCTTCTTCACTGCTAAAGCAAGAAAAGCGTCTTGGGCAACGATGTAACCCGAGGTGGAATGCAGTGCGGGTGATGACACCCCCTACTCGCGAGGCGGCATTCAGGCGCAAAAGAGAAGCGAGTGCAAGTTGAGCTGTAAATGCCGCTTGTAGGAGTGGCAAACTAGTTGGCTCTTCAAGGAGGCTTTGTACATCTTGCATCACATGTTGAATGGATCGAAAGACTAAGACCGAAGGAACGGGACTGAGCTTCGATCCAGACGGCATTCTCTGTCGATCATCGCCGAGAGAAATGGACACGATGGAGCGAAGAATCATGAGTTCTAATCGGTTGATCGATTCTATCCCTTTTCGGCCGACTTTCTCTATAGTTTTCAAGACTGTCGGGGCATGGAGGCATGGGAAGATTGGATGCCAATTCTCGAAATAGCTGCGTGTCCACTGAACAAGATCGTCGAAAGCAAATGAGGCATTTGGTGTATAATTTAATTCTTCCCTTGCCCACAGCTCATCAGAGCTTTGAATTCTTCCTGAACTTTGCTGTAAGCGGTCGTCTTCCCCTGGGACCGAGGTTCTGTCACGGGCTCGTGTTTGGTCCAAGTCTGCTGAACGACGTGCGAACGCATTGTAAACATGACGGATAAAATGGATTCCACTTGAACTTCCGAGGAAAGTCGCAGATCCGTCATTTTGAGACTCTCTCATAAATCCAATCTCGCGAGGCGAGGGTCCTGATGTACCCGCGACGGAGGTGCGCTTGTGTCTCTTGGTTGCACGAGAAGGATACGGCCATTCAGACTCATTCTCCTCGAACCGCATGCTGGCAGGTGAAGCCGAAGCCATTATCGCTGTGAATTTATGTATCACATTTTTCGAAACTGAGATATTCGAAGTTAAGTTTCCTTGGGAAGAAATCTGGCTCCCGGCTCCACGGTTGTTATTACGTCAGCAACAGGCGTCGGGCCCGACCCAGAACCAGATCTATAAAACCAAAAAATGTTTTTGTATCAAATTTGTTATTTTATAAACATATTTGGATGAATATACATAAATATTTAATCCTGCAAGTTTTATGCTTCCAGGGTGTTTTAAAATGCACCCTTTCCGGGGGTGCTATCCCCCTTCAAAGAAGCACATCCCTGCTCGACATCCTCAGGCCGGAGCAACTGGCTATTGTAGCCATCCTTATAGGCAAGTCCCACCAGCGTTTTCTCTGTTAATAGTCAGATATACGGACGTTGTAAAAACTGATTGGGAACTTACCATTAGGATTGTATCGGGGCCATCCGAACTTAGTCAAGCCCTCTTGAGGATCACTTGCAAATGCAACCCAGGCGGAAGCCATGTACCGGGCAAATTCATTCTCTCGATCACTGTTTGGGATTCCGCTGACCTGCTCTCCAGTTCCAAACACCATAGGCAGGTCTGCCCCGTGGTAGCTTCCGCTGTTATGATACAGGCGTAGGTTGTCCCAGTCCCCGAAGTAGTGGGACTGCCAGACCGGAACGCCGTTGTCGACTCGATATCTGGCGGATGCACCACTAGGGCAAGTGAAAGCTGCATCATTGAAACTTTGCCATGCGCTATCACTAAGGGAGATATTTGCGTTAAAGGCACTGATGCGGTAGTAGCCAGGTTCGTAATTATTGCTGTTGATCAAATATGGCTGCGATACGTTAGCATCTTTCTGAAGATAGGCTCAGATATACAATGATTTTTACTCACAAGACGTGCGAATCTGCCTGCAGCAGATCTCTCGGTGTAGTTGCCAAACACGGTAACTCCGTCCACTGTCGGATGGAACACCGCTTGTGGAGTGGCTGATGAATGTGCTGGCGGGACCTTCCCGCCAGCCTTGACGACGTCCATGTACGGCTTCTGGCGGACGCACTTCACAACTTCTTCGGGGTCACTGGCTTGGTCCCCACAACCGAGAAGCTTGGAAGCAGTGTAAAAGTAACTGGTGGACTCTTCGGCAGTATTGGGCACAAAGCTGAGTGACGTTCCAGAGTGGGAGATGAAACCAGAAACGAGGGGCTCGTCTGCCCAAGCCTGTGAATAATAATCAACAGCAGAGCCACCGGCAGACTGGCCAAAGATTGAGATGCGCTTTGGATCTCCACCAAACGCGGCGATATTGCGATGGGCCCATTCCACTGCCATACGTTGATCCAGCAGTCCGACATTTTGGGGAACGTTGGGTGCACCAGAGAAGCCAAGGATATTCAATCGGTAGCTGATATTAATTAGTAACCACGTATAAATGTAGGATGAAGAGTACTGACTTAATGGTCACCACCACTACCTCATGCTCATCCGCCAAGGCTTGTCCATCATAGTATGGATTGTTGGCACCGCCCCTGGTAAATCCTTCAAGAAGTGTCAATTACTTGAAAACAAAAAGGGTCGAGATGAACATACGACCACCATGGAACCATAGCAGGACTGGCTTTAAGTTAGAGACTGTGGGACGTGTCCACACATTCAAGAAAAGGCAGTCTTCGCTCTGAGAAGTACCCAGAGCCTGAGTAAACGACTTGACAATCCTAGGGGCCTGCGGAGTAAAGCCAGGGTAATCTGGAACCGAGCCGGCATTTGCAGGGCAATCACTAACTCTGGTCAGATACCTAAATCACAATAGCAAGGGTATAATATACGCACGGGCTCTGTTGGTGATACGGTTAGCCACATACACTACGGACTGCAGGGAGAGATCTCACATAGGCATTTGCCTGAATGGTACCATTGGAATCATAAGCTACTGGAGCCGCGAATCGAAGATCTCCAATTGGCGGCGAAGCATAGGGGATACCCAGGTACTCAGAGACTGCAGGCCTACGAGGTGCAGCGTGCCCCTCAACCAGCCCACTACTAGTCTCTACCGAGCCACCGATGTGCATCTCCAGATCATCTAAACATTGCTGCCCCCAGACTGCAGGGCATATAGCTAGCAAGATTGCAGGTCCGATTAGACTCCAGCCCGCCTTCATTTTTGAAATTACTAACGTGGGGTGAGGGGAAATGGCCAAGGCTGCGGAAGCTCAAAGATATATAATGTTCACATATGTCACAGTGGGGCCATCTGTATTGCCAGGGGTTCCGGATGTTCACTTCGGTGTTCGTTTAGTCGTGATGGGATCGCCGATTGTCGCTTTAATTAAGCGAACAGGGGGTTGATTGGCAATATGCAGGACTTGAAAAGCAAGGTTAGGAGAGGGGGGGTTCACACGAACAATTGGCGACTAATGCGGAAGTTTAACCTGATGATCGTCCTGTAGACCTACAGATGAAGCGCTATTTGACATTTGATATGTGTACATAATAAGTACTATGTATATTTTATATTAGACCCTGATTTGCCAAGATATTGATTGTCGAGTCATATTGTCAGATTTATATGGTTATCCACACACTATTTCGACATCTCCGGGAGCCATGTGGAGTCTAAATATTATAAATTAAAAAAATTTGAACGCCAGCGTGAGTTCTTTACAAAGTACTTGGCTCATGGGGTCCTTTTCTTTTGTGGCACATTTTCATATAACAATGCATTGTTATCTTGAGAATGGATGGGTCCTAGACGCCGAGCATAGAAACAAAATACTCTGTAACTTCCATGTATTCAACCTTGGTATTCGAGAATTTAAAGCCTGTACCCTCACAGCCTCAAGCTAGGTTTGGATTACGCCACTTAAACCCAGGGGGATAAGTGTTCTTAAGAGTCAGCAATTATCTTTAACCTTAAGCTGACAATGCCAAAGTCTCCAGTGGACAACAGGGAAGTGGTGCTATATTGTCATACAAAATCAAGAAGGTAAAAAGATCAGAGAGTCATTAATAATAATGTGGCGCTGAAGTACCCGGATTACTAAATTTACCGGGTCTAATCCAAGAAAATGAACTATCTGAATTAAGTTAATCTTTCAGCCTGTGGAGGTAGAAGGAATAAAGGCTTTTCCCCACGCTTCATTCGCCAGTAATTTGTAGACTGGAACAAGTCCCAGCTGCCTCGAACTGCCCAGCCCCATGTTTTCAGAAACGTTTCCGTTACCTCCCAGCCTGCGGGATCCCACGGATCTTTCCAGACGATCATTCCAGTCTGCCCCGTTTCTGAGTTGCGATACCCACACAGATCATGACAAAGCTGAACGTCATCAAATGAATTTCCTGCTAATATCAAGTGGTCTCGCATTTTTGGAATAGGCAGAAGGTCAAGCCAGGGGTGGTGCGAGATTGTGCTTTGGATGGCAGTTGGCTGCAAGGCCGAAGGCAGCGAGGAGTCTTGATATTCAGGGTACCTTGGGCCAACAAGGTTAAACGGAGACAGCGCTTCGTCATCCATCTGGGCCGGCGATAAATGCAAAACATCCATATTGGTGATTAGCGCCCTCAGGAAATTCAATTGGGTCAGACCTAAAAGCAGCTCTGTGCGGGGCGATCTAGCGGTATATTCGGCATAGATGAGCATTTCTACCCGGCGTATAGTGTACATCGAGGGTCCAGAATTTGGACCAAGAATCCGAAGGCCGTTTATGGATTTCAAGTCATCGAGATTGTTAGCGGTATATGCTGTCTGTGGCTCCGCTAGATGTTCCGGGCTGGATGAGTGTGCATTGACGGTTCGTTGGCGCCGCCCTATCAACAGAATGAGTTACAACCAGAAATCAAAGGCTTTTATTGACATAGAGTGAAGGAACGTACGCCGTGCCCTCTGATTAAACCGATTTTGTACCTTTCTTCGTTCTTTCGGGTCTGTAATGTGGGTCCAACCGTCTGAGGGCCAGAGAGGAATGCGGTTTTCTACCGGCTGTAAGAAAGGTGGATGTGCCGTGAAATAGGACTGGGCAGTCCCTGTGGAATCCATCACGATTTCAGCTGGCTAGATTGGAATAGTAATGGGTTGGGGATGAGGAGAAGACAAGGTTTTGGGATGATGACACCTGCAGCAATAGTGCCCAGGTAGCTCTGGAGTCTGGGCGGAGCCAGGGAAAAGAGGCCACGAACCGAAGGCGGTGGCAATCTAAGGACAGCCCTGCATACTGTCTGGCCGTGAGTTTAGTACTTGCTTGGTGTCATTGGTCGGTTTCATTAAGTTTGGGTGGTCCACGGGTGCTTTCAACGTTCCAGTAAGCTCCACCAATAAACTCAATCAGTTGACATCGAAATTCCCCGCCGGGTGGATATTTTGCTGACAGGTGCAGCATTAGCGCAGGAAAGCGTGCCAAACCTGCCCACTCTCTCACCAATGAGAAAGATCGGTTCAAGAATACGGAGGAAACCATTATATCAAAATAACTGTGGTAGTGACGTTATCGCTGACAGGAAACGGACTTCAGCTTCTAATTTCCGGCGTTCTCTCCTCCCAGGCGATCTGGTTTGGGTTATAAATATGCTGTGAGATTCCCCGAAGTATTTGGCATCATTCGGGTTACTTCTCATCTCATTCAGTTTAAACACACAATGGCATCTAACAGCAAAGTCGGTTATGTGAGGTATGTCCCATATATTTCCCAGATAATTCTCCTATCGAACTATTCAACGGCTCACCCTTTTAAAGACTTGGCAATTCTGGCCTGAAAATCTCGCAAATCGTCCTCGGTTGTATGACTTACGGTGACACCAACTGGCAACCCTGGTTGACGGAGGAGGCGGAAGCCCTCCCTCTCATCAAGCATGCATACGATCGTGGTATCAATACTTGGGACGTCGCAGACACATACTCGAATGGTGCTTCTGAAGAGATTCTCGGCAAGGCATTAAAGAAGTACAAGATCCCGCGATCTCGGGTGGTGATCATGTCCAAATGTTTCCACCGTGTGGATGAATCACGCGGCCCGTTGGATGCAGCGACTCATGGAGTCAATGACGGCGACAATGTCAATCTCGTTGGTCTCTCTAGAAAACATATCTTTGATGCCGTCGAACGCAGCGTTGAACGTTTGGGCACGTATATCGACGTTCTCCAGATTCATCGCTTGGACCGGGACACGCCAATGGAGGAAATCATGAAAGCGCTGAATGATGTGATCGAGAGTGGCAAGGTGCGGTATATTGGTGCAAGCTCGGTATGTTTTTTGTTTTACTCTAAGAGGTGCTATCGGAACTGACAGGACGGCTGCTAGATGGCTGCTTGGGAATTCCAGATGCTTCAGAACACTGCCGAGAAACATGGCTGGCACAAGTTCATCTCAATGCAAGGCTTCTACAATCTCCTTTACCGGGAGGAGGAGCGGGAAATGTTTCCTTACTGCCACGCTACTGGTGTTGGACTATTGCCTTGGTCACCTCTTGCGGCCGGTGTTTTGGCTCATGCCTGGACGGACCGCTCGGACAAGCGCGAAGAACAAGACGTTTTTCTCAAGTTACTATTCCGCAACGGGGAGGACCAAGCTTCTAAGCTTATTGTAAGCCGTGTACAAGAAGTGGCAGCCAAAAAGGGAGTTAGCATGGCGCAAGTTGCGACAGCTTGGGTCTTATCCAAACGCGGAGCAGCACCGATCTTAGGTTTGGATTCAGTGGATAGGATCGACCAGGCTGTGGATGCTGTAAAAGTGTCCTTGACGGAGGCGGAGGTCCAATACCTGGAGGAGCCATATGTTCCAAAACAAGCTATGACCTTCTAGGGGTCACTGTTCTATCATTGCAAGGTACATTTATCAATTGAAGAGTAGTTAATGTGATGTACAAGTGCTAACTAGACCTCATTCCCCTTTCATACTCTTTCACATGACATCCATCCCAAACCTGTGGTAATATCCGGTTTTCCAGGCATCAAGGTCTGGCTTATCCGTTACAGATAGGTACCTATATCGGGCCAATTAGCCCCTCTTCGGCAATTCCTTCGGCCAGGGGAGAATAGTAAGTTCACTCCACTGGCATCGCCATCGTTCAGTCTTTGTCTCATAGACGCGAGAAGGAGCGAGATGTGGATTAGGGCGTACGACGAGATTGAACAAGTCAGAAAATCTGCGTGGTGCGAAGATGCGCCATTCTTCACTGGGAAGTAGTCGGACTCCAAGGCAAGCACTGGTGGTGGGGAAAGTTACAATGGCTGCCTTAGCTGAGTTATGTGGCGTGCAGTTTATTTTATGCTTTGTTTTCTACCACAGATGAACTCGGGCCTGGTTACGTATCTGCACGGGGGCTTTCAGGTCCTTGAATATCCTGTGCCCAGTCCGGATAACGCTATCCTCTGCCTCCCAGGATAAGTCGCTGCTATCAAAATAGACCAAGTCGTAATCAGAGATGCCGGCTTTAGGATGTTTTCCAGTAACTACATTCCAGACAGTTTAAATACCACCCAGGTAGGTCGAGTGTGGATGCCCGACTTAGAACTTCAGTCAATGTTCGATTGCGACTTACTGCCTCGCGGATAAAGGCCAATTTCTCGTTGATAGGAAGGTGGAAAGGCTCGATAGATGAGTCAATAGGATCTTCGAAGAAGGCAGCATAGTTGTATGCCATAGTGGGAATTTCAAATTCGAATGATCGAGTATTGGAATTGGTGTGAAAGGAGTTGAACGGGTTTCCACTCTATTTAAACTCGAACGGGCGGCCAAGACATGCCTACCATTTTGCGCCATTTGAAATTTTTAGGACGACACCTAACTAGCGTATCTTACTGTTGTACGAGAGATACCTAGGTAGACGGGACTTGATTTGATACCTAAAGTTGTCATGGGTACGCGTATGTATGTTTATAGGCATGATTCAACTGCTTTTCAGTATCTGGGCTGATCCAAGTTACCCAAATAATAGATTAGGAATGACTCCAAATTGCTGCGGAATATATATTCCTGTTACCATGAGGCAAGACAACGAAATAGGGCATGAAATGTCTGTTTTTGATGGCCGATATCAATTCCGATTTTATCCCAAGAAAGCCTGGAAAGACATTGTTTCTGTTTCATCTAGGTGTTTTTGATAAAAAACGCATATTTCTATTGAACTCGTGACCTGCAACAATTATTATCGAACTACTATCTTAAAAAGACCATAAAGAGCGGCGAGGACAGTATAGTTGTCTCCGACATAAATATGGTGAGCATCACGTGCCTGCCAATTATGGCCGGAGGTTTCTTACTCCGAAACTTTCACCCAGCAGCATCACCCATGCACATGACTTTGGGAATCTGATATCTTGCATATCTTCGAGGGTTGCACTGCTTTCTGCATTGTATAACCCTGTAATCAACAAATGGCGCAATTGCGATCGAAGCGGAAGGCACCTGGTGCCACCATGCCAGGTGTGACCAGAATACACTACCCCACATAAAAAGTATAGATCGACTGACTCAAGATGTCATCAGAAGAGAACTTGAATGCGATTTCCTGTGAGCTATGCAGACAACGCAAATGCAAAGTATGTTATTCTTTCGCAACAGCAAGACAAGTGCTGACCGAATAGTGTGATCGCAAACTGTAAGATCAAAAACGTCACCGTTTAATTCGATAGCTGGTCTTAGTTCTAACCATTTGCATTTCATTAAGTCCGTTCTGTTCCCAATGTACAGGGGAAGCATCGAAATGCATCTACCCCGAGAGTGGTAAAAGGCAAGTACCCAGCGCCTACACATATGCAGGTACCCGCGGGAAACCAACTAACTCATTGGCCCAGAGGGTTACCGTTGGGATACTTGAACCAATTGGAAGAGAGGCTGGCAGAGACCGAGGCAGCTCTTTACGGGGCGTTGATGACCGTTCGTTCAATGGGACAACCAGCAGCAGTACAAACTCCAGCAAAGACGGATACTAGCCCTAAAAACAAAGCAGCTCGCATGGACGAGTGGTCTCAGCTGCCCCTTCGAGAATGGCCGGATATGGAGCGCTGGCTGACGGTCATGTCCGACCGGTTTACCATCGAGCAACCAAGTGAGGCGGTTTCGGACACATCGAGACGTGGCTACGCGATTCCTATGACTCCTACTCACGATAAACAGCAGACTCTGGGAGATCAACCCCATTCCGGACTAGTCTCATATGCATGGCCACCTAGGGACAACAGGGTCAGTTCGGGGAGTTCATACGATGCTCATCAGACCCACCCTGGTGTGTTGGCTTCGCCGGTTTATTTTGGACACCAGACCGCGGTGGAACCCGAACCTGTGCCGTCTATAGATAGTTCCCGAGATGGAATAGTTGGCGAGGATGTTGTGGGTGTTTCGGAGGCAAGAGCTGGAGTGGAGACGGGGCCGAGTAAAGCTGAGGAGCTGTCACACAATAATCCGAGTCTTTACTTTTGAAGTGATGTGTTCCAAACATGTATATCACAATGGTACAAAGTGATATGGAAGTCTCACATCTTCATGGACCCCCAGGTTCCTTATCTGTAACGGGCTAAGCCATGATGGAGCCTTAATGCCTGAGGCTACCATTTTTGTAATCACCCCACGTGTTTTCTGGAACCTTTTTTTTCCAATGATCAATCCGCCAGAATGGCTTTGTTGTGAAATCAAAGACGAGTTCAAATCCATCGATGAGCGATTTACAATATACAATATAATACAATAATACAGAGTACATCGCAGACGACATTATATTGCTAGACCCTAGCGGGTTTCACCCCACTCCACACAATTTTCACGGTGGAGTCAGAGATGAAGGCTTTTAAGACTTTAAACACCAATACTCCACCGAAAATCCACCAGTCCACTCAAATAACGAGCACCACACACAATCTCAGTGATCTGGAAGTTCTCTAACCGCTCCGAACTCCATCAGCTGCAGGCGCTCGCAACAAGACCCCTTGACCTGAGTTCACCCAGTTGAATCCTCTGATTGGTTCCTCTACTTGGCTAAATCTAAGCCAACGGGTCACAAACACGGGCTACTTTGAGCGTGGAACGGATACAAGTGGTTGGTGAAACGCCCGTGCATTCAGACTAAGAGCCCGGACCTGCATCCGTTTCAATTATATTATTTCTCGGGACATTATCACATCACGCTGTACGGGTCACTTTCTACGAGGGATGGTATTTACATGAACTATTTACATGAACCTGTAGACTTCAAGGGTGTTTGATATGGAATGACAGCGCAGATAGGACACGTCGAACACACGTATACGTTTGCCCGATGACCCCTCCATACCTAGGCACATATCCGACACCCTAGAAGATGACCCTGGAGGATGGGGGGCTGGAACCATCTCGGGGGTACGGATCAGGGCCCCTTCAAGATTCTAGAGGCGAATAAATAGGCGTAGTTCATATACCGTAGAAGGAGGCAAATAGCCAAAGTTTGGATGAACCATTCTATCATCGAGAACACTGGGCCCTAATAGCCAGACCCTGAAGTGAATTCCTGTTAGGCTCCATCCGCATCCTTTGGGGTGTCCTGCTACTGGTCAACCTCAAACGCTGGTGTAGCGCCCAAAAATCCCCCGTAAGGAGGAACCCCCCCCTTCTCTTTTTTCAACCTCCTTGGGATTGTGTGTGTGTGTGTGTCTTTGTTCCTTCATTCTCTCCTTATTCTTCTATTCTTTTAGTCCTAGATACAAAGTGATCTGAGATCCTGGACTCCTTTTTTATTCTTCTATTTTATTCTTGACCTGTGCACCATTCCTTGACACAAGACACTGTTATTCCCCTCTACATTTTGCTGCGCAAAATCAAAGAGGACTGGACATTCATTTTTGCATCTTTGCAATAGAATTTGAAATTCAAACTCAACCCACGATCAATCGATCAATCTGATACTGGACATTCCAGTTGATCTTACATTCTTTCCGCGATCGTCTTACCACGCGAGACTCCAACGGATCCGATCGCAAAGCGCGACCAGATACCAAAAAAAAAGAAAAATACAAATACAAATCTCACACATTGCATGTGTAGAGTTATAAATCAATTTCCGACCGTGTCAAAATACACCGTTACCATATTTTGAACTTGACCAAATCTCCGAATCCGCCATGTCGACCCTCACAAGAGCATTCACCCGACGCAATAAGCGCCCGGAAGTGTCCGCACCCATGCCATATCGTGGCGAAGGGCATGTGCGACTCAACTCGGCAAGCATAAAGCGCAGCAACATCTCTGGACCGGTCCAGCTTTTGTCCACGACGAACATGCTAGCCTACGACGCCCCGGATATCAATCATATCAGCGGCTCTTCATCTGCCTCATCACTAGGATCGCGTGACGACTCCGACGCTGCCTTCTCGCCGCAAAGCTACGCGTCTTCAATGTCCTCGCCCGACGTCTCTCCTTACGAGAGCTCTCCAATTGACCCAAACCCATTGACGTCGTATTTTCCGAAGCGCACGCCGACGGTGACAAGCCACCCGCGTTCCTCCACGTCTTCGTCTACTGCAGATGCTCCGCTGGTGCCCAAGCGGGCTCTGTCCCACACCAAGCGGTCGCACCAGGAGCTTGCTCACAAGCGGTCGGTCTCTAGAATGTCCCCGCCTCCGCTAAACGCGGCGCGCAACACACCGGGCATTCGTGCAACACAGGAGTTCTTCCAGGCCGAGCCGCATCCATTCGGCAAAGAGCTAGAGCAGGTGAACGAGGTTGTGGAGGAATTTGGAGGCTTGAATATGCTCGATGATGAAGAGCGGATTCTCTATGCCAAGGGGCTCAGGAAGTTCTCCGTCGAAGATTATCTTGTGGAAGTTGAAGAACTGTACGGCAGCATTTTCGAGGACACACGTGGGCCTGTGACCACATCTTGGTTCTAACATAATTGCTGCCTTCACCCCCCGGTTGATCCGGGGCGATCAACGACACGAGATTGTGGACTTGCAAGGACTGGATATTCCTCGCTTGACCTGCTATGACGACCAACTATTATTCTTTCTTTTACGACTATTGCCCCTTGTTTTACACGATACCATGGGAGGACCTTTTCCCGCGCTCAACCCTGATTTTTCAATTTATAACTGCCATTTTACTCTTTTCTTCCCGTAATAGACGGTCTCCTTTTATCGTCATTCATTTATGTTTCATTTTGGGTCAGCTGCTTCCTACGATCCTTCCATGAGGTTTACAAAGTCTTTGTGGGGATTCTGGGGTCTGGCAGGGGACTTTTTGGGAGTCTCGTATGGAGTTTCATTGATATTTCATTCCGGGGTCTCAAATATATTCCAATAGACGCGTTCAAAATGGCATTTGAACTTAAAAACAGTAAGATTTAAAGGAGATGATGTATAAAATGCGACAACCTTTCAATGAGCACACGATGACATAAGTCAATATTACCCAAATAGGCATAGCGTAGGGCTCACCGACACGGTCACGGGTGCTCCGCTAGGCTCCACAAGTGACCGAAGGAAAAGAAGGAAAAATTTCGCTTTGCTTTGCTTTGGATTCAGCAACTCGACCATTCTGTCTGCATCCGATTTTATCTATCTCAAGCAACTGGACTTCCACGGATGCAGACAGACTGTTGCTGTTCTCTCCTATTCCTATCTGTAGCATAAGCCCCAAGATCTCGACGTGCAAAAAGTGTCGTGTGCTTGGACCATTCTTCAATAAGCTCCGACGTTGAATCCAAAGTCAAAGTGATTTGATCTCTGCCAGAGTGCAGAGAAGCAAATGTCGACACTGGTTTCTGCCTAGAACCTGTCCTACATCCCTTCTTCCTCGCATTCGGCCATGGTCTCCCTTGCCACGACTTCACGCAAACCGGCGCTACCGCCAACACCTACGATATCTCGATCCAAAATGCTTCCAACTTCTTCTCCAGTCCCGATCCTCAAAACCTCGAAAGCTCCTCCCGTGGTCGCCGGTTCAAAACGCAAGATGAGCGAAATGGATCTCCCCCCTCCCCCTCCTCATCCCAGGTAGAAGACGCGACAGAAGCCGTTCCTCCCAACAAGAAGCGACCCCGCGTGCAGTTTGACCAAGATGTGAAGATACATGATGTTACCTCATCGGAAAAGAGCCTGGCCCTCATTCGGGAGGAGGTCCGCGCGGCTATCCACCGACATGTCACGATGTCAGAAAGCGAAGGCTACGACCGAATCAAGGGAATGTTTTCTGCCGATCCAACAAAGCAAGACGATGACAGCCTGCTTGCATATGAGTCACCAACACACGCATCTTTACGAAACCATCTTCTTGGTCTGATCTCGCATGTCGCGTCCTTGGACCGCTCCTGCAGCGGGTTGGTCCACGCTATCATCAACAGCGAGTGGCTCGGACGGGACGAATCCTACGTGAAGCTGTACATCCGGTTCCTGGGAAATCTTGCCGCCGCACAGGGTACCTTCCTCGGTCCTGTCTTGAAGATGCTAGCCACCAACTTCGGGTCCATCCCTCGAGGACTCGGTCGACTCCCTGGTTACGCTATCGTGTCACCATCTGAAATGCATACCCGAGTCCATATGGCAATGCGCCATGTGCTTCGGCTCATCCCGGCCGGCAGTGGTTCCCTCTCCCAGATTTTGTCTGCCCAGTTCCCTGTCGACTCAGATTCAGCTAGCGCCAATGTCGCCTACACTCGCAATCTCATCCAAATCATCACGTACGCCCCAGAGCTACAGTCTGACATCCTGGCTCTTATCACCGAGAAGCTTGTCAAGGTCGACGTTGAAATCCAGGTTGATATGGAGGACTTTGAAGAGGAGGTCGGCGAAGAAATTCTGGATGAGGTTGACGATGAGGAAGATGATGATGATGCCTCAGTTTCCAGCGAGGAATCAGAAGATGACGACAGCAAGGGGGCCAAGAAGATCAAGGAAAACATTCTCAAAGTGGATGGCATGATTGATATCCTCTTCGAATACTTTTCGCCCCCGTTCACCTCGGGCACCCTAGATGATCAGGAGAATGCGTTGGATCTGCTACTCAGCCACTTCCAAACGATCATCCTTCCAACATACCGATCCCGTCACTCGCAGTTCCTCTTGTTCCATTTCTCCCAGGTCTCGCCCGTGCTCGTTGATCGCTTCGCGTCCACATTTGTGCAGCTTATTTTCAACAAGCTACAGCCTGGCATCCTGCGCCAGTCAGCAGCCGCATACCTAGCCAGCTTTGTTGCGCGTGGTGCCCATATCTCCGGAGAAGTGGTCCGCGACGTCTTTGACCTTCTCCTCACACATCTCAACAGCCTACGTATGGATTATGAAGACAGCTGCCGCGGTCCCGATCTCCGTCGCTACGGACCTTTCTACTCTACCGCACAAGCACTTCTGTACATCTTCTGTTTCCGGTGGCGGGATCTGACAACCGCTGCCATTGATGGTGATACTCCGGACCAGGTTGATGAGCTTGAGCCGGGCCAGATCGCATTTTCCCCCAACATTAAAGAATTCCTTCACAAATGCATCTATTCGCGACTGAATCCGCTCAAGGTGTGCTCCCCGGCCATCGTCTCCGAGTTCGCCCGCATCGCCCACCACTTCCAATTCCTATATGTCTACCCTCTCCTCGAGACCAACAAGCGGATTCGCGTGACTGCCTTCAGGAACCTTTCGAATCTCTCAGACCCTCGCTTCAGCCACGTTGGCCGTGAGATCCGCGCTGGTGATAACATCGGCTATCAACTAGACGCATATTTCCCCTTCGACCCCTACCAACTTCCCCGCAGCCGTCGCTGGCTGGAAGGCGACTACGTCGAGTGGCGCGGTATTCCTGGTCTCGACGACGCAAATGACTCGGACAGCGGAGCTGACGAGTCCGATGATGAATCCGGCGACGATCTCACTGAGACTGATGAGGAGTGAATTAGATACGATCTATCTTTCTCGGATCAGGACTTGATATTTGGTTCGATTTTTTTGTTACTTCAGCGTGGCGTTTGGGATTTCCACCAATATTTGCGATCTTTCGATCTTTTTTTTTCACAAAAAGTTCCCGATACCTTATGACTGACGATGTCGTTCTTCTTGAGCGTGCATGGGAACTATCCGGTGGAATTCCTGAGAAGTTTCTGTCTCGTGTACTACCATAGTGCTGATAAATCTAGCTTGTTCAAAAAATGGGAAAATAATTACATGAAATTTCGTGAACTCCTCTAACGGTCTAATAAACCCGACTGCCTTGAAAATATATGGCTCTATGCAAGATTAAATGTACATGAATTCATATCCCCCGTCACATCTCACCACCATTATGATTCTTCCAACTGCCAGCATAATGATGCTGGACCAATGAAGGACCAGTCACATTCTCATTGCTGTAAGTATTCGACGTTGCAGCGAATGAATACCCAGGCAAGATCAAAACATCCTCAACCAGGACAGGCTCCAAGAGATTCGAGATACTCGCCATATCGATCGTCTCATTGCGAACCAATTCCAAACTCTTCAAAACACCGCGAGTCAACCGTCTGGGCCCCGTAAAGTCAATCACATCCCCCGTCATCTCCAAAGTCAACCCGGAAACAGGAACCCCATACTCCCCGGTCTTCTGTCGAATCCCATCCATAATATCCTCAATAACCATCAAAAGATGCGGCGAGCCCGGCGCCGCCATAATGGTCCAACTCTCAAACTGCCGAATAAAGCTATCCCCCCCAGCCAACATCAAACTCCCACCCAACAACAAGCCCAGCTTTAGCGCGTATTGTCTCAGGGATCCATTCTCTAATGGGTACATCACCACACGAGACATCAAGATCAGCCCAGATACCGCCTTCGACGAAAAGAAGCAGATAGCGTAGGAAATCCGCTTTTAGGATTGGCACGGATAGAGAAAGGTAGGCGTGGACGATATCAGGACGATGGCTGAAGTTCTGTTCGACATATTGATCGCCAGTGAGGTCTGTCATGATCTGCGCGCTATGAGCAGGGTTTTTGTGGAGACAATCGTCCAGCCATTCGTGTGACTGGTCGCTCAACCCTTTAGGCCCAACTTTGTACCAGATCTTCTCTGGGATCCGCGGCGATGCTGGTTGGAAGCCCTTTCTGGATGTATCATATTCGGAGGGCCCTTCTGGTGTTGCCAGTCTCATGGGGTGGTAATAGAGGATGAAGAAGAGACATGTTAGGATGAATATGGTTGTCGTTGAGAATTTGGTGAATGATGGCCCCCGGGCGAGCATGGTGACGGTGTAGATGAAGAATGAAAGGATTCAAGAGACAGGATAATCATCTATGCGGCAGGAAAAGCCGTTAGGTTAAGGCTAAGGGACTGAGATGTCCATTACGATATATTGCTTTTCCCCCTGATTTTTAGTTTTTTTCTCGGACCCTATTTTTAAAGTGAGACCTCATTTTATAAGGACCCCTACAGCCCAATTAAGCGACTCAAACATTTAGGGAATTGGAATTGGTCGCTTCTATTGGTTGGATAAGCTTGGCGGATTAATCTCCACCTATAGCTGAATCCATTCTCTTATTTCCGACTAGTGTTTTGAGGCTGATTTGTGGAGGTCCGAGGTGTCTGATTTCTAAAACTTACTCCGTATTTTCTATTAATTCTCGGCTTTGCTTCTCCGTGTTCGCTGGTGGATTTACTGCTCTCTATTGGCCAATGCCTATCGAGGTACGGAGTAAACTGTCGACACTCATCATAACTTTCGATATAAAAACAAAGTTGGCCGTGGACCCTGTTCCGTGGATCATAGTTTCGGCATCCGTCGGCTCCCGAGATCCCCAACGTCTCGGATTCCAAACACTTCCACATAGGAACCTTCGTGACCAAGTCTGTACCTTTGTGAAGCCTTTACTAGGTTCAACCGGAAGCTTCATTGGCTCTTTCAGTGGGGTGTGAGTAGTGTGGACACATAACTTAGTACGATACGTATATGAAACAACTAAAGATCCATAGGCTCAGTAATTTTACTTTTAAACCCACAAGTAACTATAAAAAGAGGTAATTATCCATCAATGTGAAGTATATATGTAGTTTAATGCTCGGTATCCGCAATAGAATGCTCAAGATCGGGCAGCTTTCTTTTCCCAATCCTAAGTTTCTTCCGAAGGTTCAAAGCTCTCACACGGTATGCGCGCTTCCGCCTCCGCGGAGGGTAGTTGACTGGACTTTCACCACCAGTAAAGATGGCCATGTCATAGACCAAGGCACCAAACAATGCACCGGTGATATCTGCGACCCATGGACCCCAAATCCACCACGCATGGTATTCTCGGAAAATATGTCCACCCCATCCAGCCATGACCGCCACAAGTCGCGGGCCAAAGTCTCGTGCGCAATTGAAACAACTATAAAGAGACCGATGATTAGTTTTGAACCTGGTAGTGCTGGGAATTAGGAATGGAACACTTACCCTCCGGTATTGTACCCAAGTGCAAGGATCACAATCGTAATGATAATCCCAATAATAAATGCCTGCATTCCCGCTCCTGGGGGTGCATTTGTATCATCTCCCAGGGCGAGAATAGAGCCAACTAAGATTGCGCTGCCCAGAAACTCGGTGAAGAACGCAGTCGCAGGATGCACAAATGATTTCGGTAAGGTGAGAAGAGCCTGAGCGGCGACGCTTGCATTCTGAGGTACTTTGGCTAACGTGGCGACCTCAACAATGGCATCGTGGTATATCGCGTATGATATACCTCCTGCAGTGATAGCGCCGAGGAGTTGCGCAGCAATGTATATGACGCATCGACGCGCGGGGAATCCGCGAAATACAGATAGCGAGATTGAGATGGCTGGGTTTAAGTGGCCACCAGACATACCTCCAGTAGTATAGATGGCGGTCATGAATCCAAAGCCCCAAGCAACACTTTGAGCAGGGTATGATCCAGCTTGTCCGGAAGAAGTGAAGTTAGATAAAGTAGCGCAAAGACCGATTGTCATTGCCATAGTTGTCTGCGAAAGATATTTATTAGCCAAATAGTTTGAATTTTTTGGCGATATCAACAACTTACTCCGAGCCATTCAGCCATCGGCTCGCGAAGATAGTGACGAATTTTCGACCAAGTATTGAAAAAACCGTCTTCCCGGGGATCATTGACCTTCTTCTTTCGATTTTCCGCTGACTGCTGTTTCCGAACTTCGTCCATCTGAGCCGGATCCTCGTCACTCTCTGTCATGGCGCCTTTATCCTCCTTTCGATCCTCTGGTAAGGCGCCGTGACGCATTCCAGGTCGGACAATATGAGGGAGTGGCTGAGCCAGACTCCAGGTTGGACCGTCCTCTCCTTTGTCGGCCTGAAAATTGTACTTCTCGTACTCTTCATCTGTATACCCACGGTTGTTGTTCGGATTCTGCGCGCCAGAGCCCGCCAAACTATATGATGGGTTATGGCCCATGCCATCATTCTTGCTTCCTTCTTCTTCGGTGCCTTCTGGTTGCTCGCGTTCGGGAGCTTCCACGGCGTCTATCAGTGTATTAGCGTTATCCCCGCTTCGCAGTGATTTATTCAGGCGTTTTGACATACCTTTGACTCCGGTATCCCGGTCAAATTCCTGTGAAGGTCCCATCACAACAAAAATAAGAAAGATAAATTGCGTAAAGTTAACACAGCAAAGAAAACTAGAAAAAAAATAAGATTATTTGAGACGTTCTAATGATTTTTTTAACGAGTTTCGATCTGCCAAGTTACAGCTTGATTCCAGACCCAGAAGAGAATGTAGCTCCACTCTTTCGTCACCGTCCATCGTCAACCTTGGAAATCCCTGAGGATCCTTTTATCAGGGAAAGCTACTTGTATCCCAATTGATGTAGACAGTTAATTGGTGGATACTATCCCGGATAGATAAACAGACGTTGCGGGCGCATATACCCGTGTTGATCAGAACTAGACCTTGCCTGAAGATCGCCCAATACCTTACCCGCCCACGGAAGTCTGACTGGGTTTTTATGATAACTTGGCACCCGCCTTTACTTTTGTCTCTGAAGCTCCTGTTAGGAAACTTGCCTCTTCGGCCCACTGACCAACATTAAACCTGGCGGGAGCCAGCCTATCACCCAAGCATATAAATTCCCTCTCAACTACCCATCCTTCTAGCGTCATCTCGAGGATACCATGATGACCCCACACTGCCGTCAACGGAAGGGAGTCTCCAGCTCTTGGGGCGGCTTGTAGGCAGAGAGCTCACTAGGAGGAGAATAACCTGATTTCTGTCCCGGTCTATCCCAGTACGTCGTTGTCGCAGCGGCCTGAGATTGGAGTCCCGCCACCAAAGCCTGAGCAGAAAGTCGTTTTCTCCGCTCAAATAATGCCCAGCCCAGCGCAGTGAGAAGCAGGACTCCTAGTGGTATTCCCACCCCAGCTCCGATCACGACAGCGTTGTTATTTTTCCCTTCCGTATTACCATTGCCCGCCTTGTTCTCGTCGCTTGGCGTAGTTGGACATGCAGTTGTGCTCGAATCCGACGTGGAGTTTGAGCTAGTATCACCAGTGGTGTAATTGGCGAGCGCAGCCTTGCCCGATATCAACTCCCCGGAATTAAGTGTGAAAGGGGAGCCAGCATAACAAGCAAGGTCGCCGGACGAATTGACCACAACGGAGTTGGCGCAATAGTAAGGTTTCTTGTCCATAACGTGATAAAACGGCAGCGCACACCCTGTATTGCGCATGTCGGTTGCTGTAACAAGAAAAAGGTAGTTGTTAGCTTTTGAATCAGAACCTCGAAATGTATGAGATCGGCTTACCATCAGAACACTTATCGTCGCACCCGCTGTCTGCTGACCAGTTCTTATTGGTGCAGCTGCCTCGGCTCAGCGTATATGGTTGTGAGACCCCATAACAAAGCCCATTGCTGAGACAAATTGAATCTTTGGAGCAACATGGTGAGTCTGCATCACCCGAAAAACAAGGGACGTCGTCGAGGGCAACATCTCCGCTAGGAAAATAGCACTGCTTGGATGCTGCGGCCAGGGACGCAAATATGGAGAGGTGGAGAAGGGAACAGGGGACCATCGCGAGATGAAGAGATATTGAAGCAGCTGGATGAGGAGTGTTCTACAGTCCCATTATTGGAATAGGAGAAGGCAACATCAAAGCTAGAGTTGCACAAAGACCCTGGGATCGACATCGTAAGCGCCGCTATAATGTTTCAGCACCTTTTGGGCTAAGCGACACACAAATAATGGCATCCCAGTGGATAAGCAACGGGGATGGGTTTGGGGGCCGGGGGGCCGGGCGCGTAGCTGAAAGCCAAAGGAGATAGACAGGTTCAACATAGAGAGGGGTAGTTGGATCATTACCACTTCGGGAAAGACGATACCTACGGAGTAGTTTTGTTCAAGAACAATATCAAACTTAGGTAAATACCCAACTCTTATTCTTGAGGTTAACGTTTGAAGAAATTTAAGGATATCGGTACGCCCTGAAATTAGCCTTTCTTGTGCAACACTTCGTGGACCATCACCCGTGGACCTTCCAAGACGGGAAAGCGGGCCGTAGGTGAAAAGCGGGTCCGAGGGCCAAAGCATAGGGTCAGGCTATAGGTACTTGAGGGAGTCTCAACCTGAGCATCGGGTATCACATAGCTATCTACTATCTACTTTGTATGTAGTTGGTATACTGGAGGTGGTCAGTCGGTGGACACTGGTTTAGAGAGAAGGTCGACTAAACTCCGCCTCCTGTAAAAATATCCTCTTGGCTTTGACTCTCTCGCAGGCGGATTTGGCACTTTATATACCTCAGCTCAATGGGAGCGTAACTAGGCCTTTCTAATTCCCTCCGAGTGGGGCTTTTGAAAAGTCATTGAAATATAAAGCTTAGCGGCCGGCGCATCGTAGGGAGACATGCACGGATTATTCCCATGTTGCACTCGATAAGAGTCCAGATTAACCGAGGGATAAAACTCCCTATGTTTAAATTTTATTAGTAGTCGTTTTCTGAGTGCTTATTTCTTTCGAGGCTTCTAAGAAGCGTCGATTGGGGTACACCGGAAAGTTTATGACGAGGACTGACGCGATTGTCCATGTAGCGATAAAAGCCGTAATCCATAGTATGTCGTTCTATGGTCAAACAACTGACGGTATCCTGAATGGTATCTCAGATAGGGACCATGTGCCTTTCGTACTGCGCTTTCAATGGCGCTCATTGCGACTGTTTCCTCCATTTGGCTGGCTTTTGCTTCCTAGCTGTGGTGCATGGTTATGGCAAGCGAACAGCGGATATGGGAGAGAGTGTGCATATAAATCTCAAGGTATGTATATATGCAGTGATATCGGCCCTGTATAATGCTCGTTCTAAATTCTCATTGCCCTACAATGGCTTTACAAAAGCTTCTATCCTCCTCCTTTACCTCCCCATACTTATTACAGAGTCTTCCCGACCTAAACTAAATCACGGCAAAGCCCCACTTAGCCCTATCGACGCTATATTAGATGCGTTAGTTGATTTCCAACACCCAGCTTCTCCCACACTCTGTCTTCTTTAATTTGCTTCTCCGATTTAATTAACACTTTCTTTGAAAGGGTGTAAGGGTGAACCATGAGAGTTACATGGCTGGTCTTCACGGCCGTTGCCGTAGCGCGACAGGCCCATGTCGGGTCGAATGGAGTTATTCAGGGCCACGAGGCATTGAAGAATCCGGGGGTCACAGAATGGCTGGGGATTCCCTACGCGCAGCCGCCGGTCGACCAATTGCGATTCGCACCGCCCCAGCCCTACACACCAAGGGGTGTTCACATCGCCTCGGACTATGTAAGAGCTCATTCTATCATTTACATCCTGCTATGAAATTGCATGAAATGTGAAGTTCTGACACTAGTATAATATAGGGGAAGTGAGTATTATCTAGCATAACATTGTTCTGCTTCCTCAATCAACACAAAATATACAGAGACTGCATGTATCCGGTGTCGAAGCTGGTCGACTATCCCGACAAAACTCCACAATTTGACAGCATCTTCGAAGCCTTCGCGGCTATTAATAACAACACTCAAAGTGAAGATTGCTTGACTCTGAATGTTTGGTCCAAGCCAGACTCAAATCAGCTCAAGCCAGTCTATGTCCATTTCTACGGTGGTAGTAGGTTTTTGCTTCTTGTGTATATATTACCTCATGTTTCTAATCTATGATACAGGATGGACAAGTGGCACAACCAATACTCCCTTTTACTATGGAGGCAGATTTGCCGATGCAGAGGACGTAATCGTTGTGACAGTCAACTCTCGCATGAATATCTTCGGATTTCCTGGTCTGCCTGGAAACCCTCCCAATCTTGGTCTACTAGACCAACGTTTAGCCGTTGAATGGGTAAAGCAAAATATAAATGGATTTGGTGGTGACCCAAGCCGCATTACTATATCTGGCCAGTCCTGTGGAAGTGCTTCTGTTGATTATTGGGCATACGCATACCACTCCGAACCTCTAGTTGCCGGTTTGATCTCGCATTCCGGTACAGCCCTCAGCTTCCCGACGAATAATAGGACAACCGCAGCAAAGCATTGGTATACTGTGTCTGCCCAGTTAGGCTGTGGTTCTTCAGGGGATGTGCTGCCGTGTATGAGAAAGCAAAACGCGACCGCTATTCTCGCAGCAGCTAGTGCAGTGAAAGTTCCAACCACAAATCCTGCGAGGAAATCTCCGGCTTTCCAGCCTACTGTGGATAATGTGACTGTTTTTGAGAATTACACTCTTCTTTCGCAGCAAGGGAAATTCGCCCGCATAGTGAGTGGGCTCTCCTAGACTTCGACCATACTCAACGGTGAGCAATGTAGTTGCTAATCATCCCTTCTTCAAACAGCCCTATTTGGTCGGGCATAACGCCAATGAAGCGGGGTTTTACAAGGTTGCGGCCTACGCCCAGGGATCGAAGTTAACAGACAAGCAATGGGATGTCTTCAATATGCAAACGTTCTTCTGCCCATCCAATCTCGAAGCAGCACACCGAAGACGCCGACATACACCAGTTTGGCGATTTCGATATAACGCGGACTGGGAGAATACCCGTCTTTACCCTACTAGTGGAGCATACCATGGCGTGGAGTTTAACATGATTTTTGGAGAATCTGCTGAGATTACCGGGATTGCTGAGTCTGATGCGCAGCGCCAGTTGCAGGGCCAGATGCGTTCAACTTGGGGATCATTCATCGCTGATCCCCAACACGGACTAAAAGCCCAGGGATGGCCAAGCTATGATCCTGAAGGTGAGTTCACAAAGACTCGATCAAGATGATCTGTTTTCTAATATTCTTCAGCTTCAACCCTTGTTGAAATCGGTCTTGGTAATCATCCCAGCGTTTCTTTTGTAGACACAAAAGACTCCGCTCAGCGCTGTGCAGCTTTGCTAGCACAAATATGAGGCGACTTAATATCGCTAACCTTTCTCGGTCGAGCATTAAGAAATGGGAGCCGGTACATGCGCCTGGGGTAGCGTCACTCAGTGAATACCTTGCCTGCTATCACAAAGTGGAAAGAGGTGAGGACTGATGGAAAATGAAATGTTCCGAGTGATATCATGTGGTACATCTTTGATGTGTATTCCATACTTTTATTCTCATGTGAGGGTTGTAGGCTCTGGGTTTCCGCTTAGTTTTCAGTATTGCAGTCGAGGTCGATGTTATACATGTGATCCCAACCAATATAATCTGATAAGACAGCTGCAGATACACCGTATATATGTTGTAGGTACATATGTATATATGGAACGGGTTGATAAAGTGACAGTAGGATAAATATATCAAACAACGCTATGTACAGTCGACGCCGTGGATGCCAGTTCAAACGCCAAGGTAAAGCCCCGCAGTGCTAAAAAAATAACTAAGAATATAAGACATAAAAAGTCAAGAAAATGATCACCGGTCGAAGATAGCCTTCATATCCGCACAGGCATCGCGGTATAAGATGTCCACGCTGTTTTGATCCCGCCAGGGATTGGGTGACTTATCCCAGGCATGCCGAGCTTTCTCGATGAGCATGGCACGGGGCCGTTTACCGAGATTTTCTAAGCGGCGAACGAAAGATTGGCCCTCTTTCATCAACATATCCCACTCGCAAATAAAGAGAAACACGTCGTGGGGAAGGGCGTCCGACAGCATACGGTCAGATGCGTGGATGGGAGAGGCATATGGGGAGACACGTTCGTCTAAATCAGGAAGATAGGCCTCATCGAAGAGGGTGGTGAAAAATGCAGGGAGAGTCTTATCCGGCATCAGACTCATAGCACGACGGTGATCGCGAGATTCTTCGAAATCAAGAATCGGGTACCAAGAGAACAAAGCAACGATGTTGAGATCGCTGACCTGATTGAGCAGATTTTGTGTGGATTCCGCTCGACCTAGTTGGTCCTTCACTTCCGTGGATATCCTGCTCCGCAACCGCAAGGGCACTGTGACAGCCAGGTTGCCGCCCGCAGAGAACCCGCTCAGCGCGACACGGCTCACATCCAATCCCAGTTCGCCAGCATGTGTCGCCAGATATAGTAGTGCCTCGACTCCGTCGTCTACTGCGGCGGGAAATGGGTATTCGGGTGCTCGTCGGTAGGCGACACTCACCATTACGGCCCCGACATTGTCCAGTACTGATTTCGCCCAGCGAGAATCATCCGTGGCGGCACCAAGTGTGAAACCACCACCGTGGAAGTTGACGGCGACGGGAAACCGATGGCCTAGCCTTCGCTGCCCATGATAATCTGGTGGGCAGTAGAAGTGGAGGAGGACGGGGTGGCCGGAGTCGGAGGTAATGGTACGGGTAAATAACGGTCGGGGTGGTCGGGGAGCGATCTCGTGCAGGAACATGCCGATCCGCATCAGGAACCGCCAAAAGATGGCCTGCACATAGAGCCACCAACGAGATGAGGCCATGACGCTGCAGTGGGAAGTAATGTTCGTCCTATCAATGTGGTATGCGCATCGGAGGGAGTCGGAAGCCGAGGGTGATAAGACGGGAATAGCGTAAGACCAGGTGAGATATTTTGAGATTGAGGGAAGAGCAAACCGAGGATGTGAGGGAAATAATACTAGTGAGAGACGCAGGTTCGGAGTAATATTGAAATAGAGTAGAAAGTACAACGTAAGATCAACGGAAGCAAAGAAGCAATGGCCAGTTTTCCCTTGGCCTGTGAGGAGGGACTGCGGACTCCATACCAAGAAAATCAGGCTTGTCCAGGTGCCCAGGTGCTTTCCAAGGTTGGATCTCGGATGATGTCATCATTCCAGGGCCAGGTTTATCTTTTTTTTTGGACTTTGTGTACTTTGTAAAAGACATATATTTATTTGGATTCTTCGGTTGATACTTGGAAATTTCTAGTTTCTACAGTTTCTACTATTCCATCATCTTCAATTCCTCCAGAGCTATTTGTGTGCTTAGGTCGGTCTCGGAACTCGGGATTTCTCTTGAGACAACTTCCAAGGTTAAAATCGATTGGAAATCGCCCGTTCCGGCCCACCCCCCACTTCTCCCAGGGCTTATATATACAAAATCTCCCCTCTTCGTTCGCTTTTCCCTCAGATTTAACAACGATGTCGATTAAACGTGCCCTCTCAAAGGCAATTAGAGGACAGTTGAGTGCTGAGGATGACTCCTCCGGTTCCAACATTCGCTCTGCCCTACCTCCCAAAGTTCGTACCAACCAATCTCGGTCTGGTTCCCCCACCGCATCCCCTCGTCGCAGCATTCTCAGCAACTTCCTACGTGAGAAGAATGACTATATTTCTTCATCTGAAGATGTCTCCGATGACTCTTCTTCCGGTACCTTGAGCAAAAATCAACAAAAGCGGTTGGTACGTCAACACCGTCGAAGCGAGCGCAGCCGGCTCAGCGAGGAGATGTTCTCCGAGACCGACCGCCGCCACAAGGAAGAGGAGATTGCCAAATCTGCGGCTGCGGAGACGCCTGACATGAAAGCTCGATATGGCGAGCTTCCCTTGATGCAGTCGGCCACTCGACCACGAGAATTGCGGACTCGGATCGATGACATAAACCTTGCCATGGATGGACAGGAAGTGTTCTTCACCGCACGATTGCACGTCATCCGTCGAATGAGTGCCAAGTTAGTGTTCTTGGTATTCCGCCAGCAGCTAGGTACCTTCCAGGGTGTGTTGCATGAGCGGGAGGGGATCTCGTCTCTCGCCATGATCCAGTGGGTGGAGCACCTCCGAGTGGGGTCTTTTGTCACGGTCCGCGGCACTGTCCAGAAGCCCGAAGTTCCAGTTTTGGGCTGCTCAATTCATGATGTCGAGCTGGCCATTGACTCGATTCACCTTCAAGTTCGTCGCGAGGAACCTGTTCCCTTCAGCGTCTACGAGGCAGAGATTCGGACCAACGAAGAAGAGAAGGCCGAGGGCCGCCGCAACCATATCCCGGACCGGACCCGTTTGGCCAACCGAATCCTTGACCTTCGCACCGCAACCTCGCAATCCATATTCCGCCTTCAGGCCGTGACATGTAATCTGTTCCGTTCTGCCCTTGATGACCGCGAATTCATCGAAATTCACACCCCGAAGTTGCAAGGCGCCGCTACGGAGTCCGGAGCGAGTGTCTTCCAGGTCAACTATTTCGGCCGCCCTGCATTCCTCGCTCAGTCTCCTCAATTGGCAAAGCAGATGGCTATTGCTGCTGATTTCGGCCGCGTCTACGAGATTGGTGCTGTTTTCCGTGCTGAAAACTCCAATACCCACCGTCATCTTACAGAATATACTGGATTGGATCTTGAGATGGCTATTGAGGAGCACTACCACGAGATGCTTGAGACCCTCGACGCTGTGATTAAAAATATTCTCAGCGGTATCTACACCAAACACCGCCGTGAGGTCGACCTCGTCAAGCACCAGTTTCCCTCCGAAGATGTCGTATGGCTGGAAAAGACCCCAATCATTCGTTTTACCGATGGTATCAAGATGCTGAACGACTCTGGTTGGTTGAATGAAGACGGCGAGCAACTGCCTCTAGACGAGGACCTGGGTACCCGTGATGAAATTCGCCTGGGTGAGCTTGTCAAGGAGCAATACGGTACCGATTACTACGTCCTTGACAAATTCCCTCGCGGCGCACGTCCCTTCTATACGATGCCCGACGCCGAAGATGACAACTACACCAACTCATTTGACATGTTCATTCGTGGCCAAGAGATTGTCTCGGGTGGCCAACGTATCCACGATCCCCACATGCTCGAAGAAAATATGCGGCGTGTGGGTATTAACCCGGATGATATGGAGGAGTATCTCGAGGGCTTCCGCTGGGGTGCCCCGCCCCATGCTGGCGCAGGAGTTGGCCTGGAACGTATCGTGATGCTTATTCTCAAACTGGGCAACATCCGCCTCACATCACTATTCCCTCGCGACCCCAAGAGTTTGCCAGCTAAGCCTGTCTCTGAACAACTCCGACACCCAGAGTCGTCGACCATTGAACCGCCGTGGCACCACGAGCACAAAGCTCGGGCAGCTTCGGACCCCAGTGAGCTGCAGCCTTTGGAACATCTGGTCGCTAATTACGGCGATGCCACATCTACCTCGTGGTTTGATGACCGCTTCAAGATCTGGCGTGACATGACCACCGGTGCAGCTGTCGCCTACGTTCCTAGCTCTAACAACTATGCAATCATTCCCGGTAACCCGGCCTGCGATCCCAAGCAGTACACACGCACAATTACGCAATTCTTGCAATGGCTACGCCGCGAGACCAAGTTCAAGCCCGTGTGGATCCTCTGCTCGCCTGAGGTTGAGACTATCCTTGGCGAGAGACTAGGCTGGCGCAGTTTGTCCTGTATCGCCGAAGAGCGCGTTGATCCATCGCGCAACCAGGCTGCTTCTGACGGAGAGATTGCACGTAAGCTGCGTCGCGCCGAAGCCGAGGGCATTAAGTTGGTCTCCATGAACCAAGGCGAGATGGTACCAGACGATATCCGCAAGAAGATTGACGAGCGTGTCAGCGAGTGGCTGTCCAACCGCAAGGGCACGCAAGTGCACCTGTCCCAAATCCGCCCATGGTGTGACTCCGAGCACCGTTGGTACTTCTACGCCCTTGACAAGAACGGCGTCGTCTGCGCCTTCGTCGCTTTGGCTATGCTATCTCCTGCCCACGGTATGCAAGTCAAGTACAGTCTTGATTTCCCCGGCGCGCCCAACGGTGTTATTGAGTACATTGTTACGCATGCAATCCAGACCGCCGCCAAGGCCGGCGTCAAGGGCCTCACATTTGGCGCTGGCGCCACTACCCAGCTCACCGCTGGCCACAACATGCGCGGAACCAAGGTCAAGATGCTGGAGCACACCTACGAAGCCCTTGCTAAGCAGTTCCACCTTGTGCGCAAGAGTGAATTCCGTGCTAAGCTCGGTGCCACCGAGGACCCGCTGTATATCTCCTACCCCTCGCACGGTCTGGGCTCTAAGGGTATCCGCGCGATCTTGAACTTCTTTGAAGATTAAGATTAAGGTTAAGCTACGTTAATTGTAATGGCTGAGCCATTCACGCAGCTACGATTTAACGGGAGTTTTGTGTGATCTCGTCATTGGATCTAGATGTCAGTCCGTCCACTGGGCTTATCTGGAATAGACTGGCATAAATACCAATCAGGTTCTGGGAGCCGCATATAGAGAGGAAAGAAGGGAGGGAGAGTTGGTTGACCTACACGTCCGCTTTTGGGTTTTTTTATTTGCTTTAACTCTTATCCCTGTTGCCTCTCATACACTACCCATATAGCTTTGCTTTTTATTCCCCACCGCCGTTGCTCATCCTGTATCCAGCACCCCCCTCCTATGTATCTGATTTTGCGGCTTTGGCATTTAATTGTTTTTGTTATGCTATCTGAATTTTGCCTTTTACATCTCTATTATTTGACCTTGTTTGTCTGGGTCAATGGTTCTACACTGGATATGTACACAACCTTGCCCTTGGAACTAATGATAATGTAGTCCATGTTAAAGAATCTTTTCATGAGCTATATAATTGAATGAGCTTGGGTGCTCATTCCTTATAATCTCTCCCATTTATTTCTCATTAATAGACCTCATTGAATCATTCCCAATTCACTAACCTATCGATACGCTAATTCTACCAGTGCGGAACCCTTCCAGAATGGCGAGTGAGGTACACAAATAATTGCCCAACAGCCACGTTAGATCTCCAGAGGAACCAAGAAATATATCTCAATGCTTTTCTTTGCTAAGTTCATACATCCTACTAAAATCGTACATCTCTAAAACGCACAAAACCCCACACAACCCTCATTTCTTCTTCATCTCCTCCAAAACACTCTGCCTCCTAGCATCACCCACAACCCTCCCAACCTCATTTACAGCCCACCTCCCCAACACCAGTGCAAGAATAGCAACAAGCACCATCCACCCAGCAGTCGGCACCAACGAGCGCGGGAAAACATTAAACAAGAACGGATCAAGGATCAAGTCCACCGCCACAGGTGAGACATTCTGCATCAATACCTGGTCGGCACTGAAGTAATCTGCTGCGGCGTGCACACGCAGAAACAAGACCGAGTCACTAGTCGGCGCAGGGTCGAGCGGATCTTTGCTGCTGCGCGAATTGGCACGGCGCGGGATGACATTTCCCTGGAGCTTTGGGTCTAATGTTGCCAGTCTCGCTGATGTGTACATGCTCAGCGAAGACAGGAGGTTTGTGTCTTCGATTGTTTTTGAGAGTGGGTAAGTGGTGAGGGTGAATGTTGTTGGTTGCTAGGCGGGGGTGTTAGATATTTTCTTGTGTGGCGATGGGCATTATACATGTAGGAAAATAAAAATAGAGAGGGAGATAGAGGATTGGAGAGGAGGAATTGACGGGTGATCTTACCGTGGCTAGCCAGCATACTCGGACTTCATACCGCTGGCCCGGGTTCAGGTTTTCAAGGAAGAACCATGAGTCTGTGCCGTCAGGTGCGGCGGCTGTTGGGAATGAGGCATTGAGGTGAGTGCGCACCACGGGTCTCTGTGGTGATAGACGCTCCAGACCTAGGTCGTCGACGTCTGGCTCGTTGGAAGGGACGGTTGCTGGTGCTGGTGCTAGGAAGATGGTCTTTTCCACATTTGCTTGCGCCACTGCTGTGAAGAGGGGGAGTATGAGTCCCAGAGTAGGGATGAGCTTGATATGCATGATGAGAGACTTGGTGTTTTGCTGTGCAATATAGGGAGACTTTTAGGTGGGTGAAATAATGTTTTAGAGATGTCTTATTCTTGGCACATGGCGAGGATCAACCAATCCCAATAATAGTTCTAGAGGTCAATTAGTATTCAAATATTGAATGTATAGTGTTGGAAGTGTATACGGAGCACAGTACCGAGATGTGTTGTCTTAGTGCTTTTGGCTATGATATGGCCGAATGGTGGTTCGAGGTGGTTCCCCCCCGAGTGGATCCGAGCTGACCGAGTATTCAGATAGCTCCAAACGCCGTTATCACACCACACCACCCTTTAAGGGAGTTGACCACGCTGAGCACTCTTGCACAAGCTGGATGTATTTTCGAATTTCAAATTTTCTCGTATAACTATTTAAGCTTAAATATGTCTATTTTTTAATACTAAGATATTACAAGGTACTATTGTTCTCCATCACGTGAAATCACGAGACCCGTACGAGGCGGTCAGTAACCGCTGCTCCTCACCGGGAAAGAGCCAATCAAAAGGCCCAACGCGACCCAACGAACGGATCAACAACGAAGTTCCCCCTGTACAGCACAGACGGCTCCTCCTCCACAACATTTCTGGTCGACTTTGTTTTCCCTTCCATCTTCTCGTCCATTCCTCCATTCTTCAGGTAAGGACAGCCCCCGCCCCCTTCCATCGTGCATTTACCTGTCAATTTGAACCTAACCGAAAGTTTCAGACCACCGCGTTTGTTGTTTGGGTTCCGTTTTCCCCTCCTGATTTTTTAGCCTAAAAAAACATCGACTCGATCACAATGAGAGAGATTATCAGTTTGAACGGTATGTCAACATCGTTCATCTATTCTGCTTGTCGGAATTGATATATTTTATTCAATGGACGCGCTGACATGATATTTCTCTCCAGTCGGCCAGGCCGGTTGCCAGATCGCCAACTCCTGCTGGGAGGTAACTATCACCACCCCCATTGAGGGACAAGTCTTCGGTAAACTGACAGCATTGACTTTCTAGCTGTACTGTCTGGAGCACGGTATCCAGGTATGTTGAAATTCCAATCAAACTCGTGGTGGCGCCCAACCTTGACTCGGGCACCCGTACCCCCTATTTTCTTGCCGAGAGGTAAACACCCGCGACTAACATGGATCATAGCCCGATGGATACCTCACTGAGGAGCGCAAGAAGGCCGACCCCGACCACGGATTCAGCACTTTCTTCTCTGAGACTGGTATGAAAACCCTGAATTTTTTTAAATCTCCCCCGCCTTGATGTGCAAAATTCCAAAGCATGGCTCCCTAACATTCTTTCTCCCCCCACTTCACAGGCCAGGGCAAGTACGTTCCCCGTACCATCTACGCCGATCTCGAGCCCAATGTCGTCGATGAGGTCCGTACCGGTACCTACCGCTCGCTCTTCCACCCCGAACAGATGATCACCGGTAAGGAGGATGCTTCCAACAACTACGCCCGTGGTCACTACACCGTGGGTAAGGAGATGATCGATGAGGTCCTCGACCGTGTTCGTCGTGTTGCCGATGCCTGTGCTGGTCTCCAAGGTTTCTTGGTCTTCCACTCCTTCGGTGGTGGTACCGGTTCCGGTTTCGGTGCTCTCCTGATGGAGCGTCTGTCCGTCGACTACGGCAAGAAGTCCAAGCTGGAGTTCTGTGTCTACCCCGCTCCTCAGAACGCTACCGCCGTTGTTGAGCCCTACAACTCCATCCTCACCACTCACACCACTCTGGAGCACTCCGACTGCTCCTTCATGGTCGACAACGAGGCTATCTACGACATCTGCCGCCGCAACCTCGGCATTGAGCGCCCCAGCTACGAGAACCTGAACCGCCTGATCGCTCAGGTTGTTTCTTCCATCACTGCTTCCCTGCGTTTCGACGGTTCCCTCAACGTCGACCTCAACGAGTTCCAGACTAACTTGGTGCCTTACCCCCGTATCCACTTCCCTCTGGTCGCCTACTCCCCCATCATCTCCGCCGACAAGGCCGCCCACGAGGCTCACTCTGTCACCGAGATCACCTCCAACTGCTTCGAGCCCCACAACCAGATGGTCAAGTGTGACCCCCGCAACGGAAAGTACATGGCCACCTGTCTGCTCTACCGTGGTGATGTCGTCCCCAAGGAGGCCCACGGTGCCGTGGCCACCCTCAAGACCAAGCGCACCATCCAGTTCGTCGACTGGTGCCCTACTGGCTTCAAGCTCGGTATCTGCTACCAGCCTCCCCAGCAGGTCCCCAACGGCGACCTTGCCAACCTCAGCCGTGCTGTGTAAGTTTTTGCTCTGATTCTTTTGGGTCTTGAAGCCTGATTCCAACTTTGATACTAATTATAATATAGCTGCATGCTGTCCAACACTACCGCCATCGCCGAGGCCTGGTCTGCTCTCGACCACAAGTTCGATCTCATGTACTCCAAGCGTGCCTTCGTTCACTGGTACGTTGGTGAGGGTATGGAGGAGGGTGAGTTCTCTGAGGCTCGTGAGGATCTCGCTGCTCTGGAGCGTGATTACGAGGAGGTTGCCTCCGACTCCATCGAGGGTGATGAGGAGCTGGAGCCCGAGTACTAGATTAGCCATGTTATTTGACCGGTCTTCGGGACTCTTGGTTGTTTCACTTCTACGGGTTGGCTTGGGGACCAACGTGAGTCTAGAGGTTCGGTCTGCATGCGTCTATCGGGCTTCTTGCAAATAGAAGGGAACATAAGTTTTGCTGCCAATGATTTTCTGGCTTTGTTGTTCGATATATCTTTAATATCCCTTAAGCAGCGATGAAATTTCCCCTCGTTCCATCCACCTTTTGGGTTTCTACATACGTATGTCATTGTTATTACTCTGAAGTTGTCTCTCCTTTGTATCATCAGGTGTGCATATTGTAGGTAGCTGGGTTGGACTCTCGAAATGTGCTGTCTCATAGTCGGAGATTGAAGAAATATCTTGGACACCGGGTTTGATCAACGTCATGCAGCATACATCAAGGTTTACACTGTACGAAAACCTGAAATGAAAGGCAATTTCGTTATTACATGAAACACTTTTCGGGGCGGGAGATGCATAGGGACCAATCTACCTAGGTAGTTATACTAAGTATCAGGAAAGTCTGGGTATATTGTTCCGTGGTAAGTCATCCCGGGGAACCGTGGGGACTGGTATGTGATAACATTGGCTGCATCTCTGCGTCTGAGGCATCACCACCCATATTTTCCCGATGTCCATTTTGAGTCGAGGCGTTCTGAATGCTGGTACAACCTTGATAGAATGAAAACTGAAACTTCAGAGAAATATACTCCGAAACAGCTTATATCCTCGGAGCTTTGAGGCCATGCAAGACCCGGAGGGCCAAACAAGTACCCAAGTAAAGGCCAAGCAGGGAATCAGGACTGGGCTCTCATAGGGCTTTGATTGTAGGTTTCAGGGTAAGACGGTCAGATCTACAGATATGGATGTTGCACGGAGTGGAGAAAACGGGGGTTATGTTGAACGTTTATATATTCCGGTGCTAGCAACAGCCATGCAACTTATATGTTCTATTTCCCAAAAAGACCATGTTGATATTAGATGGGGAATATCCTAATTTCAAAGGGAGATCGAAGACATACACGGCTTTAAAGTTCTAACATCTAACTGATTGGATTAGGACTGTCAATGTTGATTTTGTTCATGCAGTATCTATACCTCTCTGGCTTTGTCTAGAGTGTTCAGTGTATCATATCAAATCGCCCTCTGGATAATATTTGAGAGAAGTCCACTAGATAAGTTTGGATGGCTTACTATAAGCTATGTTTTGCTTTTTTTACCTGTCTCTCTAGCTGGGATATGTTGTGACAGTCGCTGCCTTTGATGTACTATATAACTCTAATTGAGACTCGGAAACCACGCAAGTACAAACTGATTCCCTTGGGTCCACTTGTACAGGAAGCTATTCTCTCAATTAGTTGTCTCCAAGCTCCAACATCTTTCAATCGTTCTTTGTAGTTAGTATCCCCCCTTTCAAGGCGAGACAACGTGTTGGGACCGAGATGGGCGCTAGACTGACTGACCGCCTTGGGAACCCCAGGAGCCTGGTTCCTTACGACATCGACTCCAGCCACTTTCTATCCCCATTCCTCTTGAAAGGTTATTTTTCTCCTTGGAGCTCGAGATTTCTTCGTATCTCGTGTCCTTGCCGTCTCTGTTAAATACTGCGCTCTACCCATGCTTGTCGCATATTCAGACTAAGCTGACAGCATCCCGTGTCTCCAACTTGACCCTCAAGGCCCCCAACTATTGTGAACTTATTGGAAGGCGGGGAGTTAAGCTCCTCCTAGGACACAGCAATGGCTGATACCGGTGAGTGATACTTAATACTCCTTGTCAGACCCAAAATGAATTGCAAGAGAGCTTTGGCGCACTTAAGGAGAAGGCCCGCCGACCTCCGTCATCACCACCCCTCCCCTTTGTACACCCGCATTTCCTATGCGCAACCCAGCGGAGCTGACGGATCACAATCTTATAGCACAACGACACCCGAACCTTCACCTCACTCCTGAGGAAAAGCGCGTTTTCTTCCAGCTTTTCCAGGCTGCTGATACCACCAACCTCGGCGTCATCACTGGTGAAATCGCCGTTCCATTCTTCGAGAAGACTCACCTATCCCCTGATACTCTCGGCTTGGTATGTGGATATAATATTGGTGTTAGATCTCAACAATGAGACTTGCGGCTAATTATTAGTGGTGTAGATATGGCAAATTGCGGATAAAGAGAACAGGGGTCTCCTGACCCCGTCTGGCTTCGGTATTGTTTTGAGGTTAATTGGACATGCCCAAGCTGGCCGCGCGCCTTCCGACGAGTTGGCTCTACAATGTGAGTGAAGTTCCCCCAGAGAAATGAAACCCATGCTAATCCCGCATCTGCTTCATAGCTGGCCCTCTGCCTCGGTTTGATGGAATTGTGGTCGACACAACGGCAAGCATCCCGGAATCGGGAACCAAAAGCCCTCCACCTGGACCGGGTGGACCTATCCGTGTTCCTCCACTTCAGCCAGATGACGCCAACAAATTTGTTTCGCTGTTCGAGAAGTCGGACGTTAAGAATGGGGTGATCTCAGGTGGGTAGCTCTTCATTGCCGAGAAACTGTCACCGAATTTAACAAGTTTGCTGATTGATCTAAAGGCGAAATCGCAAAACAGATATTCGAACGCGCCCGGCTCCCCAATGAGGTTCTGGGTCGTATTTGGTTCCTGTCCGACACCAAGCAGCGCGGTGCCTTGGATGCCACCGAATTCACCATTGCCATGCATCTCCTGACATCATACAAATCTGGTGCTCTGCGCGGCATTCCAGCGACCCTCCCACCTGGTTTGTACGATGCGGCAGCTCGAAGGGGATCCGCCGCGCGTTCGTCGTTTGGGGCGAGACCCGATGTGCCCCCCATCCCGGCCATTCCCCAGCAATTTACTGGCCCCCAGCGAACTACAAGTCCCATGAACCAAGCCAATCGTTCGCCTTTCGTAGGCTCTCTTTCCGCCCAGGCCACTGGAGGTGACTGGCTAATTACTCCACAAGAGAAGGCCCAGTTTGATAGCATTTTCGAGACTGTTGATACAGCAAAGTTGGGACTTATCACTGGAGACCAGGCTGTTTCTTTCTTCATGAAAGCACAGCTTCCCGAAGAAACCCTTGCTCAAATCTGGGACCTTGCAGATATCGACGCAGATGGCCAGTTGAGCCGGGAAGAATTTGCTGTCGCTATGTACTTGGTAAGATTGCAGCGTAGCGGCAAGGAGCCGCTGCCACAAGTGGTCCCTCCCGCGCTCATCCCGCCCAACATGCGCCGCCAAGTGCCGGCACCAATAGTGGCCCCCACACCTCCCCAGGCACCCGCCCCAGCTGTACGGACAGCCGCTGATGATTTGTTCGGCCTTGATTCGCCCGCACCCCCATTTGCCCAGCCTCAGATGCCTCAGTCTACCGGAGGCTCCAATAATGTGTTCCAGACCCCAGGATCACCTTCCTCTAGGGCCTCCCCTCAGACGGCATCGCACACCTTCAAGCCTTTTGTTCCAACTTCTTCATTTGGCCAGAGCTTGCAGCCCCAGATCACTGGTGCGTCAGCCGGAACCCCGACTGCAGCTCGTTCCCCCCCGCCTCCCTCGGATGATCTCCTCGGCGATAATGACCCCGAAGAATCAAACAAGTTGACCAACGAGACCACTGAGCTCGCGAACTTGTCTAACCAGATCGGTTCTTTGGCCAAGGAAATGCACACTGTGCAGGAGAAGAGGACCTCTGCTGAACAAAACATTACACAAACTTCGCAGCAGAAGCGTGACTTTGAGGCACGTCTTGCGCAAGCACGCTCTATGTACGAGCAAGAGGTTACCAACTTCAAGGCACTTGAGGAGCGCCTTAAGTCATCCAAAGCAGAGACAGAGAAACTGCAGCAGCAATATGCATTGCTGGACGGCAGCCGCCAGGATCTGCACAACCAATACACGCAAGTTTCGACCGCTTTGGCTTCCGATGAGCAGGAGAATGCCAGCCTGAAGGAGAAGATCCGCCAGGCCAATGCTGAAGTTGCCCAGCTTAAGCCGGCACTAGAGAAGGCGCGATCTAGTGCGCGCCAACAGAAGGGCCTTGTTGCCATTAACAAAAAGCAATTGGCTACCGTTGAAGGTGAACGGGACAAGCTCCAGGGTGAAATTGACGGCCTGGCCCGTGAGACTCCACAGTATTCTGATGAGTCTGCGACGCCGGCCGGCAGTGTGCCTGAGGTTGTAAGCCCTGCTGACTCTACAGCGAGCCAAAACACAAACCCATTCTTCCGCCGAACAGGTAGCTCAAGTGAACAGGCACGGTCGCCTGATGTCTCGAATGATCAGCAAAGGGCATTTGATAGTCTCTTCGGACAGTCATTCGCAGCTGCCCCTGCTGCCGGGCCACCACCAACTTCGTTCCGCTCCGAGTCGCCACAAGTTGCGGTCACATCTCCTGTTACCTCTGCTGTTCCGACTCCATCAGTCTCTCCGCCTCCTGGCCCTTTGCCTGGCGCATTCCCTGCCGGGCCCTTCTCTGAGCCACCGCCTGCGACCCAGTCCCGCCAACTGACCCCAAACTTCCTGCAGTTCAACGATAATCAGTCTGTGACCTCGTCTACTATGGTCTCACCCCCCGCCAGTCGATTTGGCGGCCCTGAACCCTCTGGATTTGATACGCTTTCTCAGGGGGGTACCAGTGACTATGGACCTCAATCAGTGGCAGAATCTAGCGACTACAGTCGTGCACCAACCTCGACTTTTGGAGGTACCCCGGTTCGGTCTCCGTTTGAAGAGGAAGGGCCAGACACCTCGGCTAGGTTCCCTGAGGTCCCAGCTGCAATTGCCCCAGCCGCAGCTCCCCCAGCCGCGACTGCTCAGCTGCCCGAATCTGCAACATCCCCTGTCGCCAATGAGAGCCAGGTAGAAGGCAGCAAGGACCTAAGCTTCGATGAACTGTTTGGCAGCAAGGCACACAAACGATCGGAATCCCAGCAAGGTAATGACTTCGAGGAGGCGTTTGCTTCTATGAAGCACGTGTCTGGAACTGAGCAGACAAATGGAGCTGCGGCTGCCCGTCCATCTGAATTCCCCCGATTCAAGAGCTACACCACGACGATGACGACGATGAGAGCTCCGATGACGAAGATGCTTTTGGGTTCGATGACAATTTCACGCCTCCCGTACCGGTTGCCAAACAGGAGACCCAGAAGGATTCTATTGACGCTGCTCAACTGGCTGCTTTCCCTGCCCCGGGGAACTCAGCCAAAGCCCCGTCTCCTGGGGCACTACCGAGCCCTCCAGAGTATGAAGGTCCCAAAGAAGATAACGTTCATCTTCCTCCTCAATTCAATGGCCTTTTGCCTGAGCGCACCGATCCCACCGTTGCACCGGATGCACCCCATTCAGTGGATCACTCCACTGGTGCGCCAGTTGTAAGCAACGAGACCCAACGAGACTCTGTCACGGACGCTGCCATCCCGACCGGTGGAGCGAAGGCCGGAGGACCGGACTTTGAGGCGGCCTTCGCGGGAATGAATCTCGCGCCGGCAACCGAAGCCGATGACGATGACGACGACGAGCCACAGAGTCACGAGGTCAAAAATACGACCGACTTTGATTTCTCTTTCGACTCCCCGTCCCAGAAGCAGCAGGCTGTCTCCGGTGCCGATGTTGACCAATCCAGCTCCTCTCAGTTCTTCGCTTTCGACAACAACGTCCATGCATCCACCGCTCCGCCCGTCGCATCACCCAAAGAGGGAGAATCCAAGCCGGCTGCGCATGAATGGGATGCGCTTTTTGCGCCCCTTGACAACTCCAAACCTGACACCGGCGAAGACTCGAATGGAGCAAAAGCTAAGCAGCCTGGATGGGCTCTGAACAACGATACTGGTGAAGATGACCTGATCCTTCAGCGGCTGACCGGCATGGGCTTCACGCGGGACGAGTCTCTCGATGCCTTGGAGAAGTATGACTATAACCTTGACAAGGTAGGTTTTCTTTTGCATTCGGGTTTGCCTTCACATCGTACTAACTAAATACTAGGCTGCGGACCACTTGACTTCGAAGACTTGATTATGACACCCTCTCTTTCTCACTGCACATATCTCCTACATACTCTTTTGCCTTTGCGCCTATGTCTCTCATTCCTTGATGGAAGCCCTGGACTTGATCATCAATCTACCAGTGGTGTCCTTTGCATCGAAGTTTCCCTCCGTTTGTCCAGCGCTGTGTATATCGTTTCCTTTCATTTCCTTCCCTCATGTTGCGACCACATTGGTTTCCTATGGAACCGGCTCCTTGTCTAATGCCATTGGCCGGGACCAAGGAATTTGAAGTGTTTTGTTTTGTTGTTTGCCTGTGTAGTGTAGTTTACAATAATCCATAATCGTGTTAAATATTTTGATCTCTCTTGTACTTGTGTATGCGCGTTGTCACCTGTTACCGCCCTAGACTACAGATTATTCCTTGCGGTTAAATGTCGGGGACAACCAATACCCCAATAAATCTAGAGTAACCTTGAGAAGGTGTTAGAGACCTACTTCAGACATATTACACAGTTTGGATGATGAATGCTTCTTTAACTATATGAGAGAGAATAACACACAATCTATGCTTTCGCGTGCCGGGTCTGCTCAATGTACGCAGAAATATTTGGCCGCGCTTCAAAGGCCTCCACAAATTTAGCAAGAGCTGGAGGAAGAGTATCCTAAAGAAGTGGTGAGCATAAAATATACTTGAAATGGGGTACAAATAGCACTCACCGGAATGGTACCCGTTCTTATATCGTTGTCAATAGACTGATAAACAGCAAAATCGGCATAGGTGATCTTATCACCAAGGAGGTAAGGTCCCTCGACATCGGAGTAATACTGAGCGACGAGATCATAGTAGTTGGGTGCACACTCCTTCTTGTAGGACTCGGTTGCTCCTTTCAAGTTGGCTACCCATTGAGACTGTATGCTGTGTAAGTAAGATCTCCTAGTCTGACAGAGAGGGGACTTTATTCATTGGTCACATACCCTCCAGTCAATGTAGATATCTGCCACCGCATCAACCAGGTATTTCTCCCAGTTGGTGTCACCATCGTAAGCGCCGAGATCGCGCGAAAGATAACGCAGGATTGGAATGTGCTGTTCTCCTATCAGCCATGATTCGAGAAATGCAAATAAGATTCAGCGTACCTGGGTGATTACAGAACCGCCATATTCAAGGGTAGGTAGTTGACCGGTCCTAGTAAGTCCACTCTCACGCAGCTTTTTGCTGGTCTCTGCCCAGGTGTTGTCGTAAGGGTAGCGAATGTCTTTGTAGTCCAACCCCGCATCCTTTAAAAATAGGCTGCAAAAAGTTAGTTTAACTATAATTTGTTGGAAGTAGTGACTTACTTCACGACCTCTCCGCGGCCTAGTCTGCCAATGTCGAGATAATGGTAAATAGTGGGGGTGGCCATTTTGAGGGGTAACAAGGGATTTTTGTTATCTGTAAAGAGGGGAAATAGTTTACGTCTAGAGCTTAGAGGATGGAGTGAAGCAGGTAAGCCTGTAAGGCTGGATTTATAAGCTGTACACGTATTAGATCACCTGATGGTGAGATTGAGATCCAAACTTGTCACGCCATTCGACGCGTCCACGGGTATAACTCAAGCTTATTTCGTTCTTAAATCGACTCTATAGTTGAGTTTTGACGTTGTCGTTGCCTCTTTTGCCTCTTTCATTATTATCCTGCCGTCGGTGACTGGCAATCAAGAAGAATTTAGACTTCACCATCTGAGTTTGCCAAGTCACTTCAGGACCGCAGCTTGCAAGCCGTTTGAAGTAATTCCATTCACCGCAGTCATGCAGCATCTCAGGGATCCGATATCATCTTCTGTTTGAAAACCTCTTGCCAAGCTGAGACAAGTGTCAGACAAATCGGGAGCTTTCGCGGTACTCCTACAAGTGCAAAAGATGAACTGAGGTATTAAAAGTATCTTAGTCACTCGTCCCCTGATCTTGGTCAATCAATCTCTGTCTTGCAGACTTTTCGACACACTCCATTGGATATGATTGTGCTAGCATGGATTCTTGCGGTTGAGGAAACCATGCTGCCCTCTGTGCAAAGTTAGACTTTTCTTTATTTTGCGGAAATTGACAAATGCCAACACACTCTTTCAAGTGCCCAAGGAGACCCTTTTCCATAATTCATACTAATAGAAGCCGAGGCATCAACAGCCCGCATCCATTTCCCATAAGGAGCTCCACAGGCTCGTATCGGGAACATACTAACGGAGGCTCTGTACGAAACTGAGTGGGGTCGAAAATTGCGATCGACAGGGTCGTGGGAAAAAATCACAAATGAACGAGCTTCTTCCGTCCCTTAAAAAAGGTTCTAAGTCGATCAGATCTATTTGTGTACTAACGGGCATCTACGATCATCTTAATAAGTACCCTTGCACTGCTCGTATTAAACTATAAGACCCTGCGCCAAGTCGTTCACGTCTCGTATATTTGACCCCAATCTCGTGTTCGACTGGATCACAACAACTTACTGGTTACCATTGCTCTTGGCACTTCCTCTTCTAGGTAAAGCCGTGGAGGATGCGAAATAACTTTATTTGGTTGAGCTAAAGAAAAGCCCCTTTGAATTAGAAATGGAAACCAGGTAAGTCCCCTATATAATCTCACCCTTCGCCGCGGCCACATGAGGTTCTGCAATCACACTCTTTTTCCATTCTCTCTCTTTCTGCAGAATTTCATACCGCAGCCTCCACAGTCACTCCTTTAATATTCCGCTTCATATATATCCCATCTTTCATCATGCGTTTTTCATCCCTTGCTATCTTGACTCTGGCCTCTGTCGCCGTCGCCGATCTCAAAACCTGGAACGACGTGGTGGGCGACATGCCCCAATGCATCAAGACCTGCCTTAACGACTTCTACAACACCGCCGGTCTCAAGGACAAGTGCGGAAGCGCCGATTCAGCCAGTATCGACTGTCTCTGTGGTGTTACAGGCTCAATGTCGGATATCCGGAGCGAAGCCTCCGACCTGAGCTCATGTATCCAAGATGGCTGCGACACCGATGAAATGGCGGACGCTGCTTCCAACCTCGGAGACTTCCAGGATCGGCTCTCAAGCCTCCAGGATCAGTGCTCTAAGAAAAGTAGGTTTCTCTCGCGTGTTTGCTAGCTCAATCGTTTATGGGGAAAAATAAGAATACTAATTGTCAATTGAACAGGTTCTTCCAACGGTGCCAGCTCAATGGCCCCTGGATTCAATGCACTGCTCGCCTCTGGGGCTCTGCTTCTGGTGGGCGTGGCCCTTTGAGTTGGTTTGGTGATGGTTTCAATGTCGTGGACTGGAGATCGGACATAATCTAGCAGACCAATTACTTAATTAATACAACCTTGGATTGGTACACAACAAATCCCCCACAAATCTGCCGAGTAGAGAACGGAAATTCAACTGATCAACTTACTATGAAATAACCTTTCTCGAACCTTATTCCGAAACACGCTAATCCGACTCCCATTTAGCCGAAGTTCAAGCATTGGGTCGTATTGAAAGCTAATATCAGGTGCTAGGAGATGCTACAAATACATATCTTGTAATACTCCCGCCAAGAATGCTAGCGTTCCATATGCCTTAACTCGCCCATTCATGCCCACCGAAGTGGCGAGGTTAAATTAGTTCGCATGGTGCGCTCTAGGTTAATTTAAATTGTAAAAATCGGCCCGGGAAGTTAGCATATATCAGGTAGAGCAACGGTTTAGAAACATAACGTGTACGGATGGTTCATATCAAGTAGTCGCTTCAGCTTGGCTAGGGAGCATCACAGTAAAATAATAGCTAGGGTACAGTAGCCTAACAGCTTCTAAGTTAAAGCGAGATTGGCTATACTCGAAACCGTGTCGGGATGATCCTTGCCGAACTTTGTCCTGCGAATCTCCATCACCTGTACTTAAAGAAGCCCCTCTTCTTCTACTGGCCCTGGCTCCGATGGGTTGATGCTAGGTTGGTCATATTTCAATGGAATGTCGCCTGGATTGGCTAGCTTATCCAAAATCAGATTGCACGGGGGGGCATCGTTTTAGTTGCACAGCTTGAGAAAACAAGGATAGAATTGGATCGTTGATCAACCTGGCCCCAAAATAAGGATCTCATATTAATACGCCCAGACCTCGCGGTGGAGGCTCAGATCATCTCTAGCTGCATAATTTAGCCCGACACATCTATTTCACCTATTTCACCTAGCCGGGGTACCTTTTTATCGAAGATCCTTTGCCATATTGGGCGTTTAAAATAGAAAAAAAGGGGGACAAGGGCAAACAGAGGGTCCACTTAGCTCAACCAATTTAGAGGTACATATACGATCTCTTCAGTGGATATAACTTAGTGTAGTTTTTATTATATATTTTACTTTCTGTGTACGAGGCAGTGCCTGGTTTTGAGATGGATGGTACCGCGTCGCTAATATTCAGCCCGCAACCCTTTCTGGGCCCCATTCTATGGAGTACTGAGTCATGAACATGCAGACCCCTGTCCCTTTGTGGCCTATCAACGATCTGTCTGCGTCAGCACCCATTAAGAGATAAGGACCGAAGAGGGAAAATTAGGTGTCGGCAAGGAGCTGGCGCTCGTGGGAAGTTTCTCTATTTGTCTCATCAGCGTTTATTTTCGGCTTTAAAATGCTGCGGGATAATACTGCATAGACAAAAACGTAAGTTATACTAATGGCTTTTCATAGGTCCCCCTTGCAATCAGCTCGTGCCACGGCTTTTACCTTCCATATGTACTTCACATCATGTTATGTTCGTGCTCAATCAATGCAGCCCCTGTATGTGTAAAACCAATCAAAGCTTTAGAGTAGCCGACATACCCGTACCCATACTAGACCAAGCTTTCTCAAAAGAACTGGATCTTTCGACTTGGGAGTGTTAGAGCTCTCGCCGTGACATAATGGTCTTTTCGCTGAGCAGAAGAAAGTGCGCCCAGGCATTATCTTTATAAAGCAAAAGTACCTATTCTTCATTTCTAGAATACCATTAAGGCGTAGAGTATAGGAAGGATGTTGACCCTAAACTACACCTTTGACAGAAAGTAATCCTAGAGAGGTTTATATTACTTGGCGTTATTACCAGTAACACGCTTAACAATAATATTAAGCTAAGCTTTTAACTATTATTGGTTCATGATACAGATCCCTGCCTCATTCCTGGAGTGTAGCAGGAGTCCAAACGGAGTTCCGATAGCATACGGCCAAAAATACTACACAGTACACCATACTATTTGAGCTAACAATATTCCGGTAGCCTGTACTCCGTATGTGGAACAAGAAATGGGTTTAATGTACTTTATATAGATGATAAGGATGCCCGTGATCGCCCCGCTTATCCCCCAGCCCAAAAAGCTTCGATCCCTTTCCCCTTTGAAGGACACTCTTTTGTTTTCCCCATAGGCGTCCTGGTGCACAGAATGTCCTTCAGCCAGATGGAGAATATTACCGCCTGTGGGGATGATGCCTTCGGCCCCAAGGTCAATCATTGTCGAGGGGGCTTTGACTTCACGCTTTTCTTCGAAGAGTGCTTCTTCTCCATTGTGCCTTCTGTTCTTCTGTTGTTAGCGCTCCCTATTCGTTACAACCAACTGCGATAGTCACGACTTCGCAAAGTGTCACAGAGTTGGCTCTACTGGGCGAAACTGGTATGTTTGTTTGTCCTATTCTTTACGAGTGCGTTTTGATTTTGACAGCTGTATTTCGCGTAGATATTTGGTCAGGCTTTTGGGGCAACTCAGCTCTCTCTATTTGTCGTGTGGTTTCTCCCCCATGCGCCAAAAACAAGGGCCTCTTTAGCAGCCGCTGCTTTGGCTTTCCTTTCTTCGGTCGGCCTTCTCTTCTTGTCGCATTGGGAGCATGTCTTTTCTGTACACCCATCTCACCTCCTCAACATTGCCTTGTCTGTGTCTCTTCTATTTGACATTGTCCGTGTTAGAAGCCTGTGGTTTGCATCCAATATGGCCATTGCTGGGATCTATACAGCAAGCATGACATTGAAGATTATATGGTTTTACCTGGAAGCACAGTCAAAGCGGAAATCTTTCCTGAATCCGAGAGAACGGTATGGAGAGGAGGAGATCCATGGCTTATACAGCCGCACCTTTTTTTGGTGGATCAACTCTTATCTCTATCTTGGGTTCAAGAATGTATTGTCTGTGGAAGATTTACCGCATCTGGACCGAACCATGTCGGTAGATGTACTGCATCGTCGACTCGCCATGCGATGGAAGCGAAGTGAGTCACATCCAACAACATGGGTTCTAGCATGGTCTGACGGTTATGAAAGCCTCTAGAACTTCACACAATAACTTGGCCTACTCCACCATGTGGACGTTTAAGTCCTCGGTTATATGGGCATTCGTGGCGAGGCTAGCAGTCATTGGGCTGACGTATGCTCAGCCATTCCTCATTATGGCCTTGACCAACTATGTTCAGGTAAGTGAACCAAACAAAAACGATGGTTACGGCTTGATAGGTGCATTTGCTTTGGTATTCTTGCTTAATGGGGTCAGTATCGGCAATCCTCTTAAACCGTGCTAGTCTCTAACATACATTTTGCAGGTCTTCAACTGTCTTTACCAACATCACAACTTCCGGCTAATTACGAAGATCAGAGGAGCCATTGTATCCTCAATCTTCGAGAAAACCTTAAACTTGAAATTCGATGAATATAGCGACACGGCGGCTCTAACTCTCATGAGCAATGATGTCGATAATATCGCATTTGGAGTTCAGAACATGCACGAAGTTTGGGCAAGCCCTATTGAAACTGGTATTGCGTTATTTCTGTTGCAGCGCCAGGTTGCTTGGGCAGCGGTGATTCCTGCATTTGTTACTGTGATAGCTTTTGTTTCCACGCATTTTCTATCAAAGTCAACACCTGGCAGACAAAAATCATGGATGCAAGCTGTGCGCCAAAGAGTGGCATTTGCATCCACCTATCTCAATGCTAGTGCAACCATCAAAATGCTCGGTCTCCAGGATAGCCTCTCCTTGATATTGCAGCAATCCAGAATCAATGAGCTCAGCCAACAAAAAAGATTTCGCCACATGATGGTCAAGATGAACTTACTTGGTAAGCCAGTCTAATGATACATTTATGGGCTTAGACCAGCGTACTAATACATGCATGCAGCCGGCACAATTACAAACTTAAGCCCAGTGCTTACCCTGAGCGTCTATACCGGCATCGCGCTTCACACCGGCCGCGGCCCCTTGACCGCATCTGCAACTTTCACCACCCTCTCTATTATTTCTCTGTTGAGCAGTCCATTATCAAACCTTATTTATTCGGGGCCGAAAGTAACTGAGGCTCTAGAGTGCTTTCAAAGAATTCAGGCATACCTTTTGGCTGAGTCGAAACTTGACGATCGCGTTACTCCAGACCCGCAGCATTTGGTAGCGCCTAGCCCGGTCGAGGAATCCGAATTTGGAATCTCTCTGGAAACTCGAACAAACAACGCCTCAACACAAGATGCTCAGGCTGCCCACCTCGTTCATACTCATCAAGCTGACTTTGGGTGGCAACGCCAATCACCAGCCACGCTATCCAATGTGAATATCAATATACTCCCTGCTTCTTTGACCGTTCTTGTGGGGCCAGTTGGCTCAGGAAAAAGCACTCTTCTAAAAGCAATCCTGGGGGAGGTGCCTTGTTTGGAGGGCTTTATTCATGTGACAGCTGCCAAAATTGCATTCTGCGATACAAAGACATGGATCCGCAACCGATCTATTCGTGACAACATTTGTCACCCACTTCCTTATGACGAGGAGTGGTATCGCACTGTGATATTCTCGACTGCTCTGGATTATGATATTGATTATCTCTCTCAAAAAGACCACACAGTCATTGGTAGTAACGGCCTTTCACTGAGCGGTGGACAACGGCAGCGGATTGCCATTGCACGTGCGGTTTATGCTCGAACAAAGCTAGCCGTCTTCGATGATTCCCTTAGTGCCCTTGATGCCTCTACCTCTGCTCAGGTCTTCACTCGTGTCTTTGGACCGCAGGGTATCTTGCGTCGCAACGGAACCGCCGCGATCTTAGCGACACATGATTGGACATACCTTGCCGACGCTGATAATGCCGTTGTCTTTGATGAGGGAAGGATCCGGGAGCAGGGACCCCCTCTAGAGCTCCAGACATTCAAAGCTGGCTTGCCCAACGTTGCAACGGAATACTCAGTTCTCTCTCATAGAGCCCCAGAGCAATTACAGACTACTACCACTTTCACAAACAGAGCAGGATCAGAGGAGAAATCCTCGAGAAAACAAGGGGATTTAAGTGACTACGTCTACTACTTCCGAGCATCTGGCCGAGGCTCAATGATTCTCTACGCTGGGGCCCTGATTATCGGCGTGTTTTGTTCACAATTTACTAGTAAGTGTATCCCAAGCGATTCTACTATACTTTATAATACTGACATGAAGCTTTAGATCTATGGGTCCAGTGGTGGGCGGAGGAAAATTCACGAAAGCCATTTGGACAGTTGTCACAGTATGTCAGTATCTATGCAATATTGGCCACAGCTGGAGCTGGGATCTGGGCTTTCTGCATGTGGTTGGTATTTTGCCGCATTGTTCCCACATCATCGTGCAACCTCCATGAGTATCTGGTCAACAAAGTTAAGAAAGCACCACTATATTGGCTCACGTCAACTGATTCTGGCGTTATTCTCAATCGCTTCAGCCAAGACATGAATTTGATTGACCGATCACTTCCAGCTGAATTTCTGAAAACCTCTAATAACTTTCTACAGTGCGTTATGAGTGCCGTGTTCATCTGCGTGGGAGCAAAGTTTATGGCTCCACTGATTCCACTTTCGGTGTTTGCCATCTACTGGATCCAAAAGTTTTACCTTCGCACATCGCGGCAGCTCCGCCATCTGGATTTAGAATCGAAGTCACCCTTATACACCCAGTTCACTGAGACACTCAATGGTATCATCACTATCCGCGCTTTTGGCTGGCAGCGCAACTTCCAGGATGAGCACAAAAAATTACTCCAGGAATCCCAGAAGCCTTACTATTTCTTGTTTGTTGTTCAACGCTGGCTGACCATGGTTCTGGATCTCGTTGTCGCGGGCATTGCGGTCATGTTGGCCGTTTTCTCTGTTTTCGTCCCTAACATTGGGCCAATCGGGGTTTCCCTTATCTCATTGATCACATTTAATCAACAGCTTGCCGAGCTCATCAATTTTTGGACCTTGATGGAGACCAGTATAGGTGCTATCAGTCGAGTTCGGAGCTTTGAGAAGGTGCCCACTGAAGATCTCCCTTTGGAGAATCAGGATCCTCCTGTTACATGGCCATCGGAGGGTTCCATAATCTTTCAAGATGCCGACTTGTCATACGAGCCACTCGGATCTCCTATCCTTCGACACATCACATTAAACATTCCCCCGGGATCCAAGCTCGGAATTTGTGGACGCACGGGCAGTGGCAAAAGCTCTCTTATCCTCGTTCTTCTCCGCATGGTTGAGATACAGAGCGGAGATGTCATCATCGACGGCATTAGTCTACAGTCCTGCCCTCGCGATGCGATTCGCTGCAAAATTACCGTTATACCCCAAGAACCGGTTTTGTTTCCAGGTACTATCAGGGAGAATATTACAGCCTTCAAAGTCATTGATGACGCCAGAGTGCTGCGAGCTCTGGAGAAGGTGAAGCTAAGAGAGCATGTGATGGCACATGGGGGTCTAGATGCGCAGATAGATGATCTCCCCTTATCCGCAGGTCAACGCCAGCTCGTCTGTCTAGCACGGGCTATTACCATGAAACAGAAAATCTTGCTTCTGGATGAAGCTACAAGCCGTGTGGATGATAGGACTGATCAACTGATGCAACAGGTTATTCGACAGGAGTTTTCGGGGTGTACCATCATTTCAGTCGCACATCGAGCTCATACTCTTTTGGACTTTGATCGAATTGCTGTTATTGATGAAGGCAGAGTTGTCGAGTATGACACTCCGGCTGTGCTAATTGGAAACCATGGGTCTCTCTTTGGGCGTCTTTGTGATCAGACAAGGTCTACACTATAATCATCCTCAAAGTGACCAAACTGCTACCTTTGTTAATGGAATTTACAGCTGATCTTCTCTGTGAACAAGAGTTTCCAAGATACGTTAAGACATGTAGCCTCCTTTCTTTAGATTCCCGAGATATAGCATAGAAAGTGAAAAAAATACAGATTTGGGTAGAATTCATGGGATGCTACTTAGTATATTTTCATCCAAGCTCTGGGAACTAGTTACTGTGTTCACTGTGTACTGATTTCAAGACATTAACCCGGAAGAACAGATATATATATAAATTTATACCGGTATACAGTTCAAAAACAAGGCCAAAATCAGGCACCAAAGGTGTTCGGCCCCTGCTTGGTCGGTGGGTCCAAAACATCGATCGATCGGACGAAAAGGGGAAGCAGTCACACGTTTCGGAATCAGCCGACACAATTCTCTCATGGAGTTATAGTTCAATATATGTGCGGTATCCATTAGACTGACACAGCCCCAATGTCATCTCGAATAAGATTTGATGATCTGAGTGCATGCTTAGGGCTCCATCCAATTGTGCGAACTAGCGAACTACTGCGAACTACTCTGTACATGGAGGCAAAGCCAGACTCGCGGTAAGAGCGTTTGTTGAAATTCAGGTACACCAGCTCGCCATTAATTTGTTTATATGGCGCACAAATTGCTTGATCCCTGTAAACTCGATCATGATTGGTTGAAAATGCCATGGTCTGAGCCATCACGTTGTTCTAGACGTGAGGTTCCATCGCCATTATTAAGAACGATGAGGCTATTTAGAACAAAAAGTTCTGTAAATAGCGCAATTTTGTTATATGGCCTTTTTTTTCTTTTCTTCTTTTTGATGAATCGGATTGTTAACCCCATTTGAAATTAAATGCAATTGATCATTCGTTGCGAGTCTCATCTTTAATATGTGAAAGCACGTCATTCGGGCCGAAGAATACTCATCGCAACGTGATATTGCAAACTCTATCTCGATCGTAATTTATTCAAATAGGATGCGAGTTGGCAATTCTTGTAACTATCTCTCTCGTTATGGTCTGAGACCGCCATGTCGCATTCTCCTGAGGAGCTCAAGGGGATCGCCATTGCAGGGCGAGTCTCTTCAGTCCTCTCCATTCTAGGTTCATTCACAATAATCGGCGCCTTTGCGCTTTCGCGGCACTTTCGGAGTCCTATTCATCGTATAATATTTATCAATTCTTTCTATAACCTGTTCGATTCTGTCGCTACGATGATATCCACTAGTGGACCTGCGGCGGGAAATACTTCATCGCTATGTCAATTCCAAGGCTTTGCTCTGCAAATGTACGTTCTTGGCATTGGCAGGGATTCGTCGAATGTTGTTCGCAAGGCAATATACTGACAATACAAAAATAGGTTTCCAGTAGCTGATGTGCTCTGGACATTCGCAATGGCCTTGGATACATACTTGGTTGTCTTTTATCATTTTGATACCCAATCTTTGCGCAAGCTCGAAATCAAATACATTGGTGTTATTACTATTCTCTCGTTCATTCCTGCCTTTGTTTTCCTTTTCATTCGTGACCATAAAGGTCCTATATATGGCGACGAGACCGTGAGTACTCTTAATCGACTTGAAACTAAACATGTCTTGAGGCTAACTGAACTCTCATAGATCTGGTGCTCAATATCTCGCAGTTGGATGCTCCTTCGCATAGTCTTCTATTATGCACCTGTATGGTGCGTATACTTCTATTGCCGTTTTCAACTACTCTTCTAATGGTTACACAACAGGCTGATAATAGTCATCGTCCTAATACTATATTGTCTCATCGGAATCGAGATAACCAGAGTCCGCGACGAGTTCAAATTGAGCACTGACGATCATATCGCCCTAACCTCTGGTAATTCCACCACCAGCGTCACAACCACCGAGGAAGCAAATTCCCGGAGAAAACCTCCTTTCACCCCAGAATCTACTATAGCAAGCGATGACATGGAACAACATACATCCCAACATCCAACTCCATCCAGAAAATCTACAACAACGTATCAAACCCCAAAACAGAGACGTGTGTCGCTGAGGCAATACGTGATCATGCCGTCGCTTTTCTTCCTTGCCATGTTAGCAACTTGGATTGCACCTACCATCAACCGTATATCGGAATTCGTGCATCATAAGCATGGGAACTATTCACTTCTGCTCTCTGTGAGTACGTTGGGATCCCTGCGTGGGTTCTGGAACGGTGTTATTTTCATAACTATCGGCATGAAAGGATGGAAAAGACGAGCTTCGGAGAGGAGACTGGCTCTTAGACAGGTAGGTTCGTCCTTTCGCCATTATATCTATTATCCCGATTGAGTAGCTGTTGACTTCGCTGCATTACAGACTAGAAGTGGTCGCGGGTGATATGGATCTCATTTCTTTGTTATAAATCTAACTATGTGTACCGGGGGTTTCCCTATTTGGGCTGCCACCGCTTTAATGAGGGCGCTCATACCTAGGCTCACAGTAGATATCATCACGAGCTCAGAGTTAGCAAGTGTGGTCCCTAACCCTAGCGGATGTTAGGACCTAATATATATACCGCTGAAGAGACGAACAGATGTTCTGTTTGTTCTTAGGAGTAGCGACCTAAGTTGAGGATTGCATGAGAAGCTCAAAATAATGACATGTATGATCACCGATTCTATGTAAATGCTTATTGGATGCTCTGTGATTACTTCAGACCACCGCAGTCTATGCCTTTAATAGAGCAATCCTATAGGTTATATTGGCTTGTTACGGCCCAATATAATCGCCAAAGGGAGTTAGGCAGCAATATCACTGGTCAGCGCTAGCCTTTCTTGGACCTCCATCAGCCTCAACTTTACCGTAACTAATTGTTGCAAACAATATGACGGCCAAACAACCCGACAGGAGCTTTCTCGATCTCCCAGGCTCTATTAGATTTCGCATCTACAATTTTGCAGGGCTGGCTAATAATCAGGTCATCCCCCTCGATCGCAGACATCGTGTCGAGGAGCAATCTGCCCCCATCTGGGAAGACTCTGACCGCACACTCAATCTACACCTAGCAGATTTAACCATCTATTCAACCCTTATACTTATATGCCGGGCTACTCATGATGAGGTGTCACATCGCTTCTATTCTACCAACACGTTCATCGCTCACGACCTACAAACCTTGGGCCGGTTAAGTCCGCCATATCTAGCCTTGCTGACCTCTCTCAAACTCATCCCCTGCCTTACAAAGCACACGGATACCCGCAAAGAATGTACCTGCATGCCTCTGGGGTTTATTGATGACGATACAATCTTCGGCCTGGTAAGCCCTTGGGACCAGTCCACCCTCTCGGAGTGGGACTCCATCATCAGCAAGATTGCACCGCATTTGACAGGTGATCAACTTGACTTGAGTATTATCTGCCATGTTTACAATGAAGATGCTGCAAAAGCGGTTGTGGAACCTCTACGCCACTTCCCTGTCTTATTTAGCTGCAACATCCGGCTCGGCCCCCTCAATCGTCGCAGGTATGCTATCCAGATGATAGCCATGGAAGCTGCCAAACAAGCCATGGGCCAGATAAATACCCTGGTGCAACCATTTCGGTTCCTCGACCTCCCCAGTGAAATTCGTCTACTTATTTACGGGTACACCGATCTCATCAGTCCGCTCAACAAGCTCCAATGGGATCCAGACCATGGCTATACACTTGACACATCATTCTGCACGCCAAACTGCACCCCACCTTATGACAATTGCCATCCAAGCATGCACAGGGATTGCGGGTCTCCTAATGTCCCCAGATGCCACTGTCGCCATGGCTCATCATTCTGGCATGGCGGAATGCCCTACTGCTGGACATGCACACATTACGCCTGCCAATTCAACACCTGCAATGCTCGACCCGCAAACGGTACAGAGCTGGGTCTAAGCTGCTGCGGCGCAAAGTCATCAGCGTATTCCCCCGCATGCCATTGCTGGAAACCACCCGTCGCGCTATTCAGCACATCCCGAGCTATCCGAGAAGAAACACAGCGAGTGTTCTTCTCTCAAAACGAATTCGAGATACCCCACTACAAGTCCTTCGCATACTCAGCCGGAGCCGTAGCCGCACCGGAGAGATGCGCAGCGGCAAGATTCCTAGCAGAGGTCGTCCCTGCAGATATGCTACCGTACCTCAGTAAACTCACCATCTCACTCTGGGACTGTGTTAAGACAACAGCGAGAGAAGACTGGAACCAGATTATATCATACGTCGTCGGTATATCTAACCTCCGCTTTCTATCGATTGACACTAGGATGGGCTTCGAGGAGATCACGCTGGCGACACCGAACATACGGGAAACACTATGTAGTGAAGAGGGTCTTGTGGCGGTCAAGAATGCTATAACTAGTTACGCTTGGCCGGTTATGATTTCGGAGACGGCGGTGCGGTCATTCTTCGTGAATGTTGCATATATTTACTCGCTTGACCTCAAGGTGTGCTATTCATATCGGCGTCCCGAGGACCCGGCTGTTCTTGTAGGAAATGAGCGTGTTGCGGGGGATAATTATGCCTTTGTAAGAGAATGCGCGGGGCCAGTTGGAGAGCAGGGTAATGGGAGATGGCTTGAGGGGTTGCATCTTTTTGAGGCGGAGTATCTCTGAGTGGTTGAATTGTATATTTCCCGTAAGTGCAGATCGCGGAGAAGTGGGTATCCTGGGATCTTAGAATACACCACCTGCACTTGAATAAGACGGAGCGCTCTCTCAGGCACCAATTCTACGAATTGGTAGCCGCAGATGCCTGGAATGTATAGCCAAAAACCACTCGTCTTATCCCAGTCGTATAGAAGAAAAGATAGAGCCTATGCAAGTATAAGTGGGTTTGGTGGATGGCATCAAACTAGGCTCAATTGTACTTTGAAATAAAAAAGGCGGCAAGCGGCGAGCACTAAAACAGAAAGAAGGGAGATGTTTCGAGTGCCCGGCGTTATCCGGTATATATGTTTAAAATGATAGCATAGTTATTTCATAAGAGAGAATTCTTTTAATATAACTAATCACGAATGTAGCTAATCTTATTTGATTCATTGACCAAGCCCGAGGAAACCCCATTACGGTTATTACGACAATCGATCTCTTCGTGATCACCTTGACATTGTCATGCCTGGAGAGGTAGGCGCACCTTCCTGATTGGGGACCGGTCCCATTAAACCCCCCTCCCCCTCTTTAACTACGTAGTTATTTGCTGCGTAATTCAAAGCTGTTCTGATTGTATTGTATTCCCATTGTCCTTTGCTGGTACAAACATCATTATCGCTGCCAAAGATGCGTTTATTGAGTTTGTACGCGTAAGCAGTAGAGACCAGGATATTGTGTCGTCTATATTTGAGTATGGAACCTTGTTGACCAATCGCACAAGGACGTCTAGGATCGAATATTGCTATCGTAGACTACCCGTCGCCCTTGATCGCGGATCTGGCCGAAATGACCTGGCAGGGCTTTCGGTCGAGATAGAATACCTTCTGAAAGTTGCATACAGGTGATCCCCCACTCCCAAGGCGCCATCCCGTTTGGCCTGAGTAGGCTCAAATACCCTATTCTCAAGATACCTCAACATAAACTCCGCCCCTTCTCCTTCACGGGGATCTCGTTGATGTGCTTTATCAATGAGATTCGTGTGCCATGATGTGACCTCTGGATTAATTTCAAAAGGCGTAAGTCCTTTGCCACGAACAAAAAAACGACTGTAGCCATCTGAAGCATGGTGCCGTGACCTTGTCTCTCCGTATTGAGTCACCCCTTCACCACCACCCTCTAGATATGCAAAGACAATGCTGATGACACACCCCAGGGACCAGACATCACTCTTTGCCGTCATGCTTGGAGTCAAAGAGAGTGATTCAGGCCCCAAGTAGGATCCTTCTACTTGACGATTAAGAACTAGCTCGCCATCGTCGGACCAGTTGGAGCCTTCCCCAGCCTTGCCGCCCTTCCCAAGATGTGGGGTCACTACATGTGACAGGTAGAAATCGCTTAGCTTCCAGATGTAACGTGTTCTCCCGCTCTGTGCCCCTCGGAAGATTAGGATATTTCTGGGCCTGATGTTCATGTGGTAACAGATCATATTAGAGCTTTTCATCCCATTATGGAGAAAGTCTAGCCCATGTGTAAGTCCCACTGCAGAGGAGATAATATCTGCCTTCTGCATGGTGGTATAGGGTCTGCTTGTGGGCTCCATCATGTAGGTCCAGAGGTCACAGATGGCGAGGGGCATGAATAGACTGCACGTTGAGTTGACCCTAAGGCTGCCATAGACTTGGATAATGTTGTTGCAGCGTCGACCAGAGAACGCGAGGATCTCCATGAGCTGGTGGCACCTTTTTGCGGGAAACCTACGGTCGATGATGTGATCTTTGCGCACCACTTCCACGGCCTCGAGGTTTGCTGATCTGGTTTTAGCATCATAGAAGTGGCCCTTGGCAATCCTGACTTTGTATAAACCGCATATGGCCCCACGTTCAAGCAACTGCTCCTCCAAATAAGGTAGATGCTGCTCTTCGGTGGTTTGGATCTGAACTTCCTCCCCTCTGCGAATCACCACGGGGTAGAGGCACGCCTGCTTCGTGATGAACTGGTCCGTGGAGACTTTATCGCTAAATAATTCCATAAGCTCTTCACGGCCAGCTGGCAGGGAAGAAATTGCCCTTCCACTTCTGCCTAGCACTGGCCATACATCCTTAGCCACGAGCTTAGTGGTAAAAGTGCGGGCTGCCTTGATATTGCAACTTGCAAATATCAGAATGGCAAGAAATTCATACAGCTCCCTTTCATCTATCCTTTTGACAAAATCTTCTTCAGCAAGTTGGAACTGGTCCATCGCTGTGTGCTTAGGCAAGATAATGCTCCGGAAGAAGCGCAGCATATTGCCGCGATGTAGTGTCTTCTGGGCGCTTCCCCTGGGCAAAAAGCGAAGTTTCATGTTATCTCTCCTCTCTAGCCTCATGTATATCTGCATGTATATATCTTTGCAAAAGTTGTCGTATGTGTCATCAGTCCCTGACGTAACTGCCTCTAGAAGGAGGTTGTCTAGGGAAGCTTCAAAATAGCGGGGGACACCGTGCCAATCAATGTACTCAGAATCCGGAACTATGTCTTCCGGAGGAGGGATATCGTCAATTTCAATGTCACCATCTCCTTGTAGTGAAGAGTCCTCCATATTGCTAATTTCCTGATCGGCGTATCTCTTACCCGAGCCGACCCACGACGACCGATGGTTGGTTGCACCTGACGCGCTCTGATCATCTCCTGAACCGTCCATTACGACATCTATAGATATCAAACGCAGCGTAAGAAGCATGACACCCTGGAGATGTGCAGCTATATGGCTGGCAATCACTTCCACGCTGACGGGGTTTCTCGAGCATGGGTCAACTGTAGTTCTTGGTTTTTGATGCTTTGTTGTCGTTTCAAGACCGTCTCTACTGTTCTGATCCGACTGTGCACAGCCGGTCTCTGGCTTGTTGTGCTCGTGGCTACCTCGCAGTTTTGCCGTGTGCGGCTTCTTGGAAGATGACTCTCTATTGCCATTGTCTGTTTCCTTGGAGAAAGGAGCATGCTGGTCCGTTATGAAAAGACAACAGAGAGGGCACATATCTTGCGAACGAGGGAACCGAAACCGACTCTGCCGCACAATGGCCTGAATTTGTGACTCCGTAAAAGTGCCTTCATGAAAATTGCGAAGGTGTGCGGTAAGGTCGATCGGCTTGGAAAAACTAGCATCTCCCTCCGTACACAAGGGGCAAACCCATGACGACGGTACGTGTACTTCCCGGTGCCAGCTTTGACCGTGAGTTGTAAGCATGTGCTGGAACCATTGTGTCGAGGTCGCAAATCTTGGCCATGATTCGGAGCACTTCTCTGATATGCAAACGTAAGGCTCATGGTCTTCATCCATATGGTGTCTATGATCTGTGTCAGAATACGTGCGTACAGTGAGAGAACAGAGCGACTAGAGGGTTTCGTACCGCCATTTGATTGCTCCCAATGAATCAACTGGGAGGGGCGTAAAGCACCAGTCGCAGGTCAAACTTTCTTTGGATGATTGGGGTTGTGCTCGTGGGACTTGAAGTCGTTCCTGGCGAGATTTGCGAAGAAGGAACCGGGCGTATGTTTCCGTCATGCACCGAGTGAGCTGTTCGAGGAGGCCCTCGTTGGCGTCGGTATAGAGTGATCTGAGGGATATATATGCGACCTGCTCGAATGAGGTGAAGTCAAATGTTTCTGCGAACTTTCTGGTCTTTGTTGTTTGACCCGTCACTGATGACCGTCGGATGGCTATTTCGAGATGGTTGAGTCGTTCGATGGCTCCAGAGATTGCTTGCAGGCTGGAAATACTAACGCGGAGGTCTTGGTGCACATCGGATGACTGGCCTTCCAAGGGTTCTGGAGAGTGATCTGGGTTAAATACTATATGTGGTGTTAGTTGTTAATGCTATGCCAGAAGAGAAAGAATGAGACACAGTAGGTCAAGTTTCTCTGCATGACGTCCAGTAGACGGAGCACCTGATCTTGAATTTCGGCATGGTGCCGAAGCCTGTGATCGAAAGACATTTTCGATTCCGCAAAGACACCTAGAAAGGCCGCCCAAGCCGCGAATCGCTGGTTTAGCTCCGAAAGCATCGTTGCGCCATTTGGCTCGTCGTCGTCATTTAGCCTTGAGATATGTTCTGTAAATAAGCTTTCACATTCAACAGCAAGTTGAAATATTGGTTCATCGTCCTCGATAGCCTCCATGATTACTGGATTAACGACGATCAACGAGGATGTGGAGTGAATTTGACATGCGGCAAAGGCGGGGGCTCAGCCCCCTTATCTGATTAAGTACGTTCAAAGGTTCGGAAGTTGCCAAACCCCGATCCTGAGTTCCTGAATTTTGTGATAAGTTAACTTATAAGCTGATTACTGTTCGTTTCAAGCATTAGGCATCTTCCTCCACTACGAGGTTACGCATGCCAACGTAGTCTAAAGATGCTTTCGACTGAATCGCTTGGGTGGAACGGGCTCCAAGCTCTCAAATCACGCTTATCTAACAGACTAGCAAGGTTCACGAGGAACAAAATCCCCGACAGCCGGCCGCATAAATTGCAGAACGATGCCGCATTCTTCGAGGCCGACTTGCGACACATCTTCACGATAACACCTCTGATTTTAGACGTCCCAGAGCATGACTACTGCTATATGGATCAAACGGCGCAAGATCTTTTGGCCTCGCTAAACGAGATGGTTAGCAGAGATCTCATCGGGCCTTTGGGAAGACCGAGTAGTCAAGAATCCAAATTGCCTGACAGCGGGCGATTCCAGAGCTCACGTACAGCCCCTCACGACATCACGATACTTGGCGACAAGTACCCACGGCTGAGTGCCCTGTTCGGCTTCTTGGAAACCTCCCTAGACCAGTTCAATTTGACGACTGGTCCAGGCTCATTGTTATTCATACTGCCCCAAGGACTTGCTGGCAGTATTGCGACCGACCACGTAGCCAAATGGAAAACATTCTTAGAGCAATTTGCGGCCGGCACACCGAAATCGCAGGGCCTTCAGTTCATACCTGATCAAGAGCCGGAATTCTCGACCAAAGGGTCAACAGGAGACCAACCTGAGTTGCGCCAAAAGCGGGCGAGCATTGTCGTAGACGCAATATTCAAAGAATTTCGACATCGCAACTGTGGAAACGCACACGAAATCAAGCTGAGACTGTCGGATGAATGGCAAACTGGTCCCTGCCAAACTGCGCTGGATATGTTCGTTTCTTCCTGTCCGGACGGAAGTGTTTGGCAGGAAGCGAAATTTGGCTCGTTCCAGTAAGTCTATCCTACCACCCGTAGCTCACTAGGTTTTATTTTGACCAATGACCAGGGTGACGATTGATCCAGCGGAGAGGGACAGCATATGCGCAGCGATTGAACGAGCAAGGCAGCGAGGTAAAAAGCTCTACGCGTTCGTTGATGAACGAGGATTGTTCGATATCTCGGATAGGATGCCCCCGATATTGTCGCCTTTGAATAAATTCACCGCAGAGTCCCTCGGGAACTTGCTCGATCAAAAAGCTTTCAGTCGCATCACCCCTCGGGACTATCTAGACGGTGCGACACAGGAGAAATTCGGTTCTCGGGAGAAGGCAGCGCTAGCCCTTGCACTTGCTAGATGCCTCATGGATTTCTTCGACGAGGACCTTGAATTGGCATCGTACAGTTGGAAACCGGAAAGCATATATTTCATACGTTCTTCAGGTGGCCATGCAAGTAACCGCGTCCCATATATCTCGCTTAGGCCGAAGGCTGCGGGTCCTGGATCCCCCGATCTACTGAAGACAGTTGGACCTGGGAACCCCGTCCTCCTTTCATTTGCTAGGCTTCTCCTTGAAATTGACAATGGCGAGCAGATACCGATGGAGATCCACCCCGAAAGCAAAGCTAATGTGTCGAAATGGGGCGAGATGTGCGCCTTCGTTAACATGGCAGAAAGAGAAGGGAGTAGCAACTACCTCAAGGCCGTGGAGGGGTGTCTGTATCTGCACATGTCCCTGCCGAGATCCCGAGACCAAACACCCGCCTCTGCTAGTGACGTATTGAGGAAGGCCATTTATGACAAAGTAGTGCAGCATCTTGAGCTTATGGTGAACCCCCAAATTTCGAAACGCAAACGTCGGGATTCAGTGTATACGATTCCGCTGGCGAAGAAGCTTTCAATCGCGTCACCATCAGATATAAACACTGATGAAGTGCTGCCCAGTTGTGCCATCAAACTGTCCACCAAGCACAATGCGCGCCCCGCTAGCCGCGATAAATTCGAGATTGCGATAGTGTGCGCATTACCGCTTGAATACGACGCTGTGTCTTTACTCATCGATGAATTTTGGGACGAAGACTGCGACTACTATGGGAGGGCCAATGGGGATCCCAACACATATACCACGGGCCGAATTGGAAACTTCAACATCATACTGGTGCTTCTTCCAAACATGGGGAAAGTCAGCGCCGCCAGCACATCCGCCAGTCTTCGGTCGAGCTATCCAGGATTGAAGCTAATGCTTGTGACTGGCATATGCGGCGGTGTGCCGCACCCGGAGGGAGAAGAAGAACTTCTACTCGGCGATGTAGTCCTTAGCAAGTGCGTTGTGCAATACGATCTTGGCAGACGATATCCTGACGAGTTCGTGATGAGGGATACAGTAGAGGACAGTCTCGGCAGAGCCCCTAAGAATGTGCGCAACTTGCTGGCTATATTCGAGACAAATCTTGGACGTGATAGACTCGAGAAGATGGCTGCTACTCACCTTCAAAAAATCCAAAATAGCCCCTCTCGAAGACGGCGCGGAGCCAAATACCAGTATCCAGGAGCCGCCCAAGACAAACTCTTCCAGTCAAGCTACACGCATAAACACCATCTCTCCTCCCAATGTCTTTGTACAAAAGGCCACAAGAATTACCTCTCTATTTGCAAGGAAGCTAAAAGGCTGTTCTGTGATGAACTCGGATGCGACAACAAGCACCTGATACGACGGGAACGTCTCGATGAGAAGCTACAGCTAGAGCGGGAAGGGCGTAACAAGGAAGCCCAAGCCCCTTCAATATTTGTTGGGCGCATCGGGTCAGGCGACACGGTAGTGAAGTCTGGCGAGGATCGTGACAGGATTGCCAAGAGTCACGGTGTTATTGCATTCGAGATGGAAGGTGCAGGAGTATGGGACGAGGTACCCTGCATAGTCGTCAAGGCTGTCTGTGACTACGCAGATAGCCACAAGAACAAGATTTGGCAAGATTTTGCAGCTGCGACGGCAGCATCTGTCATGAAGGCGTTGCTAGAACGATATATTCAGACGGACAAGACCTCGAGTACTTAATATATACAAAGGCCCTGGAGGCAGATAAGTCTTACATAAATAAAGGATGTATCAACCTCCATTGTTTGCAAAGAAGATCTAAGCCTAGCTGTGGTTAGTTTAATATATACCATTTAGCCCAGAACGTACTTCTTCGATGCTGTCTGTATCCCTTGAGTCTGATCATAAGTCGCGCTGCTCTTTGGCTTTCAGGATCCATGATCATAGTTTTGGATTCGCAAGGAACATCTTCGCATCTTGAAAATGATTGAAACGCGGGTTATAACGAAATCCCCAATTTGAAACTACTGTGAGATTTCGTGCCAATATGAAGCCTGCGGTATTCCGAAAATAATATTTCTCTGATTTGCGGATCTCGGAAATAGGCCTGCTCTGTGCTTGCACCTCTTCATAAAGTCGGACATAATGGGACAAGTGTCTCTGTGAGGCGATAAGTGACTCAGGATTGTAGTCAGGATGAACTATATTCCAGAGTGCGGAAAAGATGCAAATCGTCAGTCGAATCAAAGGTAAGAAGGTAAGAAGTCTTACAAGAGACCAGGAAAACTCGCTATGGAGGCGATGAAACAGTGGGGCGTAAGAGGAAGAGACTCTGCATACTGCACCATAGCAGTTATGAGACTATTTTAGAACGCAGACTTTATCGTAAAAGGTCCGCGAGGAAGACCGTCTAAGGAATAACGTTCGTGGAGAATATGACGCCGAGACATGCATTCCCCTAACTTGACGTTGCCGTTCTCTTCGAAAAGCGACCAAATTCGGTCGAACCGGATTTGAGCAAATTTCCATGTAATTTGACCTAATTGGAACATCAATTTCTCTTTGTCGGCTGGTTTCAGACAATCTGTGGAAGGATTGGTTGTCCAGACGTTTGAAGAAGCCATCCTTGCGTCTTGCTCATTAGGATATAGGTAACACCGATTGGACTTTTGGAGGATGCAATGCTTAGATATCAGTGAATAGATCGAAGTTGTATTTTTATATAATCCTACCTATAAGAGTAAACCTCTGGGATGGGGATATCCGTAGCCTCTCTGAGGTACTGCACTGTTGCAGCCTCACTCACAAGAAGTCATCCACTCAATTCACTCGGAAATTGACCCTAATCAGATCTAGGTAACCGCATAATCCATTGAACACAACTTCAAACAGGACAGTTACTATCCAATTGAAACTACCTTTAATTGGCTGTTGACTTTGGTGCAGGCACATTGTATCTCGTTCCGGGATGTAGTCGCCAGGGTGCAAATGGCGCCAATATTGAAAGTGACATAGTGAGAAAATAGCACTGTTACCTGTATTTTCACGCGTGGTACGCTTATGTAGCAAAATTTGAAGCATTGAGGTTTCGAGGCGCTGACCGTTGTTGGTTGTCTACTCCTGGGACAAAGCGAATGAAATGAGCCAACTGGCAAATGTGTCAGTTGCTTTGACCAAAAATGTTTGTTCCCAATTGGGCGTATTCACTAGTAGTTAGGATTAGAACGAAATTGGATTTTTTTTTTTAAAAAAAAACTCTACTAAAATTACATCAAGACGCCCTTTTTGTGCTGAGCGGCATGTGTGGTAGTAGCTTCCCTTTCGGATCGTTATTCCCCTGCGTCGTTAGAATCCCAATGAAGGTTAGCATTAAAGCAACCCCAATTAAATGCCGCTTGACGAAAAGTAGTTATGAATCTCAACCCTTTAGGGCCTGAAAATTTTGAGAATCTGGAGGGTGGAGTGCGGAATACAGGAGTCGAGGCTATCTCGCAGGTGATGCGGATGACGTTTGTGCTGGTTCCTGTTGCCGGAGGCGTTATTTTCATGAAGTGGGAGAAGCTCTTCGGACATCACGCTGCGGTGGATGGTTAAATGTGGCATTTGGGGGAAGCTTGAATGTAAAGATTCTGTGCAAGAAACGGTGTCAATGGTAGATTGATAAGGCTAGAGAGTAACATAGCATCATCACATACATATAAGGCCAATTAATTGGCACTATACGACCAGAGGTGAGAAAGGAACACATGGTCTTAAGTAGAGAGAACCGACTAAAGGGAAACATTCGTCTGTATTTCCTATATAGATCAAACAATCAAACGCAAGAAAACACCCACGCGAGTAACGCAAACGAATAAGACCGTAACTCATTCATGGTGTGTTTGAATCCGGTGCAGTGGATTCCCTGATACAGGCGTTGAGCGAATCTTCAAGATTTCGCTGGACAACAATCGAACTAGAAAGGAACCCAATTACTATTTCAACTGTCCTCTTTGCTCCACTCTCGCCACAAAAAAAGAAGTGATTGCCGAGAATATCTGCAGTCATAAGCTCCGGGATCCCCAAGACGATCCTCTGTAGATCCTGGAATGATGATCTCTGCGCAGCCAACTTATCCGCAGAGAGATCGTCGTTGACTTGGGAGAGCTGTTTCACTCTATGGTCTTCACCAAGCATGGCCATTGCACGCTGAATAATCAGGTAGGACCATGTTGCCTTGTCGGTGATGGAATGACGAAAATCGAGCCCACTTGTCGGGTAGATGGCAGCCATAGTAGGTAGGCTACCGTAATCATGTGCCTGGCCATCTTCCAGCGATTGCCACTTATTTTCTTCTTCCACAAACTTCTTCGTCTCATTGTCAAATAGGTATCCAAATCTTGTGATACCGATAGGCGTAGCACCAAAATACTCTTTTTCGTAGATGGCAGGTTCAATGAAACGACGACCTTCAGTGAGGTGATTGATTTTTTCCTGCTCATCAAGCTGTTGCAGAAATAAATGTTTCAAAAAGGGAAGACTCAGGTAGCCCGAGCCTGTCTGATTCAGCTGTTCCTTCGATACAGCAGGAAGAAGACCAGGAAGGGAAGGGGTAGCTGCTAGGGAAACAAAGAGCTGTACATCGACTCCAAGTCTTCTAGCCTCGACAGCCACAGGCTGGAGGACTTTTCCGCCCATGCTCCACGCCAAGATCACCACGCTTTGAGGAAGATGGTTCTCTTCAATCACCGCCTTGATTGTTCCCGCAGTTTGAACACCCCAATCGGGGATCGTAAAAACGGGACTAGTTGCTGGCATCAAGGGCCGTTCCGTGTCGTGTGGGTAGGAAATGCCCAAGAAACCATATCCCTGCTCATGGAACCAATGGGCTAGAAATTCCTCGCTGCGGTATCCTTCATGGCCACCGTAGGAGATGCGTCCATTGTGAGCCATGCCAGGGACAAATGCCACGAGGGGCTTGGAGGGGTCATTGTCGCCGGCAATGTATTTATATACCACTGGGTGGCCAGCGATTACATTTTGTTGCTCGCCTTCGTAGAGCTTAAAGCTTGTCTCTCCAGGGTTGGTAATGCCCAGGGTTGACATTATCAAGATTTCGGGAGATTGTCCAAGGCTAGGGCTGGGGTACGAGGGTTGTTTGATTTGGGTGCGCTTCTTATGTTGACAAGTTGGGGGGTAATTACAGATGCATGAAGCCGGTGAGTGCTGAATGAGACAGAGGAGAATCGTAGGAATGGAAATCGCCAGGGAAACTGATGGGTTGTTAATGGCCCCTCAATGTCAGCTGTGATGTGGGGAATTTATGAGCTAACCATACTAAGCGCCCAATACCCCCGGGGCCGGCAGGTGTAGTGAGCGCTTAGCACACTTATGCAGTACTTGCCTAATTCGGTGTCACAAGCTTTCGGTATCGGGCCATTCGGTCCGACCGATTGAAAGCCCCCGGATTTCTACTATAACAAAACTGAATTACTTAAAAAAGCATTGAAAATTATATACCATGTGCATTTTATTTTCGTCCAAGTTATATTTATTCGTCTGGCAAAACTACCTCTCGCTTCAAAGCAAATCAATTGACCTTGAGTGTCAGAGACGAATTCAAGAACAAGGTCAAATACCGCCGTCTTCTACAATTCACCCGACGAATCAGGATGCCTGGAAAAGATGCTAGCCAAGAAAGTATAACGGTATCAGATGCTTCTTCCTTTGACTGGGCTTCTGATACCCGAAATCCACACAATTGGTCTAGGGTATGTCTCCCATGCAATAGCAGGGAAACCCAAAAGATATTGATATAACCACAGGCGAAAAAAGCGTTTGTCTTTCTGACCACAATGCTGGTTGTTCTCAACAGCAGTATGGGGAGCTCATTGACTGGTAACGCCATTCAATCAATCACCAAGGAATTTGGTGTGGAGTCTCAATTGCAAAAAGCGTTGCCAATGTCTATATTTCTAGTCGGTAAGTATCCTAATCGACAAAATATAAAACTATCATTTTGACTTTGACATAGGTTACGTATTTGGTAAGCCTGAAGTTTGATAATTCGCCGAGATCGAACTAACCACTAGTCTTTGTGAAGGTCCAATTGTATGGGCGCCACTCAGTGAAGAGTTTGGACGTCGATTAATTGCTATTACGACTTTTCCCCTCTTTACAATATTCACAATGGCTTGCGCGTTAGCCCCTACGTGGGCGTCACTTTTGGTATTTAGGCTTTTTACGGGAATCTTTGGAAGCGCAATCGTCGCACTCGGTCCTGGCATTCTAGCGGATATTTACCGGGATCCGAAGGCTAGAGGTTGGAGCATAGCGGTCTTCATGGCAGTATGTACTAAGATTACGTACGCCCGGCCCCATTTTTCTTTCTTCACTAACATATCCTCAGGTAACCGGCTTTGGCCCCATGCTCGGGCCTATCGTGTCAGGATTTACCTCGCCAGCCTTAGGTTGGCGCTGGTCTTTCTGGGTTGCCCTAATATTTGCAGGGGTAACACACATTTTCGTCGTATTTTTTCCAGAAACATATGGCAAATCCATTGCGGCTAAATACACTCCTGAGAATTTGATGATTTCTCAGCCGACACCCACCAACAAACAACACCGATCATGGAGGCATATTCTCAGTGATGTACTGCTACGTCCTCTGCATCTTCTAGTCACGGAACCCATTGTCACCGCCTGCTCTATGTACTTAGCCCTGTGCTATTCCATTTTCTATATGTCATTCCAGGTCTTCCCGGAAGTTTTCCAACATCTTTACGGTCTATCGCCAGGTCAATGTGGATTGGTCCAGTTGACAATCGGTGCCGGCTGCGTGTTGAGTCTGCCGATATATTGGATGTATGAGCAAATCTTGCGCCGGGTGGTCCAGAGTTCCTCTGGAAAACTGAAGCAAGAGTACTACCGTCTACCACTTGCCTGCTTAGGTGGTCCATTATTTGTGATCTCCCTCTTCTGGCTGGGTTGGTCTTCTCGTCTCGATGTCCCGTTCGCAGTACCCATGTTAGCTGGTATTCCTTTTGGAATGGGCTTTATGTGTATCTTCATTGCTATTCTGTGAGTCATAAATTGATATGTTAAAGCAAATTTACGCTGACATGGTATGGAATAGAAACTACGTGACCGACGCATATCAGGTGTTTGCAGCGTCGGCCAATGCAGCTTCAAGTTGCAGTCGCTCATTCCTTGCCACTTTTCTTCCCCTGGCAAGTTATCCGATGCTATCACATCTAGGAATTGCAGGGACTTGCAGTCTCTTAGGCGGGCTCAGTGCACTAATGTCTGTGATTCCCTTCATCTTGATATGGAAAGGCGAGGTCATCCGTTCGCGGTCGCACTTCTGTAATACCTTAAAGGATCAGCATAAAACTACGAGGGAGTCGCCAAGTCCAGTGGTTGGGGAACCATGATAAGCCGTGCGATATTCAACGCAGCTGCTAAAACCACAATCAACATTTTTGTACTTTTTTCATGAGTAGTCAAGTTGTAAAGGCCGTAAATATAGATGCCATCTGTAATATATATTAATACAATATTAAACTAAGCTTATTAACAAATCAAATCCTAACCATGCAGATCGAACCCCCCATCGAAACTTTATGCGGAGGGTTAAAAAAATAAAACAAAGCGATTGCTCGTATAGCTTTCCCATTTGAACAGTCCGGGGCAGATAAGTGTAAATGGGTACAACCGTATCTACCATAGAAACAGCGGGTGAGCCGCCATAAATTTTGCAGACAAACATATAATCTCAGTATGTATTCAGTATGTATTCTCTAAAGTAAGTAATGTACATCTAACAAAACCCTGCATTTCCGGCTAGCATCCTAGGCTCCGAGTCTACGGAACGCCGTATCTTGTCTTCCTCAAAGTCCAACTTGACCTGTTTAGCAAACTCATTGTTCTTCAACATATTTAGGCCGGTGATAGCCATCCCCTTTGCGGCATGCATGCAGAGCTCATGTGACTCTTTGCTTCCTGCCACCGCGGTAAACCCAGGTGTGTGGTTATTCGCTCCGGGGCCGGCTGGGATACCAACATAGGCCTGAATACCGGGACACTCGTAGGTTACGTTTCCTGGTTGCATTATTTGTTAGTAAAAGGATCCTAGCACTTAGAATGCGATTTGAATCAAAGGGATAAGAGCTAACCTTGGTCGGTCGATCCTGGAACTCCAGACGAGTTCAAGTCGCACTTCACTTCCGTTCCAATTTGAGCCATTGCCTGTGCATATGCTGTTGCCAAAGGCTTGTTCGGTCTTAAATCGGCGTAAGTGTTGTGTCTGCTTCTGATGTCAGCTACTAGTTGGTTATGAAGAACGGAAAATATGTCACAACCTTTGAACCTCCATAGTGCATCCAGCCTGCAAGGCCGCACCCTTGAAGCAATTCTCCACTCTCAAAAAGAGCTCCTCCGCCATGGCTACTGAGGGAGATCTGATGTAACAGTCCAGTGCCGAAGAGCCCGGGATGATATTTGGCCGCAGCCCACCTTCCGAAATAACACAGTGTACACGATTGCAAGGGTGAATCTGTTGACGAAGCACACCAATGCCGCTATAAGATAGAACAGCTGCATCAAGCGCGTTGGTACCTTCCCATGGAGCCATAGCAGCGTGTGCGGTCTTCCCCGTGAAACGAACAGTGACTTTTAGGCTTGCAAGTGTAGGCATGTATGCGTCACCGGTGAATCCAGGGCACTCGGCGAAGGGACCGGGGTGCACCATCATGCATGCGTCGACGTCCTTATAAGCACCAGCATTGATTATAGGAATCTTTCCACCAAAACCCTCCTCGGCAGGTGTTCCCACAAGACGAACCCGCCCCGGGATGTTTTGTTGTTTAAGAGCTTCGGCAACTCCAAGGAAGGCACCAATGGACATCATGGCAATGAGGTTGTGGCCACAGGCATGGCCAATTCCTGGAAGCGCATCGTACTCCGCATTGTAGGCCACGACTCTGCCCCCTTTGCCGTATTCTGCAACAAACGATGTGTCAAGGCCATAGGCGTGTCTGGTGACTTGGAAGCCCAATATTTCGAGCATCGAGGTGATATTGTCGTGGGCCAAAAATTCCTTGAACCCAAGCTCCGGATTACTGTGGATCTATTGGAACAATGTTAGCTTGTTGGATAAGAGACGTGCCCAAAAGTTTTTTGACGAGCGATTGTACCTTTTGATTGATTTCCCACAGTTGCTGAGATTTTGAATCGATTATTTGCAGGAGATCCTGAACATCCCCCGCATCTTGACCATGTGAGGCTGCATCTCCATTTTCATGGGAATGGGTTAGAGTGATCGCCGTCATTATTTTGCTTTGACTGGGAAATCTCTCTCAATAGTTATGAAGATGAAAAGACGAGGAGGGGGTGTAGTGATCTAGAGAACTTTTGTATTTTCAATGACCGAATTGCGATCAAGGGTAAATGACATTTAACAAATAATATACCTACGTTAGTTCCCCTATCAGGATAGTGTCGGCATCGGTCGGGCCGAAGCCGAACATGTCCCCCACACTCGGTTCCAAGGTGATACCTAGATATGTACAGAGTACCTACCCCGTAGGTAGTTGCGGATTGTTACTTCAATAGAGCTTCATTACATCAGCCTTGTAAGGCCCCGTGGCCGCATAAGCGGTCGACTATTCTTCTAGCAATAAATTGAACTCTTTGCGTTTAGGTCCCCGTGCTTCTTGGCCGAAGTCGTAGGGTGTTTTAACAAAAATAGGTTACCAATTTTGTACAGCTTTCAGAATGATAATATCACAATCTCTAACTATACTCTACAGATTTGACTACTTTGGAATTTCGTAGGATCTTGTGATATACACTTCGAAGTCTGATACGGATATCGTAGGATATTCACGGATAAATATCCAGAAATCCACCTGCAGATCCCCCATATTTTTGGCATATTTGATGCCTAATACCTACATCGGTACATAACGCCTAGTGGAACCCATATATACTTACATACCAATATATGGATGTAGTTAAATAACTACATCACAATAATTATCGGTGGCAGTAACTTAATATTAAGGCTCTAAGGCATCTGCGCCCACGTGTGGGCTTATCGGTAGTTTATCGGCAGTCTATCAGGAGTCTGGTTTGTCTTCCACCTCCTTCCACTCAACTTGCCCACTTTAGCTAACAATCATGAGCGATGGAAATAGGTACGCTTCCCGCGGATGAGCTGTATCACACATTCTCACGTATTATCACATCCAGATCCCTTTCGGCCTGTCTGCGCTGCAGGAGACAGAAGCTCAAATGTGGTGGTCCTAGCAAAATACCATGCCAACGATGCCGAGTGAGCAACGCTGAATGTGTCTTCGTTCCCCCAAGGGCAGCCCATCCGGTATCAGCTGCATCAGATATCGAGTAAGGTTCTCGTTTTATTCATCGTCAATCTCTATTCTGTCATTCATTTGATTCTAACGGCCATTGATAATGACATAGAACCAAAACAGCCCTTCTTCAGCGGCGTTTGGATTTGGTCGAGCGAGAGCTGCGACTTGAAATCGAGAATTTGCGAGCAGAAGTTGCCCGGTCATCTCATAACAGCAATACAGGATTTTCCCCGACGGTGCTCTCGCAGCGTGACCCAGCTGCCCTTCCAGTTGCGGAAACGGACACCTCGTCTTCTAACATTGATTCCCCCATTACCACCACTGAGAGTGAATGGGATGAGCTATACGAGTTCTTTCACACTAATTGCAGAACGGTCGTTGCTGTTATAGATGACCAGTTGTATTCGCCGGGCGAAACTGTCAAAAATCACCCATTCATGTCAGCTGTCATATGCGCAATTGCATCAAGGGCCGTGAGACCCGCAAAATATCAGGAATACGTTGCCGCAGTTGACAAATTAATTATGCACACATTTCAAGGACCAGTTCCCGACCTACTTGCATTGCAGGCCATGATAGTCTTCGTAACGTGGACCGGTCGCACGCGCCTAATAGGCTATATTGTATCAGTGGCCACTGAGCTAAAGTTACATGAGGCGGCTATCCTTATCGGAGATCAGGAGACCGAGTATACCCCGGATCTTGTTGGGCGTGCGAGGACCTGGTTTACCTTATGTTGTTTAGACTTGCAGTGAGTTGGACGATATCATACCTCTAAGGTTCTCACTAAATTCCCGCAGAACGAACATCAGCCGGCCCTTCGTTATTAACAACATGAGGGATTATTTACCTTATGCAAAGTACATCGCCATGTCTCCACATCATCGCCCCGTAGACGACAGAATCCGTGCCTATATTAAAGGTTTCACCATAACTGGTGAGCATATCAGATTTGAATTTCATTTAATGTTTCTCGCGCTGAAAACTGGCTAGGGGATCTGAAAAGGCAACTTAGAAGCTCTCAACTGACGGCTAAACCGTTGTTGCCAGAGGTTGTTGATCTGTTCACTTCCTCCGATGGATTGGTTGATCAGTGGTTCCATGAAATCAACAACAACATACATCCACTCTATCAAACGTTCCCAGAAAGGCAGGATAGGAACCGACTTTTAATGCCATTTGCCTTCATGAAGCTGTGAGTTACGAGACTAAAAAATAACCCCTGGATACATGAACTTACTTTTCTCTCTCTGAAGGTATATCAACGGTCTAGCATTGCAGGGTGTGGGGTCGGCGGAAGACCTGAGCTCGGATCCAGCCCGAATAGAATTTATTCGGCGAGCCTTGGATAGCGCAAGTCTAATCATCCAGACTCAGTACGAGTCTCATGAGTTTAGGCGATCATTTCATTACACAATGGTATGTGCAGCGGAGAAAGATATATATGTTTATATGTTCGGCCTCTTTTTCTTCACTCTTTAACTGTTGTTAACCGCAAAATGGCTTTGTAGGACTACTTTTGCACACCAACATACTACGCCATAAGCTTCATTTTCAAAGCGCTTCCTTTGGCTTACAATTTTGTTGACTCCCAGCGGCTTCTGGCCAGAGTACGACAAGCAGCCCAGATGTTTCAGCAAGGAGGATCTCTAGACGCGGCAAATGAACTACGACAAAGTGTGGATCGAATAGGAGCTTTAACTCAAACAGTTCTTAGTCCCGAGTCACTTGAAACCCCCGGAGTGGAAATTCCTCTTAATGTTCTGTTTGATATTCCGAGCTTCATCGACGAGATGGTAAGATATTTCCTTATTAACTATTGCGAGGAGATCTGACTGTTTTCCTTAGGCGTGGGATGATGATTTCCCCACATTGGGTATGTTTCCTTCCGTATGAGTACAGTGGTTTTTTTTTTTTCAAATATGTCAACCTTTCGTTTATGCATAAATTTTATCAATTTTTCCTTTATGCCTCCCAGCGGCCAGCTTCTTTCATGGCCTCGATGAATTCCTTCTTCATTTCCTCGGCGAACTTATCGTTTGTGAGAACGTCAAGGCACACAAGTGCATTTGCCTGGCCAGCTCTCAGTGCCTCTTGGTGGGCAAACTCACCAGACGATGCTTCACGGAATCCAATTGAATGCGGGAAGTCGGTTGCATTGATCGAAAACATAGCTTGAATTCCGGGACAAATATAGGAACAACTACCAAAGTCTCTGTTCGGCAATTATCAGATTGTGAACCGTGAATAAGCCTGAAGGATGGGAAACTTACGAGCATCCTGGTTGGTCGTAAAGCACTCGAGATTCTTCCAATGTAGGCATTTGCTCTGGTTCTACACCCAGGTGCTGTACCATGTAATCACGATATTGCTCAGCAAGTGTGTTATTAGAAACAACATCCTCATAAAGGGCAGTCCTGCACAAGAGATGAAGGTTAATTGAATAGGTCCGTTAAAGCCCATCGGCTCGACACATGATGCTTACCATTCAAGCTCAACAGTACATCCGGTTGCATCTGCAGCTGCTTTAAATATCGGCTCGAATCTGGGCTTAAGCTCATCCAGCTTCTTCATCGTGGGAGCTCTAATGCTGAACAACCCTTCGGCATAATCGGGTACAATATTTGATGCCTTTCCAGCTTCAAGAATGCACCCTTGAATACTATGCCCCTTTTCCAGATGCTGGCGCAGCATTGCGATTGCGCTATATGCCTGTACAATAGCATCACAGGCATTACGCCCCTTCCAGGGAGCTGTAGCAGCATGCGCTGCCAGGCCATGGAAGCGCACCCGTACCTTCCATGAAGCCTTGGTCAAACACAAGGGTGTGCTAAAATTGCGCATGCCATGTGTCATGACACACGCGTCAAAACCCTTCCAAGCACCGTTTGTCGCCATGATCCACTTCCCGCCGCCGGATTCCTCGCCTGGTGTTCCCATCACGACGATCGTACCAGGGATTTGATGATTCTTAAGGATGGTTTCAAGGGCAATTGCCGATGCCAACGAGGAGGTAGCAATCAAATTATGACCGCAAGCATGGCCCATTCCAGGGAGGGCATCTATCTTGTTTAGAAACATATTGCAAGCATTGTCAAATAGGGGGCCACATACCGTACTCTGCATTGAAGCAAACCGTCCTTCCCCCTTCAAGAACGGAAAATTTCGCCTCAAAAGCAGTCTCGAGGCCATATACACCGCGATTGACTGTCCATCCACGGTTCTCCAACCAGTCTGACAACAGCTTACAGCCTTTGTATTCTTTAAAGATCAGCTCCGGGTTGTTGAAGATCTAAAGCCATCAAGTCAGTTCTTTTTTCCCCCTTTCTAACAGGAATACATGGAAAGTTCGACTAACTTCAAGACTCAAGAGCCGCAGCTCATCTTTGGCATCGTCAATCGTGCTCACAATTTCCTTGATCACATCAGCCGACTGCAAAATCATATGGTCCCCCATGTCTATGGCACTGTGAAGTTAAAGTTTGCTGGATTGTAAGTAAGTCTGGGCGTCAATTGATATCAACTTTTTATTCTCGATTGTGAACCTCAGTTTATTGGAGAGGCGCCTTATCAAAAGTATTGATTGGGAGAAACTTGCCTGTCTATAAAATATCGGTCGGGCCGACCGAAACCGATATCGGGTATGTACCTACTCCTCGGGACTCGGGACTAAGCCGAGTCTAGAGCCATGGAACCATGTATAATGTTGTATGGCAGCTCAAACGCGGCAGCAAAAGCTAATTTACCCCACAGATAAGGATATTGACATTTCGAGAACTCAGCAAAGATACGCCACTTGGCGATGGGAATACTATATGTATTTAGGGTTGTGCTGCCAATTGATGGCAGGCACGCTCAGAGATTCCTGCTTCATACGTTGTGTCTTGCTCTCGATCTCTCGGACTCGTACCGCCCACTATGACTCAACCAAATCCACCGGGTAATCAGGCAGACTTGGATCCTATTGCTGATAGCAAATGCGACATGAAAAAAACCCAGGACCTCGATGTTGGGGCGGCAATTTTCAATGGAACAATCCACCCTATTGAAGTTGATAGTCATGAAACTCGAAAGGTTCTTCGAAAAATTGATATGTTTCTACTTCCTATCCTCGCATTTACTTACATGATCCAGGTATGTTATAATAGTCATTTGAGGAAATATTAATGCTGAATATATATCTTGCAGTTCTTGGATAAGTCTTGTATTTCATACGCCGCACTCTGGGGCATGAAAGAAGATGCTCATCTTGTTAATGATCAGTATTCCTGGCTTACGACTATCTTCTACTTGGGATATATGGCAGGTGAATTTCCAATCAATATGCTCTTCCAGAAGTTCGACATCGCGAAGACATGTGGTATTTTCATCATTCTCTGGGGTGCTACTCTTCTGTGTATGACTGCCGGCCACAACTTCGCCGGTTTGGCTACAGCGCGTCTGTTCCTTGGTATATTGGAAGCTGGCGTGAGTCCTTGCTTTGTTTTATTGACAACAATGTTTTACACGAGGTTGGTCACTTCACACCGTCAATACTTTCTTTTCTGTAGCTCACATGGGTTGTAGATCGGAACAACCCCTACGAACCTCCATTTGGTTTTCCATGAACGGTGTTGCAAATATTCTCGGTGGACTAATTGCCTATGGGATTGGCCATTTACATGCTGCTCTTCCAGCGTGGAAATTTCCATTCATCATCTTCGGCTCGATAACCGTTGCTTGGGGTATTATCTTCATACTTGTGACTCCGTCCAACCCGACAAAGGCAAGATGGCTTTCAGAGAGGGAAAAGGAAGTTGCGGTCTTGCGCGTTGTTGAGAACGAGACGGGTATTGATAACAAAACATTCAAGATGGAACAAGTGAAAGAGGCCCTGCTTGACCCTAGATTCTGGTTGATCAACCTGCAGTGTCTGGCAAACACCATTCCAAACGTGCGACTCCCTTTCCATCTCAGCCAACTCGGCCAAGCTAACTCTTCTCAGGGAGCTGTGTCTGCATTTGCCCCGCTCATAGTCAATGGGTTTGGATTCACTAAATTTCAGTCTACTTTGCTTGGTATGCCTTCAGGTGCTTCGCAAGTCCTGGCATTATGGATTTCAGGGTATGTCATGAGAATGCGGTGAATATTCTTCCCTTTCTAACCTCATTTTCTCCAGTTACTTGGCCACCCGCTTTAAGGGCATCCGGCATTTCCTAATGATCGGAGGACTTTTGGTCGCCCTTCTTGGGGGAGTTTTAATCTTTGCCCTCCCCGAGTCTAATCGTGTTGGTCGATTGATGTAAGTACTTTCTCTCTTTAACATCCATATTTCCAAAACGTACTAATAAATTACAGCGGCTATTATCTTCTTGTTGGCTTCAGTGTCACTTTTGTCTTGTCTTTGACTCTAGTGCAGTCTAACGTCGCCGGTCGAACCAAAAAGACCATGTTTGCATCCTCATTCTTTGTCAGGTAAGCGGTAGCTATTTTTGTAGATTATTATTATATACTAACCTCGGGAACAGTTATTGTGTCGGCAATCTCATTGGACCCCAGCTTTTCTTTTCGAGGGAAGCACCTCGGTATCAATCCGGATTTGCATCTATGATTGTATGCTTCGTGGTACAAATCGCTATAGTCACCGTTATGTACACAGTCAACGCACGAGAGAACAAAAGAGTAAGTCGCCTGTCACATGCTTGCTTATATCTAGGATTACTAAAAGACATCTAGCGTGACCTTCTTAACCCAAATAGCCCCGAAGAGCAACACGATACCGGGGTATCCCTCGGCTTATCTGACATGACAGATGTGAGTTTTCTTTCACGCATAAATCGCTCCGTTCCAGAGTCGAATGTCCTAACGAATGAATTTTTATATCAGGTACAAAATCTCCACTTCCGATATGTTCTATAAACATGACAAGGGCAAGAGGAATTGGAATCTATGTCACTTATTGTGCGCTGGACTAGATATTACGTTAATTGGGCCCTCTGTTACAGTGAAATCACTTCGCCTTGACAACTAGTTCTCGCTTTTTATTATGTAATTGGCTTTCTTGCAGCCCGGGGGATTGAACACATTTCGTATATTCTTAACTGTATTGAGCAATATATTTCTCAGTTGTACTCACACATATTCGGTAGTCGGAGCAATAATATAAAAATATACCTAGATAGTATAGTGGTGTCACAGTAATATCAAAAGTCTTATGATAAATGCTAAGAATACTATAGCCATGCTATATTAATTTTTCCACAAGCTGGTTGGGAACAGTGGCTGGCAAATAGAGCGACCCGCTTAAGGTGGTGGTTTTAACTGGACAGTAACCCAGTTTGAAAATGGGCGTTGGGTGAATCATGAGGCCACCTGGATCTGATTCTGGTCAATTTCCGAGTGAATTGAGTGAGCAACTTGAACACTGAAGCACCTCGGGCAGGTTATGGATACTTTACCTACTGGAATTTATAACACTACGAGGCATGTTCTGGTTCGTCTACGATATTTAGGAACCAAACAGCATTTTACGGGCGGCAAGTATACCACGATGGACATAACTCTCATTGGATACTGCCTCGTGTACTAACTAACAAGAATAGTCGGCCGCTTTTTCGTGGTCTTTTTAGACGTTGTTTTCAAGTATCTTTTTAAGTATCTCTTTAATAAGTGGCCTACAGTGGTTTTGAAATCGCTGCCTCCGAGACTGAAAGAAGACTTCGCCGTGATATCGATCTCTGGCTTGAACCTGTTAGAGGGAATGCCAATGTTGCGATAACAATCAAGGTCAATCGCCAACGACCCATTATTAGTATTGACAAGTGGGTATGGCATCATGTCAATCACAGATCCGGTCGATCTCAGCATATTGAGGTTTCAAAAAACGAGCTGGATGAAGTCAAACTGCCCGGTGGCCCTCTCATAATCCCCTTTCATCTCATTTTCCCACGAGACCTTCCAATACCAAAAGAAACCAACGTGATAATGGATAAGGAATGGTTGCAGATGATTATCAAGAGGAGATAGGATATGCAATTCCGGTAATTTAGTGGGTTTCTCTCTGATCCTTTCTCCTGTCGTCGTGACTGGTGAAGTTGTCTATTTGCGAATAAACATTTGGGCTCAAAGCAATGCACATATTTCTCAGTTTTGTTCATGTTCCTCGATCCCAGGGTCAGAATACCGGAGTAAATGAACAACATTCAACAGATCGAGGTCTTGGAAGCTGCAATGTTACCAAACAATGACAGTGTTATTTTTCGCTATGTCACATTCAATATTAGCACTCTTTACAGCTTAGCGACAGCATCCCTGTCGGATTTTTTAGTCTCTTCCTTCGCGTCTTTAGCTTAACTTCTTCAATTACTCAATCAATCTCACATTGCACCACGCACCTCGACGTGCACCACACAGTCCTTCCTCCTAACAATCCCGAAACGAGATAAAAGTTTCCTGCGATATAAGTCAACAGCAATGGAAAGAGTAGTTGTCTTATTTGTCTTATTCTGAGTATAGGCCAATTGACTTTTCCCCGGAAAGTTTCCAGGCAACCTAATTCCCCCTATTATTGGGCTATTTATACCTACCTAGGTATTTCCCTCAATATAGTAAGATCCCGCGTTGAATCCACTCCAGTTGAACAGGCAACCCTGTTATTTATTCTGCTGCCTAAACAGGGCTGAACAAAGGTAAAGTACCCGATACTAGTTAGGTAAATGACCCTGAATGGAGAATACTGCAGCCAATCACCATACAGACCTACCTGCAGTATCCACTGCTTAAGCTTTTGCTGCCGTCCAACAAAGCTTGGCTAACACTTAATCTCTCATTTCAAATTTTGATTCTCCTCTGCTTGTTCGAGACAGCAACTCATATTTGATTTCTTATCTACCAACTCAGATCCGGGGAAATCCACGTAGAAAGTTTATTTCAATGTAAGACAAAAAAAAAGATATCTGCTACCAAGACAGAAAGTGTGAGCATGGTGTAACTTCAATGTTCGTATGTTCTGTGGGGCTGAGTGTTCCCATGAAGCCAGTGAAACATTTACAGCCGATTTAAAGCCGTGTAGGGTCTACAACGTGCGGGGTCTACTGGCCACGGGCACGGGGGGTGAGGTTGTTGCCTTCCCCCGGCCCTCGGTCTTCGATCCTCTACTCTTTCTCTTCCCCGGCACAACCTTTCCGATTTCACACTCGACAATCCCCGAGTGCTTCAAATAACGCATATTGCAGGGCTTGCTTGTCATTCCTTTTATCCTTTTTGATTTTTCTTGATTCTTTTCATTCTTTACTCTCGTTAGTATCATCTCTCATTATCGCATCTCGTTCGTTATTTCTTTGTCAAATACATTCACTCTTCAAACACACAAGCACGAAAACACACAACAATGGAGATTCACGCACGACACCCTCGCCCAATTCCTCTAAACACAAAAGAACTAGGTCCAATCTCCGATTTGGCACCATTTTCCGCCTTGATCATCTCCATCGTGTTGGTGATATGCTTCTTTGTTCGCTTCTACATCCTCGAAGGATTCCTCATCCGTCGTCTCTATGGCTCCATTTACACGGAAATGAGTGAGTTGAACCGTCGTGGCTTCGTGAATCACCATATCGCCGGTGCTACCAAAGTGATAATCTTGATTGTTGCCGCATACCCGTTCGTCAGTGTCGCGTTCTGCAAAGGGCCGTCATTCAATACGCCCTTTGTCCAAGGCTCTCCAGTGACACTGGGGGATATCCTGATTATAGTGGCACAAATGTTGATTGGGATATACATTTTCGAGTTGATCTACCGCATGAAGTTGTCACCCGTTGCCGTGATGCACCATGTTGGGACAATCTTTATTGGACAGGCTGCCATAGCCATCAGTCTGAGACCGTTGCGCGAACCCGACGCGTATATTGAGTTTGTTCTCTGCACTGTCTGGGGTAGGTAGACAGGACTCTGGACTAAAGGCGAAGAGAAAAATAAAATACTAATAAACCTGGGCTTTAGGCGCATTCGACGCCGTGTTCGAGTTATTCCCCCACTTCGCTATCGTTCTTTACCGCATCTTCCCCGAACGACACCACTTCCTCAGCAAGGTCTTCCTCATCTCCTGTTTCACAACCGCATTGGGTACACTCACCGAGACGGTTGTGACAATGTGGCTGTTTGCAAGCACGTGGGACAGGTGGCGGCTTGCATTCAAGGTTGTCACGCCGCTCCTCCACGTGGCATTCTCCGCGGCCCAGATCCATGGCAGTCTTGTCTTCTGGCGAATGTACCGCCGACAACAGCGCTTCCAGAGGGAGGCTGACTCCGAGGCCAAAGATAGCTTCGTGGGGGGTGAGAGCTCAGTGAGCTATTGCCGATCTAATAGCCAGGGCTGATGGATTGTGGAGGTGAAAGTCAATACTGGTTTCCGTGGAGTTGGGGGTCCCGGTTTTCGATACTATTGGGAAGCCTAGTTAGTGTTTTTGTATCTATGGATTCTTTAAAACAGCGTGAATAATGTACATGTATCTCTTTTACTCTTTTTCAATTTAGCCTTGCCTTTGGGGTAAATGATTCGAATTCCGTTTCAATTTTCCCAGCCACAATGATACTCTTAGCCCTAACTCTGACGTGGACAATGCTTGTATGATCCGGGAGGGGACAGGGAGTGCTATTAGCCATGATCAAACGGCCACTGTTCCAGACTATTCCTTTCAATAAGTTTGGAATACAACCGCCCACTTGAAAATGTCCACGGGTAAACCTTTGCGCCCACGAAGCTTATTGGCTGTAGTATTACTTCCAACAAATAACTCCTGTTGATCTGTTGTATGGTTAATCGGTTGTCCCCGCTGTAAGTCTGCATTATATTCCTCTCAGTTCTTGATAATTCCATCTGCAGATTAGTACCCTTAACCACCTTCTGCATAATCCCGTTCATTAACGTCACCAGTAGCAAATCCAACAGAGCTCAGATCCCCCTCGATAGGGTCATTTTAGGGCAATATTTTGTGAAAGCTTCCAATCCTAGAACTTTAACCCTTCCGGGCGCTTATCGTCAGTCCATGAATGCTTAGTCGCTCTCTAGATATATCCATGGATGTTTTCAGGCCTGTGGACGTGTCCATGCTGCAGATCCACCCACGGGTATGTACATGCATCATGTACATGTAAATAAAGGGAAAAGGTCCAGTGGGTTGCTGTATTCCTAGATAAGTACCAGTATGCAGATGATCAGGTTAGCTGTCCAAATTCCATGGAGCCACGTTGCTTGCGTTTTATATGCTTAACTCAACGGAATTCCCCCACGTATGAAAATACCATGGAACGTGAAACACTGCGTGCTGGTTGTAAACCATCGGTGATCCACATACGATGTAAGCCTTTGAGGGTTTCATTCGCGAGAGAAGCCCAATTGCTTGTTCGATCTGTCTCTCCATTTACCGTTGCCTAGTACCATTACTCAGGTACTTTAAATTCCAGGTTTCGAGTCAATACCCGCCAAATAAAGATCGTACCGCAGCTCCTTCGTTGCCTAGTAAGGCCGCGGCGAGTATTCGATTTCAAAATTGCAGGTTTCTTCAAAAATGATTGTCGAGCCAATTCTGTTTAGGCTTCGAGGGATTGTGGTGCCAACAATTACCACTCCAAAAATGATACTGTATCGAAGGGTTTAGTAAAAGAAGATACAATAGCACGAAAGGGTTCGAGATAAAACTGGTAGAATTAGGGTCTGTTAATCACTGTTCAGCTTCCCAATAATAATAAGAACCTGCAGGCACGATACTGAGTATCGCCTGATGAGAAACAAGACTTCGTCCCATTTGCATCCATTGTTCCCCCACCACGATATGATAAAATCATTAAAATCCATCGATCGAGGCATCTTGCCATTCATCATCTTCATCAATTCATCTTCACCATTAGTTGCAGTACTGGGGGTTTCAACCCACCACTAACTGCTCTTCTCGTGTTGCTTCGCCATTCGCTGCATGTCGAGACCTATGACTGGTTAGTTATCTGTGTCAAGTATGTGAGGAAGAATTGATTTTCTGTTAACTTACCGAAGTCTTCCCTGGAGCGTTCTCCCTTCTTTCGGGGACCTTTGCCATGCATGAGGTTGTCAAATCTTTGCGAGTTATGCATCAAGATGTAAGCCAGCCCGTTGACACATGTCACCCCAAATGAAAGAATCCACACACGGAGGACGGTTAACCAGGATGTGTTTTCACCGAAGACACCATATGCGGCCATCATAGTTGCGGTCAGATCGACAGAACCCACAGCGACGAGAAGGTAAAACGATGGGCAGTTAGCCCAAAATGAGTCCGATCCAGATCCATTGACGCGAGTTATCAGAATCAACCAGCTCTGTGTCAGAGCGATCTCCAGGAACAAGACCTCATCTCGTGAACCCCAGCCTTCGATAACACCCCCGTCTTCACCTTGTAATAGGATGGTGCCCAGCGTCACCCAGGTCCCGACTGCAAGAATGAACCCTAGAACAATCGATTCTCCCCAGAGTCTTGGCTGGTTCCATTTGACGGGCAACTGAGAATAAGTAGCATTGTCATATGCAATTGCCAAGGTTGCAACATCGGCGAAGATAGCGAGGAGAACAACCAGGCGGAGGTCGAGGGTCTCATTCTTGATCACAATCAGGAGTCCGAGGAAGAGTTCCAAATGAATGGACAGCGCGATCCGGAACACAACATATGAGTACATACGGTGGAAGATCCGGCGAGCAATCTTGATCGCCTCGATAATTGCCGAAAGACCAGGGGCCAAGAAGACAATGTCAGCAGCGGAACGGGCCGCATCGGATGCGCCCTCAACCGCAATACCAGTATCCGCCTTCTTCAATGAAGCAGCATCGTTCACACCGTCGCCAGTCATTGCTACCAGATAGCCGCGTCGCTGGAGGATCTCAACCACACTGTACTTGTGCTGGGGGTAGACTTCTGCGAAACCGTCAGCGGCCTCAACGAAGTCGTTCACTTCGGACCCAGACATGGAACCGGCGCCAGTGACACCAAGGCGTTCGGCATTGTAAATGTTGGTCCCGAGACCTAGTCTGCGTGCCGTTTCGCGTGCAATGGCTACTGCGTCTCCAGTGAGCATCTTGACAGAGAGTCCTAGTTCTTGAGCCTCGGAAACTGTCTTAGCCGTGTCATGACGGGGGGGATCCATGCATGGCATGATTCCCAGAATCTCCCATGGCCGGCCTTGACGCTTGCGGGCAACTCCGAGTGCACGGAATCCTCGGCTGGCAAACTCGGTAACCTTGGCCTCATATTCCTTGAAAAACCGATCGCACAGTGAGGTTTCCGTCTCCACTGTTCTCAGGATAGCCATAGGAGCACCCTTCACGCAGATCATCTTTTCGCCATTCAGATCTTGGACATATGCCGTGACTTTCTTCGACACCGGATCAAATGGAGTGAACTCAAGAGTCTTGTACGAGGCGATCCGAGATTTGGCCCACGGGAAGTGGCGGAGACCTTTGAGGAACACCTTGTCGATAGCATCGATTCCGCCCTTTTTGCGACTCGCCGCAAGACACGCAGTCAACATAAGCTCTTCTGCACTCATCCCAGGGGCTATGTATGGATCTCCCAATGTCAGTCTGTTTCGGGTGAGTGTTCCCGTTTTGTCTGAACAGAGGATCTCCACTCCGGCCAACGACTCGATAGCTGAGAGCTTTTGCACGATGGCCTTGTGTTTCGCCAGATAAGATGCACCAACGGCCATTGTTGTGGTGACAACCACGGGAAGACCTACGGGGACTCCAATCACGGTGATTGCGAGCGAGAACTCAAGGATCTGAACAATCGGGTTTGAGCGATAATAACTGCTGATCCAGACGACCAGCAGGGTGAAAAGCACCAGAATCAGAAGAACGCGCGCCATTGCGTGCAGGACTCGGGTGAAGTGGCCAGTGGTATTTCCTGCCTTATTCACCAGAACTGCTGCGTTTCCGACAAAGGTATGATCACCAGTTGCGGTCACAATCATGAGCCCAGCCCCACGTTTAACTGCCGACGAGGTAAAGAGAAGATCCCCTTCGTGTTTGTCCACAGCGAGAGATTCTCCGGTTATTCCAGACTGATCAACTTGAATGTAGGCATCGTCACCCATCAGCCTGCCATCTGCCGCGATGATTGTGCCCTAAAAGGAACATTAGCTTCCATGTGTTTCTTTTTTTTTTCAGTCCCCATAAACTCACATCTTCCACATGAATGATGTCACCAACCACGACCTCTTCAGCATTTATCTCCACGATGCAACTGTTGCGAACGGCCAGAGCTCTCAGGGCAAGAGTCTCCTTGAGACTGTCGACAATGTTGCCCGCCTGGTATTCCTGAGCGAATCCGACCACGGCATTCAATAAGAGAAGAGCACCGATTATTCCGAAATCGATCCAATCTCGCAAGGCGGCAGCTAAGATCATAGCAATCTGGAATTGTGAGAGAATTGTGAGCATATACTTTTTTTTCCAACCACATGATAGTGGTCAATGAATGGTTTTGCTTACCTCCATGACCCACTGGACCGGGCCATTGAAGAAAGAAATAAACTTCATGAAATGATTCCGTTTCTGTTCGTTCATGCGATTCCAGCCATACTTCTTGCGCCGGGCGGCCACCTCTGCGTCGTCGAGGCCCTCATTGGCCTTGGTGTCCAACAGCGAAGGCGGGTATGGGTGAACTTGCCCAGCTCGGATCGTCATGGCATCCACGTCAGGTTCGCTTCCATCTTCAGCCTCCAGTTCTTTAATGAGGCAGTCCAGAGACTCTTCGCTCTCTTCCTGGAAAGAGGTATTGGGTTTCAAAGTCTCGGGGAGAGAAAAGCTGTCATGTTCTTGAACACCAATGACGCTGTCTTTGCTCTCGGTGACGATCGGATCATTCATGTCATGGTCGGAAGCCAAATCAAGACTAACGTGAAGATGATCAGGGGGCGTCGGAGTCCGTTTAGAACGGGCACGTCGATCTTCCTGGGCTTTGGCACCGGCAAGCAGACTGGAACGAAACAGTTTAACTTGATCTTTCTGTTCGTCGACCATGCTGTCGCAATGCTCAATTTCCCCATTCTCATCAATGGGAGAATCATCCTCCAAGCTATTGTTCAAGCTGTTGTTCAAGCTGACACAAAACTTGTGGTATTCCTCTTCATCCTTAGCCTCTTGGGAAGCACTGTGTGGCATCTGGCTATCGTCCTGCCTTTCTTCTCCGAGAATGGTGGCTCTCTTCGAATGGAACGGAGATTTGTTGAGAAGCTTGGTCAGGAAAGGTCGTTCTTCGTTGGTATCCGAGTCCGAATAATTCAGATGGCCAGTCGAGGACTTTGGAATCAATCCTCCCAGGCCACTGGTCTGGATAGGAGGCAATTCAGAATGGTCACGACGCTTGAAAGGACTGACAGATTGGTTGCGGTGCTGGTTCCGTTCCTCAGAACGGCCGCGTTGCTCGTCAAACAACAAACTTTCAGGCAGCGGAAGAACAACGCCGCGGGATCCATCCTCGTCCGTGAGGACTTGAGTTGGAGGGTTGTTCGGAGGATGACTCCTGAGCGGCGCGTTTCGTTTATCCATCAGGTCAGACTTGGGCCTGGCCATGATGGCGAAACGGCGGCAAAGACTGAAAGAAATCAGCAAACTGTCAAACTGTGAAACCTCGAAACCGCAAGACAAAAATGCACTTCATACATTCATACATTCATACAAGAGATGTGAGGTGATACATCATTAGTCTGATACAGATGGAACACAGCCGGAAGGCACAAGAGACGGATGCTTGCCTTCAGACAAATACAACAATCTTTCAAAAAATGAAGCAACGATAACCCAGCAACATACTCACCTGAAAACAGTGTTTTATGCTATGTTCCGGAGTGCTGTGATGGCAAATGTCGATGGAGCAAGAGGTGTTGCGAGTCTCGCAGAAGAAAGAAACGGGACCGCCGAGGACCGCCGAGGATGGAGGTATTTATGTCGAAGGAGCGACCCTCGATGACTAGGCGCCAGCGAGCATCGTGGGAATTTTTCATTACAGACGCCTGCCTACAACTGCCGACGCCTGCCTTCGCTTTGTTCGGTTTACACTGTCCTTCATCGTCCTACAGTGAATAAGCTGATACTGTCTACAATTGGCTCTCCGTTCATGGGAATTCATCGATACCACAGCAATGAGACCACGGTCCTTCAAATGGTACGCTTGGAGGTTGTATACAAGCCTATAGGAGCCTTGGAATAAGTTCTTAGGATACGGCACAAAGAACCATCTTGTTCGCATTGCGTTGCCTGGGTCAACTTCATCGCGGTCTTGAGAGGTTGACGCGCAGAAATTGGATTCATAACACCGCCAAATAAAGTTGTTGAAAAGGCAAAGGGGGGTATCTTATCAGCTTATCGGAGCCTGGAGATCCCGACCTCGGGAGGTTATGCAGCAACAATCTTGGAACATTACTTGTTCCAATGTTGGCGTTGCCTATGTCAACATCTCCGCGGCCTAGATACATGTAGGCAAGTCGAACAAGTTCTTTTACGATTCAATTCAGTTGCTTGCAGTAGATATTAAGTGAATTCCAGGGAATATAATTCGGTAGTTTGTATTTATGAGTTCCAATTCCAGTATCTAGATTCTAGTGCAATTGGAAAGTGCGATCCTTCATATGATTCATTGGCAAGTTCGATATTCACTATCGTAAAATCAATTAAAGTAAGAGCATACATACCTAATGTAAGATAGCATTTAGATAAAATAAATTCAAGTCCAAAATAAAGTCCAAAACAAAAATGGTCATTGTATATAATCAGCGTCGTCGTCTTTTAGGGCAGGTATAAAAGTTGTGGCCTAAGGCATGGGTGAAGAATTACATAAGCCCCACGTCACTCCCGCGCCTTCAGATTCAAAGTCGTCTGATAACTGCGTGTTCATGTAAATCGATTTGAGATTCCCCGCATCTCATATGCTTAATTAAATAGACTGATCTTTGAGTTTGGTTCGTGTTTGTCTGTATTGCGGTCGAATACACTATGGTTGTTCGTGTGTGCTAGACACTCGAAAAGTGAGAAGTCTCATGACCATTTCGATAACTTGAACATAGCTGGATTCCTCTCCTTCTTTGTGCATTCTCTCTGATCTTTGCCTTTCAACGTCGCACGTCATCAGCAACCATGAATCGTGAGATCCCGGGGTTCTATTATGGTAAGTCATGTTTTGATGCGTTTCTTCCCTTCTGTCGAGGTACGCGATGGCAGTACGTAAGAGGGGCGTGCTGCTGTGTGCCAGTCACACACAAAAGCTGCATCGTTCCTGTCTAGCCTTTGGGCTACTGTTGTATCTGTGCGGTGGTCAACTACCCCGCTACACTCACTAACCTCCGTGTCAACTCATACTGACTAAATATCACAGACCCGGAGAAGAAGAAATACTTCAAGATTCAAGCCAACCATGCTGCAGCTCCAAATGCACAATATTCACAGCAATCTGTGAAGCGGAAGCGGTCTGAGCTGACGGTCAGTAAGATGGACCTGTGTGTATTATGCCATTCGCTAATCAATCACAGACAAGAGAGAACAAGGCACGATTGAAACAACGTGAGGAAAAAGAGACGATCAGAAAGGCAGCATCGTTGAAGCATCCCTTACTTCATCTCCAAAGAGAGGTTGGAGCTGTTGAAACCTCCTCCCGTATCAGGCAAGACCAGCAGGCTCGCATTCAAGCCAGCCAACTGCATCGTGGGGAACTCCATCGTTTTGAACCATGGCCCAACTCATACAGCATCCGACATGTCTTGCGCAACCCACGTTCTGGAACTTTGATTGCTAGTGAGTTTCATTGGCTTTTGTTATCCCGATACGTGGCTAACATGCATGACAAGGTTCGGCTCGTGGATATGAATCGTCTGTATCGTACGTTGGTGGAATTGTCGCTATCAGATGTCAATCACTACTAACCAGAGAACAGGGTCTGTTTCCCTGACATTGACGAGTCACAGTGGAGATACGATCACACTATGGAACGGGTGTTATTCAGAGAGCCGTACTGGGTGAGCACATTCACCCCAGCACACTTCCTTCCTCTGAAAGCATGTTTAACACCCCTTCTAGTTAGGATCGATGTCTTTGAGCCACACAGGATACCTACTGTATGTCTCTTTAGAAAGCTATCCTACAGACTTGTCGCTAACAGCTCCAGTGCGACAATGAACGAAGGACCGCAAGGTGACTGTTTCCTTTCGGCTCATCTCCTCCCAGAGCCCGACGAGGGCGGCAACTACCGCTGGCCAACATGTAAGATTCCATATGCATCTATATCTTAAGACACACTACTGACTCGAACCTTCCCAGTCTCTCATCCAATTCGGATCAAACCCCACTATCCGATGTCCTTCTGGTGCTCCGCGGCCCAGCCCACAGGCTCCAGTGCCCACTTCGCCATAGGGACTTCAGAAGGACTCCACACGCTAGAGGGTACGATCAGTCATTGGAGCCTATCGAAGAAGCCATTCAAGGGCAATACGGTTTCCACTAACACCAGACGCCCCGACCGCAGCCAGAGCAAACACAGCGTGCATGCCGTGGAATGGATGTCACAGGACGTGATTGCAGCGGGACAGAAAAACTCCAAGATCTTCCTCCATGACCTGCGCAGTGGTGGCAGTGCCACGCGCCTCCAACACAACGATTCCGTGATGGAAATGAAACAGGTGGATGAGTACCGGCTCGTGGCGGCGGGACCTCGCTCGGTATGTAGCTCTACTCACTCTTCTTCCCTTTTTCCCCTCCGCGACACAACGCCCGGATACTAATATTTTCATCTCAGCTACAAATGTACGACCTACGCTTCGCGCCAAAGGCGCTTAAACCTCAGGACTCATCGAAGCCTTACCTCACTTTCCCCGATTTCTCGTCACTTCCAATTCCAACCTTCGACCTGAGCACCGAGCTCGGTCTACTGGCTAGTCGTATGTTTCCTTTGAATATCAGAATAGCCCAACTTCCAGTTCATCGGATACTGACATAGACCTCACTTTAGCTTCCCAGTACTGCAAAATTCAGCTCTTCTCTCTCCAAACCGGACTGCAGGTCTCCTCGCCTCTCACGAGGCATCAATACTCCTCCCCACCTAGCTGTGTGCGATTCGAGTATGGCAATGATACCCCAGAGTGGCGGGGCCCACAAGGACCGAGTTTGTTGGTCGGCACGGATGATGCAGTTGAGCAGTGGACCTGGTAGGAGTCGGTTGGGTTTGGGGGCTGTTTGTTTTTTTTTTTTTTTTTTTTCGGTCGTTCAACTTTCTCTGGCATGAGGATTTTGCGCATAATCTTTGGTGTTTATTGGCGATGTTTCTTGAACTAGTTTCCAAGGTTGTTATTCTGCGTTAGCGTTCGAACGCAGCAGGCGGATTTATGGGTTGTTTTCTGCATGTAAGCATGCATTATGGTATGTAAATTGGAGGATATCCGACGTCAAATCTTCAAGATATATTGCAACTTTACCCCCTTGTGCACACAGTAGGAATTAGCTATTCAAGAGATATCATGATGATCACGGGCTGTAGCAATGCCATAATTTACAAGCTGCTTCAAACAATTTACTACCATACGGATTTAGGCAATGATCAAGTAAAATGATAACATGGGTATAATTGACCTAACCGCAAGTAAAACCAGTACCCAATGCAAGGCCAATAAGCCAAGAACTCCCGTTGACAAATGCAAGAACAAAGCGCCAGAACAAGGACCAAGTCAGCTTCGCCAGCTCCGACAGTACTCCTTCATCCCCAAGAAAAAACAAATCAGTCCAGACCACCAGCCAACCACTCACCAACCTCGACACCAATACCCTTAGCCAGCTCGCCGACCCAGTCACCAGAAACATTGACACACCACTTATCTCCCGCATCAGCAGTGGTATTTCCACTGCTCGTCGCCATAGCATTATGGCTAGCGGCAGGGACAACGAGCCGCAGACGTCGCAGCGTTGCCAGTTCGGCGTAGATACGGTCTGCGACGGCTGCAACTCGAAGCGGGGTTGCGGGGGGGTTCGGGTCGATCGCATGGTAGATAGCAAGGAGACGTTCTAGTGGGAAAGGACGGGCCGTAAGGATTGTAGACGGGCCAGCGATGCCTGCGCCACCTCCGATGGCGGACGTGGTAGCCGAGGAGGTCGCGAAGGCGGAGGAGAGGGTTGATTTCGTGATGCGGGTTTTGGTTCGCTTTCCTTTCTTGGGGGTTGAAGGGTCGTCGTTTGCGGCTTGTCTCTCTTCTGCCTGGGCTTGGGAGAGGACCTTCAAACGTCGGCGGTGGTGGGCACGCTTGTTTCGGGCTGAAAGGGATGACGAGGAGAATTTGGAGAAGAAGATTGTGTCCAGTCGTTGGGGAGTGTGCGAGGCCAGATATGCGGACGTGAGGATCAAAGTCGAGAAATATGGCAGAGAAGGGAGAGCCGAAGGCATCAAGGTCTTTGCCAGCGGGGCCCTTTTCACACCGGCAGGAGTCTCGTCGGGGACAATGCGGTGCACAAGCGCAGACTCGCCCTGGTGTCGGAAAATGACTCTGTTTTTAACAAGCAGCCGCGAGAAATCCCACTCGTTGTTTCCGCCTGGGGGTGTTTCGCCATTCACTACAGGCGCAACAAATCGAGGCCACAATCTGTCACATATGGACCGGAAATCCGGTATGGAACCTGCTGTCGGTCCAACCAATGAGTCGTAGACTGTCGATACAAAGTACGGGTAAACCCGCGAGGAGGTTTCATCGGGCAACCCATCCACGACCGGCACATTCGAGCTGAGAATAATGTGGATGGCCTCCTTGCGGGTATAGGGAGGGAAGCTGACGTGCGGAACCGCTGCACTTTGGAGGAACAAAGGCCGTGGGGTCGAACTGAGGACCAAAACAACACAGAGAGACGGAATCTACAAATCATCTGGTTAGCCGTAACATTCCACACCCAGCAAATGTCTTCCAAAGCCATAACTCACGATCTCGCCTAGCCGTGCCAGCGCTGACAACAGAGTATGCGGCGCCTCTCTTTGCCTGTCAATCTCATCCAGCACCAGCACGAATTTCCCTTGGTTCTCAACGGGCCTCGCTGCCAGGCACTCCTCAAGCAAGACCGCAAGACCACTGACGTGCTCGCATCTTCCCTTGCCGGATTTCTCCCATTCTTCCTTCTGTCCCAGGGACTCTAGTGTGTTCCATATGATTTTTGTCAGGAGATGCCGCCCCGTAATGCATTCCGAGCTCCTGACAATGGCGTGCGGCACTGCGAGGGTAGCGAGAACGGCCCGGAGGATGGTCGATTTGCAGGTTGCAGAGATACCATGAACAACCAATGTTGAAGGACTAGGAACATTGGGCTATTCAAATATCGTTGGAGGTCAGCCATTTTCTTCATGATTGGCGAATGCAAGGAATTATTGTCGGCATAGTAAACTCACACTAAACAGACTGGCTAGCTGCCGCATCTGAACATCGCGACAAGGCCATTGTGTGCTCAAAGAGCTGGCAACCTCCTTTGGTAGCATGAGAGGCCCAGTCAGTTTGATTCGGACCTTGTAGGCTGAATTGTGTCAAAAGCAAGTTGCGGCAACTTGGTAAACCTCCGCAGGGCGGCTCCTTTGGCACTCACGTGATCACGCGTCGCGCTGCAGATTTGGCGACAAACCTAAAGGAATTACGAAAATAGGGAATTGGACATCTACTAGCGTTGGAAATGGAGAAAATTGTATGAAAACTTAATTCAGCTTTCCATTGCTAAAATACATGCAAAAAGTGTGTGCAGGATCACGTATGATGAAGATCTGGCCCAAAGACCAAATAGCTCCCATCATCAAGAAGCAGCAAGCTAGCCGGGAAATAACCAAGGACATTGAGAGACAAAGGCTCCAGAGCCATTGCAATGTCAACCCTCAGCTCAGCTCGCATGCAACAATGAACCAATGTAAAAGAACGGGCACAACACAAAACGCAGTTCGAAAAGAGCAAGGCGCAAAAGTACAACGATGAAGGGGTAAAAATAAAAGTTGAAAATCACAATGTGGAAGCGAAAAAGGAAAAAAAAAAAGAAGCAAAAACAACCCAAGCTGGAAGAACCAGTCCTCAAATCAAGGCAATATGATACCAGATTGTTCCAAGGAACGATCCAAAACCATCGCCAGATACCCTCAAGACCCAGGCATGGGCATGCAAGGCATTGGGGGAGGAAAACCAGGGGGGAAGGGAAAAACAAGAAATACAAGATGTTGGGGGTAAACGGAGCAGAGGAACATAGTTCCAACGATGTCTGCATCATGCACGGGTCGCTTCATGAAAGGTATGCAGTATGCAACATGGGCCAAATGCAATGATCATGGCACATTGCTTCAAAGGTGTATGCAGTAAAACGCAACTGTGGTAAATCATGGGATAAATGATCATAGCATGTGCAGTTGATGTGGGCCCAGTTCGATGACAGTGTAATAAGTAACCGTAAAATCGTGAAAGAAAAAAAAAAAAAAAGGTTTCGTCGCATCGTCTCACTATGGGTACACTGGGGTTGTGAAAGACAAGCACTGATGTGGGTATCCCAGACCCAATCAGAAGTAGTTCTGGATTTGCTGCGGCCCAAGCTTCACGGACAGCTGGGGGGGTGGGCGTAGTGTAAACAGACGAGGTGTCACTTTGCCCGGAAGGAGTGTTAGAGACAGAGCTCTGGGAGGATTGAGGAACATAGGTCTGGTTGCTGTATCCACCGGATGAGCTCGAAGACTGAGTACTTTGAGTACCAGGTTGATGGTAAGTAAATGGCTTCTGCAGCAAGTTCTTGGGGATCTGTGCAGTAGTGGTGCTCATCTCATTAGGGGTGGCCTGGCCGCTGGTAGTAGCGCTGCTACCGTTGCTGCGGCCGTTGGTATCCGCAGCCATGATCTTGCCAGCAATACGGCGACCATGGGGAGTCTGACGGATAGACGGAAGAATAGGACGAACAGCCTCCACAATGCGGTTGCGAGTCTCGAGATCACAGAAGTCCATGGCGGTCTGAACAACATAGTTTGCGAATGAATCACGCAACATCTTTTCAAGCTCATTTCCCATGAGGAATTCTTCAATCATTTCACGCTTCATGTAGTTATCAGCAGTCCGGAGGCACTTCTCGATCACATTGGAGCTGAACTTTTGCTTGGACAGCTGAGCAATATTGCCTCCAAAGGTAGCACACAGTGGGTTGGTGAAGCTAGGCTCCGCAAGGTCCAGAATGTATTGCACAACATAATTTCCGAAGGGATCCTGGACCAAAGCAAACGAGTGCGAGGTAATCTGCGAAATCAGACGAGCCTTCTGATGACCCGAAGCATGGTCAATGCAACGCTGAAGGACGCAACATCCGTGGCGATGAGTACCAACAACAACACAATTGCCTCCGACAGCCTCATAAATGAACTCGGCATCGTCAGGAGTGAGGCGGTTGAGGCATTTCTGAATAACGTGGTTGCCATTCAGATCCTGTACCAGATCAACCACGGAATTCTGCAGCGCCTCGATGACTGTTTGAGTCTGCTCAGAGGTCGAGATGAATTCAATCATCTTCTGCAATGCACGAGTTCCATGCTGGTTCAGGGCAATCTTGACTAACTCAGGGGCAGCATTGTTAATCAAGGCAGTGCGTTGTTCATCGTTGGAGTATTCGAGTAACTTCTGGCAAAGATAATTGCCAAATGGATCTGCTCAAGGAGAAAGGTTAGTAATGATGATAGGGTTAAAGGGCAGGATTTCTGTATTTCGTACCGGTCATAAGTTCAATAACATGCATGTAAGTCTCACTGAAAATCAGCTGCACGTGTTCTGGGTTACGCTCCTCCAACTTGCGTTGCAAGTATCGGCAACCATGCTGGTCCTTGCACAGGCTGTACAACTCACCCTTATAATGCTCCAAGGGGTAGTTGCCGAAACGAGTAAGCTGGGTCGCATCATTCTCCTGTCGACGCTGAGCCATGCTGCCTCGGGCAGCAGGTTCATTGAAGCGGAACCCAGGACCATAGCCAGAATAGGCATTGTTATAAGCAGAAGCTCCTCCAAAGTTTTGCATATGACCGTTGATGGGAGCTGCTTGGCCGACATAGGGCTGGACTCCATAATTGAAGCCAGGAACTGCAGGGACTTGGAATGGCAACCCCATTTGAACAATCGAACTGGGAACGTGGTTGGTAGATACAGCCGAAGTGAGCTGAGGCCCAAAGGGTGGAGCGCTCGCGTGCAAAGTCGATTGATTGCCATAGAACTCGGTCTCATCGAACTCGGTCTTGACCTGGCTATTCACACCACTCTGGGGAATCCGACCCATGCTTGTGTTGTGCTGATGCATGTGCTCATTGTGGGTCTTGGGGGAGTAATAGCGTTTCCAGCTCCATTTCCCTTGATAGTAGGCAAATCATTAGTTGAGTATGAGGACTGCAAAGCATTGGGCCGGCTCGAGGCAACAGGAGTTGCTGTCTCTTCGTGGCGGTCATCGTGGAAGGTGATCTGGCTTCCCATGGAACGACGAGCACTGTGGCGTGAGGTGTGAACAGAGTTGCCGTGATCCTCGTTATTCTGGCTTGCCAGCTGGTCCAAGCGCCCGAAGCTGTGAATGTTCTGCGGCATGCTCTGGTGAGACGACCGGTGCCGACTGTGGTTGGAATAATTTTCGGCGCCTGTGGCACGAGGATTGGCGAGATCATGGGCATCAGGGTTCGCAGACAACTAGCCAAATGATTAGGATTCAGGCTGCTGTGTTCAATGTTGGGAAACTTACCATGTTTGAGTCACCACGACGGGACAGGGTGGGGAACTTGTCATCAGGCTCGGTCAACTTGATGTAGCTCTTGATGTCAGGGGTTGACAGGCGTTCCAGCTCCCTCAGATGGTTGTGGGGCTTGTCTTCGTCACTAGGGAAAAGATACTTGGGAACGTTAAAGCTGTCAAGGCGTGATCCATTCAACGCGGAGATGCTAGACCGATGAGAGTGGCCATTCTGGTTACCGGAGGGCAGCGAGTATCGATGAGCAGCACTAAAATAGATATTAGCTAGGCTCTGGATATCACAACTCGAAAAACGGGGTTTCACTCACGATGGGCCGGATCGGAAAGGAGAAGTAGGATCGGCAAGGAAGTCGTCCTTCTCGGAATTTCGGCGTGAACCAGGGACAGAGTGTCCAGCAAATCGGTCTATCGATGGCTGGGTGGGCTGGGAAGCAGCTTGGGGCGAAGTCAAGGTTGAAGGAGCAAAAGCATTGAAAAAGCCGGGAGAAGAGGTCACACTCGAAGTGGAGAAACGAGCAGGGCGGCCAAAGGCACTCGAGACAGTAGTATCACGGTACTCAGGTGGGGTGGTCGGCTCACTGACTGGGCCAGAGATGCCAGCCTGAGCCAAGTCCCGAGCGAGCTGGTCCATCTCCAGCTTCTCGCGAGCGTGCTGAAGATCCAGGATTTTCATATCTTCTTCAAAGCGGCGTTTCTGTTCACGCATGTACTCGATGTGCTGTCTCTTTTTCTCAAACTGCTCAAGAGGTCAGATATAATTCCCAGAATTGAGACGTTCAAGCAAGAGCGGGGAAGTTTAGGAAAGATATCAGTTTGAACGAAGTGAGAGGAAAGTGTCCAAGTCTCAAACAACTCAATTGACAAAACCGATCAGAACTGCACAAAAGAGGCTTGGAAAGACACTTCAAAAGACAGTTCAAAAGACACCAAAAAGCAGATATCTTCATAGGACCACAAGAGCAATCACTGGCATGAGGAAACACGAACCGAACGCACGATATCAAGTCAGGAAAGTAATGGGAATGTACGCGAATGTAACGCGAAATCAACGGCAAATGAAGCAGATCCGGTAGCACAGGCAGCGAACTTGTTCGGATCCGAAGATTTGAAACAGATGGGGGAATTATGAGGCAGCAAATAAAAAGAAGAAGCGAAGGGGAGATGTGCAGTTGAAATTTTTATACCAACCCAGAACGGATTGCAGCCTAACAGGCACGAATCGATTTGACGTTTGAATAGCCTCAGATTGGGTGGAGTTGAAGTACCAATAGGCATCAATCATGTCAATCACTTCACCGGTTTTGTTTGACTGATGAAATGGAGAAGGGAACTGACAAATAGGAACAATAGGGCAATTGAATGAGAAAAATAAAAATGATGAATGGTGGTCGATGAATGGCGGTGGATGAATAGCGGCGGATGAATAGCGGCAGCCCCGTCAACTAGAAGCTACACACAGACGGCGCGATATGCTGGAAGCTGACGAAACTTTCAAAGACATCCGCAATTTCAAGAATCATCCCGGGCTAGACAACCAGGACACCAATTCAAACATCTCCACTCATCGCCGACCAAATATCCAATGGGAACGAGACAGGTACGTGGGTTCAATGCAGGGGAATAATCGCTAACTCAAATAGAAAGTTCAATCTTACCGAGGACAACAGATCCACTGGATCTTGCATCTGGCCTGAACCAGAGCCAGAGCTCGAGCCAGATACCGGGCTTGGATTCAGATAATTCCATGACGAGAACTTGCTGGAATCGGTCGTAAACCGACGCTGCAGATTCGCTCGGACATCACCAGCCGGGCGAGATGAGAAGCCGGATCCAAAGTTCGAATGACCCGGGGAAAGAGATGTGTACCCAGGGAACGCAGACTCCGAGGGCGGGGATCGTGGGGATGGGAATCGCAGCTCGTCGAGGCGTTCACTCAGCCCGTGCTTGAAGGCCATTGTGGGCAGGCCGAATTGTTCAACTATACACCAAAAATGACGTCTGGTCAGCAAATATAGGGATTTGTTGACGCCCAAAGAAAAAAAAAACGGGTTTTTAGGAGAGCTTGTCCGGGGAAGCAATTACGACAAGCCCCAGATAGCGTGACGCGACGTCCTCCAGTGGCCGGGGAATAACCGAGTGGGAGGAAAGGGTGGGCTGGCGGTGTGTGTGTGTCGTCGGCGTCTCAAGCAAGGGGAAATCGAGAGAGGGGCTGAGGGGTTGGCGCCAGGCGGAGACGATCTGCGCTCGCAAAAAGGGCCTAACTCACACAATGAACGCCTCGAGAGGAGTCAAATCTGGTTGATGGGAGAAGTGCTATGCGATTTCAAGCTGCGCAAGTCATCTATGGGCAATTTTGACAGGAAATATCGTGGGTACCTGACGGTGCGGAGATCAGCAGGGAGTTGCAGAGTGGGATAAAGCTCCTCTTACCGCTCCGATTAGCGAACACCGAGGGATCGAGGCGCGGGCGAAATGAGCGTGTCGCGCGACGGGGAAATACAACCTAACAATGACCCGAACGAACGATACAAAACTGTTGTACAAAAGCGAGTTGCAGAGGGAGGGAAAGGGAAGAAGAGGAAGAGGGGGGAAGAAAATGGCTGGGAGTCCAGATCAGAGCGGGGAGATCCTTTTTAGGAGATGACTGTGCTCTCTTTTTTTTCTTTTTTTTTTTGGCGATTTGTTTCTACTATTTTTCTTTTTTTGTTTTTATTCAGGACTTAAGTGGGAAGTGATCTTTTGATCTTTTGGATTTTACATATGTATTTATGTTGTGTATTCTCGAGGTTATAGAAATTCATTGCTTCCACGCTCTCTCTCTCTCCGCGTGAGGCGCCAAAACAATATATGTTCCCCTACTATAGATATCACCGACACAACTTAACGACCACAACAGATGATCAGCCAGCAATTACTCAGAAATTGATCGGGTTCGATTGATTGGAGAGCCTCCGTCGTCTGTACAACCTGGGCGCTTTTGTCCCGGGAAGAGCCCGGGGTATTCGATGGGCTATAGCTTCCCGCGAGGCCTTGTAGACGCTACGAATGGTCAATTGCATGGTGGACTGGAGACAGCCTGGGCTATACACGAAAGAAACCATTATGCTAGGATTCCAGCAAGGGGGGGGATTTTTCAATGCGCTGGTCGACCAGAGCGTGGCAGCTGCAGGTGCATTTGGCCCCTCTTAACAGCCTGTGGAGACCGAAGTGACCAAAGTGCCCGAAGATGTGACAGCGGATCGCCCTCTAGGGTGGTTAGGCGCCTGTACCTGAATGTTGAAACTACAGTCGAAAGGAGATAGGACCCCATAGACAGAAAGAATTAGATTCCCAATATCAGAAATCAGAAATTAGGAATTAGAAATAAGATAAAATAGGGGCTTAGTGAAAAAATGGTTCGTGAACTGCTCACCCATGGATTATTCTTTTTTCTTTGTTCTCGTTCCACGGGTCTATCTCCTCCTTTTCTTTTCTATGGAGCCTTTTCTTCCATCTCCCATTCTTTTATACTTCTGGAATTTCTCGAATCTATCCTTCAAATCTACCCTTTTTTTTACCTTCCCCATACAATCTGCACGATAAGGGCTTTCGCCCTTAACGTCAGGACAAGCGGTGTAAGTGCCACCAGCGCTGATCTGCGTCGCTTGGAGCCCCTGATCCACCGAATGACAAGCATACCAATAGAGCGGGGATCCTCCGAACCCCAGTCATCCTTATTATTTTTATTTTATTCACACATCGGAGCGATCGTCAATGGACCACTTTCCCCCTCTATCTGCATACTCCGTATCTGCTATCGGTTTAGAATTCCGATGTATTGTTTACGATTTGTGATCGGAGCCGAGTACGCGCTACGGTCTGTGCTGATCTTTGGGAAATCTTAAGTGATAGTACGGAGTACAGTACATCGAACCCCAACTGTGCACGAACTAGTGTGCTAGCTACTTAGGGTCGGAAGATCCAATAATCAGTATGATCACACTCGTGATACCAATAATATTTCTAAGCATATGAGACTCAAAACCCACTTATTGACGCCCAAATTGAACCAAATTTTAATTATTTTCTTTCATGCCCAACGCCTGACTTACGCCTCCCAAATTGACTGGCTGCCTCGGATTTAAAATCACGAATCACATTGCGAGATCATTCGTAAAATGGACTTACTCCTCCGTACTATGGTTCTGTTCCCAAAAGTACATTGGCAAATAATATCTGAAACTCCCTAAGTACAGTAGTCTCCGCCCCCCTCCGCTTAGCCAACCCCCGCTGCAAAAAGCCCTACAACGGGTCTCCTAGGTTATTGATAACGAACATACCCTGGTGGATAGTATTGCTAATAATTTCGTTTGAATTGTCTCATCGGAGGATACTGCACGGAGCATACGGAGTACCTATCAGGCAAAGATAACCCCTGTCTTACCAACCACGTGTGGATGGCGTTGCATGCTTTCTAGATTATGCGAGAGCGTTCAATACCATCTCCAGGTACTCTGGCCGATACATTGAACCATTCATTGCCCCAATAGATCCATGCATTCGATCAGAAACGGGGAATTTCTTCCAAAAAGGGAAATCTTGCGGTGCAGTCTGTGTCCGTAAAATAAAGGGTGGCAATTTCAAAGTTGCGGTCAAACCTATTTCGCCACAGACATCAAATCATACTACATCGTACATGCAGGACCGAGTGTTCCCAATACTCGATAAATCATATGCCACACAAGCAGTGCAACTTTGGCTACTAATAATAATCCTACTATTCTGTGAACGGAATGCATTGAGCTTGGTATCTGCGGTCGAAATCCTCTTTTCTACGTTGTCTTATACGTGACCGCTTCTTTCCTACCTGTTATCGTTCTCTATACAAAGTACTGTTGTAGATCATCTTCCTCGAGCAGAACAAGTCAATTCTGATAAGTAATTCGTCCGTGCAGGCGTAAATGTCCGGGGGTGGCCTGCATGCGCAAAGACCCACTAAATGTACTACCATGTCAATGGACAAATCCTTGACGATCGGGCAAGATCTCGTAAATCCAACCCTGTGCAGAGTGCTCTATGTATTCTGAAAAGTTGAGATAAATATAAATAATTCTTCAAATCAGTTTACTTTAGTGGTGAGGCCCAAACCTGCTTCTTCGTCTATTCCTTTTGAGACTCCTACGACATCGGAGTTAAGACTAGTATACTCCGATCCTTCAGCCGTGTGCGATTACTTGATAATGAGATGGATTTAACTACGGATTCGGCTGGGTTAAGTATTCAATAACCAAGACAGTATTTGAGAATATCCATTTCTTTTAGCCAGTTCTAATTTTTTTATTTTCGTCCAAGATCCATGTTTTGATGTTCACATTTGACTTTCATGTGTCACTATTCTCAGGCTAGATGCCGACCCATCCAATAATCACAAACCGATAATCGCTTTCCTCCAACTCACTAATAACGGGTCTGCTTGGGGATCATCATGGAACCGCTTCCGGAACGCAATCTCCTGTCGTTGATGCTCAACGCAAGCCTAGGCCTCCGGTGGATTGTAAAAGTAAATATCTAGGAAAGGTGATTTCAATGTTTCCTGTTTGTTTATCTGAACTATGGCAGTGGTGATAATGCCCATGTCATAGGTTTACATTTTGTGTATTTCTAACTAATGTACCTCTGATATGACCATCCAAAAATATATATCACAGAGTGATACACCCGACATGTCTACTCCATGCAAATATCCCCACTATTGGTATCAGATTTATAGCTAATGGTTATTCTCCAGAGTTATTATCAAGCAGAAAAGGTATTTTGGAAAAAACGCATCTAAAAGAAGACCCCAAAAAGACATCCATGGATCGGGGTGTTATCAATTTATGCCTCAGGCAACTATCAGCTCCTGCCCGCGGCTTATTAAGCCATCTCCAAATTACTCAAATCTTTCCCCTCCATGAGAATCCATCTTGCGAGCTTCTCTTTGGACAACTGAGTAGTTTGATTGGGATATCTTTCTTGATCGATCTCCTTGTACCTCAGCTGCCTAGCCATAATGCCTCCGCGCAAGAGGCCACAGCCCTCTACGGCCGGTCGACCGCGGCGTCCTTCGGAGGTAACAAAACTTTTTTTCCAGTCGCAAGTCCCATACTCCCGAAGATCGTACTGACTCCTCTGCTATTTAACTAGGTTGGAAACCAATCTGCGACTGACTCCACAAAAAGCAAGCGCCCGTCCCAGTCCAACCCCGCTGCCCAGCCTCACCAGCATGCCGAGCCTAGGAAGGTTGAACCGGCTTCGAATTTCAAGGCTAGGGATCCATTCGATGCGCTTTTGGAGCCATTTTACTACAACAAGGGTCTTACAGACCCGATCGACACGGCCAGAGACAAATGGAATCTGCTGCCGGCATTCCTCAAGGTCAAAGGGCTGGTGAAACAGCACATTGACTCCTATAACTACTTTGTGGAGGTGCAAATGAAGAAAATCGTCGAATCAAGCTCTACAATTCGAAGTGATGTAGACCACAATTTCTACATCAAGTTCACCGATATTTACGTTGCCTCACCCCGACGAGCCGACGAGCAAGGCGATGGTGGAATTGATTTCGAATCTACGATCACGCCGCAAGAGTGCAGACTACGAGATACTACATACGCCGCACCCATTCTCGTTGACTTTGAGTATGTCCGTGGCCGGCAAAGGGTTATCCGACGAGCAGTCCCCATCGGAAGAATTCCGATCATGCTCCGCAGTTCTAAATGTGTGCTGTCGAATAAAACGCCTGCTCAGATGAGCGTCCTCAATGAATGTCCTCTTGATCCCGGTGGTTACTTTGTTGTCAACGGAACGGAAAAGGTCATCCTTGTACAAGAACAATTGAGCAAGAACAGAATTATTGTCGAAACCGACCCAAAGAAAGATATCGTCCAGGCCTCGGTTACCAGGTATGTTCACGTCAGACCTCTTTGATTTGCTA